TCAACTGCGACTTTTAGTGCGACTTTTAGTGTGACTTTTAGTGCTACTTTTACTGCTTCTTTTACTGTTACTTTTACTGCTACTTTTACTGCTTCTTTTACTGTTACTTTTACTGCTACTTTTTCTGCTACTTTTACTGCTACTTTTACTGCTGCTTTGTCTGCTACTTTTACTGCTACTTTTACTGCTGCTTTGTCTGCTACTTTTACTGCGACTTTTACTGCGACTTTTACGGCTACTTTTACTGCTACTTTTACTGCTTCTTTTACTGCTACTTTTACTGCTACTTTTACTGCTTCTTTTACTGCTACTTTTACTGCCTCTTTTACTACTACTTTTCTGCGATTTTTACTGCGACTTTTACTGCTTTTTTTACTACTACTTTTACTGCTACTTTTACTGCTGCTTTTACTACTACTTTTACTGCTATTTTTACTGCTACGGCAGTAAAAGTAGCAGTAAAAATCGCAGTAAAAGCAGCAGTAAAAGCAGCGGTAAAAGTAGTAGCAAAAGTAGCAGTAAAAATCGCAGTAAAAGAGGCAGTAAAAGTAGCACTAAAAGTCACACTAAAAGTCGCAGTAGAAGTCGCAGTAAAAGTCGCAGTAACAGTCGCAGTAAAAGTCGCAGTAAAAGAAGCAGGAAAAAAGAAAAAGATATGTGTCGCTCGTAATTTATGAATATTAACGAGCTTACCTTAACAAGTAGGCCACGTTCGCCACATGTCTCCGCCATGATGCTGTAAAACGACTTGAGCTCGCCATAAGAATAGCCCTCATGCCCTTCGTAAGCCGAAGTCGCCGTGAAAGTCGCACTAAAAGTCGCACTAAAAGTAGCAGAAGAAGTCGCAGTAAGAGTTGCATTAAAAGTTTCAGTACAAGTCTCACTAAAAGTCGCAGTAAAAGTAGCAGGAAAGTAAAAAATAATGTGTGTTTTCTATGGGGCTTTATAACCGGTAGAGTCTGGGTACGCGTAACAAAATCATGGTTGTTTACCGTCACCTGGTAACAATGAGTCACCTGACTTCTAAACTTCGGCATGATCGCGGTGTTCTGGAACAAAACAATTAATTGTCTCTAGCGGTTGTTTTCGGGGTTGGAGGTTCGTCATTTTACGAAAAGAGCGACAGTCGCCGTCTACTCCATCAAAAATTAATTATCGAGTTAAAAACGCGAACAACTGTGAGGAAAACATGGCAAGTTCATCCGGATTCCGGGCGGCTTCGGCGGGAAGGTTTCCAGATAAAACATGGCGAGCTGGAACTCCTAGTATTTATCACGAGAAATGTGCACCTCAAAAGGAAAGAGTTAGGTCTGCTCCTCCAAAAAACTACGCGCAGAGAGATTATGCCATGTGTGATGTCGTTAGGAACGATGAGATTTGGAAGAATCGCTGTCGGAACGAAGGAAAAATGACAAAAAAATGGTAAGAGAATAACACTTCCCTTCTGTTCGTGAGAGCTTGTTTCCGGGTTCGAATGTTCGATTCTTTATTAAAATCATGAGATAACTCTTTTTTTGCATGGTATTTTGATAATGGTATATGACTACTCTTCGCATGAGAGTTTGATCACAGTCGATTGCATAGGAAGATGTTGTAAATACGTAATTATTTGTCGTCGTGGAAGCGATTATAGATCGATTATCAGCTGAGTCATTGTTGGGAACGTCACGTTAGCTGTTCCTGATATTGACTGTTTGCGGTCATCTCAACTTTCTTATCTACCTTGTTTATAGATAACAGAAAGGCTATGCTCAATATCATTTAAGGTCTGAAGGGGTCGCACTTGGAATAGGAGAACCGTTTCCTGGATTCCCAACTGAAATCTTTTAACGAAAATGAGTAATGTTGTTGTAAATGATACCATTTGGAAGAATCGTTGTAGCGAAGAAGTGAAAATTAGGAAAAAGTGGTATGATTTCTGGCATTTCTGTTCATGTGTGCTACTATTTGTGTTGAGTCAAACACGCGATGGACGGAAGCTTTTATGTGATCTGCCGTGACGACCGCAAGCTGTACTTCTTAAGATCAGAATTTGTGGTTGCTTCTCTTTAATTTTTGCTCTCTATTTTTGTTGTAAAAGGAATCATAGCTTTCTTCTCAAGCAACCCTAAGCAAATTTTCATAGTCCATGAACAGTTATATATTGGCAGGTGTTTAGTGGAGCTCACAATCAATGAAGTCATACTTTATTTATAGTGAAAATTTCTGTATGTTGCTAAGACTTAACTATGAAGAAAACAGGGAACGTTTTGTTTGCATGTATGGCTTGATTCCAAGGAAGAATTCACCAAGTCTTTTTAATCTCTCTACTTCCAAATTTCCTTTGCACAACCCAACTCAGATTTCTCTTTAGGCACCTGAATGTGAAAACCAAGCAAAGATATGTAAAAATTTCTGGGGTAAACAAAAAAGTGTCATGAGGAAACTGTGGGTTGAAAGAGGCAATTGTGAAATTGAATTTTATCCCAAAATTGGTAATAATAATTTAAGGACATTATGCTTAAATTTTTGTTTCTGTGTGTGTTTTTAGGGAGGAGAATTGGGGATTTCTGAAAGATTATGACCCAAAGGTAAGAAAATGATGACATGATTAAAAAATTTGTAAAGAAATATTTTATTATCATGAATGTGTAAGCAATACCTCAACCTCTAAAGCCTCAGGAATGAATTTAAGTGAAATAAGATAATCAAAATCTTCAGCTTTAATAATCATGATAACTTGTTTTCATCAACTGAGCTGATTATGTAAAGTAGGGGTAAGTTTCTAAAGAAACCATGATGCTGCGTCGGTGGGAGAGTATAGCAGGTAATTTAGTGTAAACAACTGAGTTGAAAATGTAAATTAGCCACCATAAAGGGTGAAAAAAGCTCTGTTGAAGAGCTTATGCTCAAAACATCAGCTTTTTTACCCTTTATGGTGGCTAATTTATGTTTTCAACTCAGTTTTTTACACCAAATTACCTGATTATGTGAAGAGACCACTTCAAAGAGTTTTTAAAGATGAGATTTCAAGTATTAACCCTTTGTCAGAGTGAACAGAGGACGTGGTTCTGTGTTATTTGTGTATACCAAAAGGAGGACTTATATTGATGGTGTAAACATGGCAACATGAACAACACAAGAATAAACTCATGGAATAAAAGCACTCATTGACACTCATGGAAAGTTAACATTTCTCATGTCTTACTGCTGATTTTCCTCAACAAATCGAATTTCAGAAATCTTTTTGGATTCTGCAATTTTCTGAATTTCCCACTAACCTTGGAATTCAATTTTCATTACTTTTGAAGGGAAGGCTCAAGGCAAAACGGGAATTACCTGAAAAAGTAAGCGTCTACTCTGACAAAGTTCCAAACACAACAAGTCGTCAATTTGGACACAGAGCCAAGAGTGCACCAGCAAGAACGATGCAAAAATTCGAAAGACTCATTAGCTACAGGACAAAGACAAACAAGGAATTAATGTGTTATGACTGATAGAATCAGTCGCTATGACTGATAGAATCAGTCAAGATATGAGTAGATATCCCATTGTGTGAGCAGACAAGTTCAGTAGAGAAAGATTATAATTTGCTTGACAAAATATTGCAGCAGAGTGTTTTTGAGAACACGCTGATAGCCATAAGCATTGTACAGTTTCTAATTAGCATAAATAATACCAAAATAATATTTTGGCCAACAGTATATGTTGCACATAAATGTATTGTACATTCAGTGTTAATGTTATTAATATTATTACTATAAAGCTGTTAGTAAATATAAAATATACTTCTATATATTTTAAAATAGTAGGCAATATGCAATAGTTTTTATGAAATAAAATACATGTATGTTTTGGGAATTGTATTAAAGAAATAAGGCTTTGGTATAGCTGAGGATCCAGAAGAAAAATGACATCAGAAAAGAAGTACTGTAATTTTTGTTGTGAAATAGGGGAGAAATGGTTTAAAAAGAGCAGTTTTTGTTGTGAAGTAAAAGAGAAATAATACAGACTTTGTAATAAATAGAGATATTCATGGGTAGTGGAAGATGTGATTATCAAAGTAAAGAAATCAAATACTGTAACTTTCTGAACGAGTACCAGCAGCACTTATCTTAGCCCTTCACATCATAACATCAGTAAGCATATTTTCCATACTTTTCTCTATAGATTTTCTGAGGCGTAGAGAAAGGAAATTTGTTTAACAATCATCAGCTTCTTTAGTTGGTGATCATTTCCTTCAGGGGTGGTATTGTTGGAAGAAATAAGTGCTTATCATGGGGTGAAAGGATTACCCTCAAAGAAAACAGGGTGAGGGGGTGGGGGTGGGGAATGGATGTTTTTACATAGGCAGCACTTGTTAGATTTTTCCTTAGTTATGGCCAGTTTCAAAAATTAGTGATTTTTAGCAATACAGCATTTGCACACACAAAAGAAAAACAGATGTGAACTGTGTATCGATATAAAGAACAGAACTGTTTTTTTTTTAATTTTTATTTTTGGAGTAAAGGAACCTTACAGTTGGTCTCTAAAATCACTCAAACAAGAGAGTGTGGCGAAAATTGTAAGACCACATGAGGAATTAAACCCTCCTTCAAACCAAGACCTTCAGGGCTCTGTCTGCACTCAGCAGGATAAATTTGGAAACGGCATTTTCACTTTAAAAATAAATTTTATTCGTTTAAACTGTGGGAATGCAGAGAAAAAGTCAACAAAAACAACGAACTGCGACTTGACATCAATCACAAACTCGAAATTCATGCATGCATTGCAGGCCTACACCTACTCACAACCAACAGCAATGTGGGTAATGTACTTACAGCGCACTACCCACGTAAGCCATCCGTCTCTACTATACAACGATCTCCTACGACGGGAGAGCCATTTTCGTCCGCAGCGTCCTCCTTTTCTTTTGGTCATGTGGTCAAAGAAACGGTTACGTAACTGCGAATGGAAACGAGTGACTCTGGGGACGATCATGATTTATCAAGGCGTGGCATGCGCAAACTATCCAACGAAACAACACTGACATCGGTGTTCAGAGGGAGGGGGGGATTGAGGGGCTAAAAAAACGGCGTAAAGCGAAGTTTAAGTATTTGTGCCAAGAGAAAATAACGTCCCATTAATTACTGTTGCTTAACAATAATTTAAGTTTGAGGTTGTTCTTGTAGGGGATCGTCGCAGAGGGGCTGTTTCTCCCCCTATGTTAAGTGTAGCATCATCAAAATCCAATAAGAACATTTCTGTCTCGTTGTGACCCAAGGAACAGCCATGAATCCGCAAACTCCTGTCATCTTTGAAGGAGGTCTTCGCAGTCGAGAGAGCCAAGCCCTCTTCAATTTTTCTTTTTTGACATGGAACACAATAAAATGGATTCAGAGAGTTGTGGAAATCTCTATGATGGACTGCTTGATAATAAACCGATTGAAAGCGGTGCGGGCATTTCCGGTTCTCGTAACAAGGAAGTGGGTAAACACTGTAGAAGTGATCTAAATATTCCTCTCTCGATTTGAAGTAACTCCCGCATGAGCAATTGCATTTCTTGTGCGAGTTTCGCATATGTATTTCCAACTGGTCCTTCGTTAAAAACTGCTTCCGAGGGCAAAACTGACATGAAATTCGCAATGGCAAGGATGGACCTTTTTCTTGCTCTGTAAAGAAACCTGCTTTCGCTTCCATCGGTGGATAAGTGTGGGGATTGATATTGTGTTCATGTTTCATATGCGCTTTCTTCAAATCATCCGAACAAAACAACTCTTGGCAGTGTATGCATTTCGTTTGTGAAGCCTTGTGCTTCAAAAGTACTTCTTCAGATGGAAATCTTTGACGGTAGCCATGGCACAACGGGTTTTGACAGAAGAAGTTGTGTTGTTCAAAGTTATGTTTGTCTGTCTCTTCTGTGCAGGCAAACACGAGGCGACAAAATCTGCACGAATCCTTCACAACTTCAAAAATATCCATTTCCAGACCATTGATCTCTTGAATGTCCAATTTTCCATTAAACAACTTCAAATTCGCAATAAGTTCCTCATACTGTCTCTCTCGCTCTGCGACCAAGAAAACTCGTCTCAGCGACGTATCTTGGTTGTCGCCTGACTCCTCAACGAGATCACCATATTTCTCGAGAAGGCACGCAATAAGCCCCGTATCAGATGCGTATGGGGATGTAGTGAGCGTGAAATGAGTTGTGATCCAGTCTGGATCTGATGGCGGAAGGGCTTTCACTGGAGTATCATTCCGCAGGAAAACGTGAACGCTTAATCGCGACTTTGCGTCTAGGGAAGTAAATTTGATGTCTTCGATGAAGTTGCGGCAGCTGCCTTCCCACACCAAATAGAATTCATCGTAATGTCTTCCCGCGAACATCTCTATTGACTCTTAGTTGATGGCCCGTCGATCTCACACGTACGTCTTCAAAGCAGCAGTGCTTTAAACGTTCTCGCCAATAACTGACTGAAGGATGGTCAAAAAAATACTATATTGTATTTCCATCCGACTGAAACAGTTCCCGACACGCAGGTGAACAAACGGGCTGACAAACATTATTATCATAAGCGGCTTCAATTCGGCGTGAAAACAAAAAGAACGTTGACATCTTCGAGTCGTCTTCGTATGAAAAGGGAAGTTTGGCAAGAAATACAAACAGCAAGTCTTGACCAGACGTCTCTAAGACAAAAGAGTTCGTGCTTTCTATATATTTAGGTCACTGAGAACTCTGAACACCGCGATTAATAATTAGAATTACAAAGGCCGGTGAAGAACACGAAATTGCAGTGTTGAAAGGTTGTTGATTGAGTTGCAATATTGGTCCAGCTTTCAGTCAGTTATAATCCTCTTTCATCCCGGCTAAGAATCATTGTGAAGTGGTGCAATTATCAACTAATTGTAAAATGGCAGTCTAATCACGTGAGAACAAAAGAGTGTATCTTTGACCATTAGAAAGCGGTACTTTTCTTAATGAAAATACTTTTTGACAAAAATTGAGCCATGTTTGCGTATCAGTCATCTATCGGTCTGTTTGAAGAGAGACCGACCAACCGCTGTATCAACAAAAACAAACTCTCTTAATTGAAACTCGGGATGAAGGTTAGAAGTCAAAATTGACAGTGTATATTTCAATCAAAGAGGACTTGTGGTATCAGTTTTTACTCAATAGGCCAAAAATATTATCTTCGACTCTTTTCTTTATTTTTAGAATGTTTCTCGTGGTTTTGCTTGGATGATTATGGCTTAAGGGGCGTGAAACTCGACGGAAAATATTATCGTGGTTAATCCAACTTAATTCGACCAAGTCACGAATCGGAGAAGGATTCTTCGAAGTTCCAAACTACCTCCTCCATGAAAATAATTTGGGACAGAGACAGAAAGATCCGGTTACCATGCATCTGGAGTTATGTTTATATATATTATTTACCTTTTTTTAGTATTTCTATTTATTTAATATTTTTAAACATTTCTGGAATGGTGATTTTTCTGCGTTTTGCGCAATTTTTTTCGCGGCTCGAGGTCACCGTAATTTCTGCCGGTAACTTACCTTCGCGACTTTTTTAAAGGCATCAGTTCGTTGACTGATTTGAGAAAACGCGAAAAAAAAATTTGAGCATAGGCTGCTTATTAGATTTTTTATTGAATCATATCTGTGAATCTCTGAGAGCGATGCTTTCAGTTAAGGAAATAAAAAGATTGGAAAAAAAACTAGTGTCAGTTAAGCCTACTCACGAATAATACTTCCCGGGGGTTTTTTTCCTTTGCATCGAACTGAAGGTTGTAAGTTTTATCCTGCCGAGTTTTGATGATCTTCTGTACAATAAACAGGGTCAAACGCGTCGAATACTCGTAAAAATACTTAACTGCTGGTATAACGTGACGTTTCGTCTCGGTCCAGAGGTTCATCAGTAACCTTTCAAAATGTCCGCGCAAACTTACTGACCATCGAAAGTTAGTGAATTACTTACAACCACCTAGAGGGTGTTCTCTTGATCACACGAGATTTGTTCTTCATTACTTGATACAGCATGAAATTCTCCTTAATAATTTCCAAAAAAATGCATGACAGACAGAAGAGAGAACTGCCAATCATAAAATGAAAATTAGGAGGTTTCATAACCCACAATTGACCTCTTATGTGTAGTTATATATCCTGAAGTGGTTTAGGCCTGTTTATCAAGGTTTTTCTCGTGACTCCAGTTAAGGGTACTTTTTTCGGTTGTTCAAAGCTTGGCCAATGCTGATTGTTCCCTATTCCAAGTCCAATGTCGATATTTGGGTTTCCAATCCAGCTTTGTGGTCAGTTCTTAATATCATTTGAATTTCTTCTGCTTTCTTCGAATTCTGCTTTCGATACAGGAAGGAAATGTGTTTGTATTGCATCATACGGCGGCAGAATGAGCACAGTAGTTCTCGCGCTCAGCAGACACAAACATGTTTGATAATTAGGGTAATTTTGAATGGGCAAGAGCAGGTAATATTCTTTGGTACCACGTAATTGACTGCATAAATTTGCCTTCACTTAGTTGTATCGTCATCCCTCATGGGCAACGTTTTCTTTACTTCCGCCTAGACTACAACTATCTGCAGACTTGTTAGGCGACTGAACGTTTACACGTGATGGTTCAGCCGAATATTCAGACAAATTGTTTTTTAGTTTATCAGCTGCGCTCTTACGGCTACTATCAACGTGTAGGTGACCACGATTATTTCCCAACTCTCCCTTCGTCTGTCTTTCACCAGCGGAAGGTGACGAAGTAATTGAAGAGGGCGAAGGATAAACAGCGAAAAAATGATCCAGATATGACAATCGCTCGCCATAATATTTCCCACAAGGACAGGGACACTTTTTGTGCGAGCTTCGCTTATGAAGTTCTAGCACATCCGAGGAGCAGAACACCTTTGTGGGGCAAAATGCGCATCGAAGTTGATTTTTTATGTGTTCCTTTAACTCGGTTTCTCCGCGAAAAGAGTTTTCCTTTGCGTTAAATTTGCATTCCTGGTTCGGGCAAACAAATCCATGGCTCTCTCTGTCGTGAATATCCAGCTCCCTCTTTTCAGTAAAAGCAATCCTACAGTAGGGACATTTAAATTGTAGAAAATCTAGTAATGTTGTTGTTGTGGTAAATTCCACGCATTCCAGCTTGACTTGTTGCATTTGATCAACAGTTTCAGCCAGCTTTTTACATCTTTCTGTCGATTTTGAGATCACGTAGTACGCTTGAGTGGGAACAGATTTACCAACAAATGCATCAGAACCACCCCGACTACCCAGACTTGCTGAGGTTTTTGCGGTTCCCGGCCTCCTTTTTTCATGAGGTGTCGACAACGAATAGTTTGCTTCCAAGTTAAATCTCTTTACGTAAGACTCCAACAAATCCCAAGCGGAATTTTCCTGTTCTGAAGCTGCAGGATGTTTAAAAAGCCAGGGCTTGTACTTTGGAAGAAATTTCGTCGAAATTTCTTGCCTATAGAAGATGTGTAAAACAATGACGCCGCGTAGCGATGGCGACAAAGTGATTCCCTTGATAAAACTGACGAAGTCTGTATCCCATTCGACGAAGAAGACAATCCTTCGATTAGAATTCATGGTGAAGGCCTCGCAATACTTCTGTCTCTAAATTTCTATGATATTCAGTAATGTTAGCATGCCGAAAATATTTGCCTCTTCCGTTGAATTCGACGTATAATATTTCCAACGAAGACAACACTTGCAGCAGCCCACGAAGTTAAACAATAATAAATAATACTTCTTCAAAATTTCCTCACGTCTTCTTTACTTATTCTTATACATAGCAAAGGACACTAAACACTATCCACGAAACTGTTCCAGAAGGCTAAATAAGCTCCAAATGCGTAGAGTTTTGATAAGATGAATAATGTCCTGCGATTGTTTGCTCACCGTATCGTAAAATATGTTTGTAAGGCCCCATAGCAGGTGTTAGATCTTTCTTAAAGTGTTTCATGTCGCATGGTAACCGATGTTATATCTCACTTAATTTGCATTGAATGAGACCTGAATATTTCATTAACGAAAATACTGTCGGGTTAACTGAAGTTCGAAATTTTTTCTGAAATATTTATCATGCACATAAATTTCACAAATTGAGTTTGGTTTCTATTTCACAATTGGTTACAGTTTATTGACCCAGTCAGGGGTCACTCATCAATCTGTTTTTTCTGTTTGTTTTGGAAACGTAAACAAATAAGCTGACAGCATTTTATTAAATTTTTGATAACTAGCGTAGATAACGCTTCTGTATGCACCTTGTAGCTTCGGAATAATGAAGAATTAAATATGACAAATTATGACCGCACACATTCTCCTATCCTGTTTCCGCCTGTGAATCTCCTCTCTCTCTCTTTCTCTCGTTTGAACGTTCTATAGGTTTTTTTTCTACAAAAAAAAGAAAATTATTTCGTTTTGTGACGACAACGACAACGACAACAACGACGGATGAAGCGTCGGAGGCGACGTTAACGATGACGACGATGACGTAACCGATACCGTCGACGATGATGACGACACACGCACGCTTACAAAGCTCAAAAACTAATAATAAAAAGTAAAGAAATAAAAAAATGAAAAACCAAAAGAAACAGGGGCGGATACAATTTTCATTTATACTAGCGAGGCAACAATGCACTATTTATGCGATTCGATCAACGTTATGACAAAGGACGAACGCTCAAAACGTCGACTTTAGAAACTCTTTCGGGTGGTCATTTACTTTACCAACTCAGTTGTTGAAACCAAATTATCTTGTAAAACTCCCCCCTCCCCTCCCTTCCAGCTTCCCACCCCCCCCCCCCACAGACGCATCACCCAGTATCTTTAGAAACCTACCCCTTTTAAGTCTTTATTTTATTTACAAGACTCCAGAAAGAAGTATGATACTTGACAGTAAAAGGGAGATTTATCAAAGCATAATTCCTAATGCTGAATGCAATTTTATCTATTGGCTAGCCTGGATTTCTAAATTTCGAGTTAAACAAAATAAATTCCACATACCCATTTCTTAGGTTTTACCATCTAATCTCTGTGTTGAATTTGTGATAAATTGCTTTGAGAACATTTCTTGGTGTCTCTTAGCTTTCTACAGGTGAAGAAGTCAAGTGAAAATGAATTCGTAGCAGAGAGAATCGCGTCCTGTCAAATTTTATGTAGTTTATACTTAGTTGACACTTTCGCCAAAGCTTAGCACGGTATGCGGGCCTAGATAGCTAGATTGGCCGTCAATAGATTGGGTACGAAAAACACATAAAACACTAAAAATGGCGGCAGAACTTGAAGATGCTCGTGATCACCTCTCTCAAAACACTAGACCATCCGTTCGTTTCACGAGACAAGCTGGATTGGAAAGGAGAAGGCCTTCGTAAGTTCATCAGCGTTACTTATATTGTAATAATCTAAGTTGACCCTCTGACTCGTGGTATAAATGGGAAAAACGCGAAGAAAGCTTGATCGATTCGAAGATGTATGAGAAGTCGATTTTAGTTAACTCTCCTTCTAGCAAATCATTTAAACCGTGGTGTTATCTTTGTCTAGAAAGCGCCAAACTACATTAAGAAGCTTCAAGATTAATACAAACTGGAGAGATCGGTCAACGCAAGTCGCCACCACTACAACTGCCATTTCAAGTCAGGTGAGCAAAATGTGTAATTATTATCAACATCTGTATCGTCTTTACTTTATGGATCAATTGGTCTCCAACTAGCACTGACGAAGGGCCAACGCTCGAAACGTCAGCTTTGAAACTATTAATGGTGGCTAATTTACGTTATCAACTCAGTTGATAATACCAAATTACCTTGTTATTGCCTCCCACCAACACGGCCTGTATAGTGTCATTTTTTACCATAAGATCCAGTTTCTTAATCCTGTAACCCGAAGAGTGACCAGCATCTAATTTCTCCTTACAGAAATACTTCCGAATCGTTCATTAGAACGTGAGAAAAAAGGAGATGATCGGTAACCTAAGAAGCTTTGATTGTTCAACAAATTCTCCCTGCCAGTACTAAAGGGACGTGTAAAGGGAACAGTATGGAGAATATAGATTCTAATGTAAAGGGGTAATAATTGCCTTATAGCATCCTTTGCTTCTGTTTTTCAAAAGGGATTGCCAGATGCACTTCCAAGTGGGCGAGAACTATCTCCAGTGCCACCAACACCAGATCAAGGCCCTCCAAACAACTCAAGAGATTCATTGAGATCTCCTTTGATAGAAAGTCTGGTGGCCTCAAAATCAAATGTTACCCACCATCTTGAGGTTCTACAGGATAGTTCTCCTGTTATCCCACGTCAAAGCAGTGTTGTAACAGACCATGAGCAGGTGTTATTAGTTTCTCACTCTAGAACACCTGATGGAAGTCCAAGTTCAATTATATTGTACAGTTCAGAGGACGAAACTAAAACAGGTTTTTGTACCATTAATTATCTATGAATAAATTACCTCAACTACCAGCTTTCTGTTTGCATCCAGTTTAAATTCTTATTTATGAACTTGTCTCTTTTTTATCTTTCTTTTAAATTCTTTTCTGTCAGCTATTTGCTGATCAGAAAACAAAGTGACAAAATTCTTGCTTTTATTTCTATCAACAGATCAAGGAAGCATGGTTAGAACTCCAAATCAATCTCCACAAAAGGTACAAGTAGACCAATTCAACCCTTTAACTCCCAAGATACAATTAATAATTCTCCCTACTGACTGCCATACTTTTTCTTGTAAGTTATACAGAAGAATTTAGTCTTATTTCAAAACAACACCCTCTAACTGTTAAGTTTGTCTGTTCTCGTAACCTGTTTACAAGATTATCAATTGGAATTGCAAGGAGAAGTTGCATGTTAATCTTTTCTGAGAATTATATGATTGACATAAGTCAGCTACCTATGGATATAATTAAGCTATTTAATTTTTATGATATTACTCACAGTCTTGTAGATTATCAACAAAAAGTTTTCATTTTTTTTCATTTGCAGTTGTTATCAGACAAGACTCCTGTTTCAGGTCCTGTTGCATTTAAGACAAGAAATAGCAGAAAGAGAAAAGGAAAAGTAGCTGAACCAACAGGAGATGAGGAGATGGAATCCTTAGAAAATGAGTACAAAAGTGAGAAGAAAAATCTCTCCAATTAATAATATTAATAATAACAATACTAATAATAATATTGACACATTTTTTGGGACACTCACTGTCTCAAATTTAGAAGAAAATGTCATAAGGCATACTAAACTCCAGATTAAATGAAGATCTTAGTTAATTAAAAGAATCTTCAACTTATAAAAAATAATTCTTTGTTTGCAGATTTGTATATCAGGTCATATTTACTAGAACAATGACAGACTTAATATGGACAACAGATTTTTTTTGCAATATACTGATTGCCCTATGCTAAAGTACTAGTCTGTTTGTACCTAAAACTCGTGCAATTGTGGTTTTATGCTTCCTCTTACAAGAGTGGCTGATGTAATCTGCTGTTAATATTAAAATTTATTACCAATTATTTTTTGTTTCTTTTAGAAAATAACTTTGTGAGATTGTTTAATGCTGATCATGGAAGAAAAAAGAGAATGTCAGAGATAACAGATCTTGATGTTATTCTTACTGCTGTTGAGGAAGAAGCCTTGGAAATCAGGTGCTGAAATTAGAATGCTAGTCACACTTAAGGGGTCAAAGGGTTATTAACCCTTTACACCCTAACATCAGTATGTATATTCTCCATACTGTTCTTGATACATTTCCTAAGGTGCTGACAAGGAGAATTTGTTTAACGATCAAGAGCTTCATTAAGATGGTGATGATTTCCTTGATTCTTTTGACCTTAATGTTTGATTCAGGGGTGATATTGTAAGGATAAATTAGATGCTAGTCAGTCCTAGGGTTATTAAAGGATTTCCTTGATCCATATATTTCAATAGGAATGACATTGAGACAACAGCTGGGAAGCAAGCTATAAAAGAACTCTTCATACAAATGAGAAAAACATTCAGTGAAACTGTAAGTTACACTTCGAGTATTTGATACCATGAAACTAAGGTTGCTTGGTTATGCAGTTAATTTAGTGTTGACAACTGAGTTGAAAACATAAATTGGCCACCATAAAGGGTAAAAAAAGCTGACGTTTCGAGCGTTAGCCCTTCGTCAGAGTGACAAAGGGCTAATGCTCGAAACATCAGTTTCTTTTACCCTTTATGGTTGTTCAAACTTAATGACCTATTATACTCTCCCACCAACGCAGCACCACAGTTTCTTTAGAAACTTACCCCCTTTATTGCTTGATTATGGTTGAACTTGTCTAGAACAGTGTGTAGTTATTATTCATAGCCATGTGCAATGCTTTTTTAGTAGTTTTAATGTTTTCTATCTTTAAAATTTTCAGTTTTTTATGTAATAACTTTTAACCCTTTACACCCTAACATCAGTATGCATATTCTCCATACTGTTCTCTATACATTTCCTAAGGTGCTGATAAGGAGAATTTGTATAACAATCAAGTACTTCTTAAGTTGGTGATCATTTCGGTTATTCTCAAGATCTCAAATGAATGATTCAGAAGTGTTATTGCCAGGAGAAACTAGATGCTGGTCACTCTTAGGGTTTAAAGGGTTAGATAACTATTGACAGAGGCTCACCAAGCCTGTATCTGCTGTACAAATATAATATAAAACCTGAGCTTGAGATGATCCATACCTTTGTCTGTGTCTTGTATTCCACACCATTATCTAAAACAGAGACCCCCTCCCCCCTCCTTTGAAAGGAAAACCTCTAAATGTAGGTTGTAGTTTAAAATGTGCAGGTTACCATGTTCTTTGGTGAAACACTTTAACCCTTTAACTCCCATGAGTGACCAAGACAGAATTTCTCCTTACATTATTAATACAAAATCAAGAAGACAAGTTATGAGAACCAAGAAAAGTATCAATGGGATTATTAGTAGATCCAATACCAAATTCTCAGAAATAACATCTGAAGAATTGTATAGCAGACAGTCAGGAGAAATTCTAATTAGATCTTGGGAGTTAGAGGGTTAAGATAAAACTTTCACAATGCCTCTCTCAACCAAGGAGTTTAAATGGGTAGCGGTGAAGTGTCAGGGAAGCCTGATGAAATGTTAGGGGGGGGAGGGGAGTAGGGGAGGGTAAACTTGTGATGGATTGGCATCCCATCCAGGGGGGAATGGTAATACTCTCAGTTGCCCATGCTATAGCTGGATGGATCACTTGGCTTGAGTACGGAGTAAATGAAACTCAGGTCAAAATTCATTACATTAAACTAGTTTGATATCATTTCCTCTTTGTCCAATACACATCATGATGACCTCAAACAAAGGGAAATAAAAATAAAACTACTTTGAAATCACACTTTATCACAAATATATCATATTAGATATTTTCAATAATTGTATTCCAGAGTATTTTAACATGTTGTGCTGTAAGTTGAGACTCTATATTTAAACTCACACTACAAGTAAGTGTTCAGTTATTTACAATTTTGCAAAAAATACTCAGTTACAATACATAATTATGAAACTGTGTATGGTAAGATTATCTTGTTGTTATCTTGCAGATTGATATTCACAGAGAAAACCAAATGTTAAAGGCCAACCTGAGAAAGGTTTAACTGTTAAGTTTAATTTCAATTTTAGTATTCTGAGGAAACCTAGTACTTCAAGGGTCTTTACTCAAGGTGGAAAAACTAGCCATCTCCAATCTCATAAAAGATAATGATGGTGATAATGATGATGATCATAATTATAATATAGTGACTATTATTCATCATAGGTGTTACCATTATAATAAAATACTCAATGATCAATCCTTTCCACCCTGACGTCAGTAAAGGTATTCTCTATACTGTTCCCCATACATTCACTAAGGTGCTGACTAAGAGAATTTATGTAAAAGTCAACAGCTTCTTTGGCTGCTGATAATTTTCTTTATTCTCATGACCTTGCTGCATAATTCAGGAGTGATGTTGTATGGAGAACTGAGATGCTGGTCACTCTTAGGAGTAAAAGGGTTAAAAGATATTTTCTTTTGATTCAAGTTTTGCATGCTTCAGAATAGTTCCCTATGTTTTTTAGTTCACCCTTTGACATAAATGATCTGATTTTTTTAACATTTTCTGCCTGATAAGTTTGAGTATCCTCATTACCTGTTTGCAGGATATTATGTATGGATATTATAGGGTGAAGTTCATTCAATCACCTCTGGGAGTCACAGGGTTAACACTGAAGTGGCTATTGTTTGGTGCACTTAAATGATCAGTTGATTATCATGAATTTTGAATTGATAATTTGATGTACTACTTTCTCATTCAAATGTTATCTTACAGGCAAAATCCAAAGTTAACAAATTACGTAAGGATCTCTTAAGTGTGCAGCAAAAAAGATCAAGGTATGCACTTTTAATTTAAATCTACTTACACATCAATTCTTCTTTGCATGAGAACTTAACCCTTTCCATCCCAACACCAAAATGCATATTCTCCATACTGTTTTATATAAATTTCCTTTGAGACTGGTAAGGAGAATACCTCTAACAATCACATGCTTCTCTGGTAAATGATCATTTCCTGTATTTCCTTGACCCTCAGTTGATATTTGATTCAGCAGTGACACTGTAAGGAAAAATAAGATGATAAAGAAATCATTTTTGTGAAAAGTTCAGAGGCCAGGATCATGAATATGAGGAATACCCCCAAGGTGTCTCAAATCCAAGATCTCTTTGTCTCACTTGCAGGATCTTGTTGAAAATTGAACAAGAGGAAAAGAAAGTGCAACAAAATCAGGAGAGACAGAAGGTAATTAAATGTAAAGGAGAACAAAAATATTATCAAAAAGAGAGATTTTTGAAACATACAATGTAATTCATGTGTCTCAAAAGTTAGAAACAATCAGTCTAGCATGTGAGAATTAAATGTTCATAAACCATTTGCACCATAACATCAGTATGAAAATTCTCCATACTACTCTCTGTCCTGTGGTACTAACAAAGAGAGTTTGTTTACCAATCAAGAGCCTCTTAAGTTGGTGATCGTTCCCTTTATTTTTGTGAACTTACTGTTTGATCTAAGGGTCATATTGTAGGGAGAAACTGAATACTGATCACTCTGAGGGGTTAAAGGGTTGATGATGGATAATACTTATATATTAAGAAAGTGGTTTTATGAAAACTGGGGTTGCTTTTGTTTGCATGCTAGAAATTCCAAACAGTAACTTTTGGAACCACCCAGGGTGCTTACATTTGTTGCTGAAGTTTAAAAATCAATTTACTACATGTTAACTTTTTAACTTTTATACCTTTTTAGATAACACCATAAAAGTGATATCCTTTAATTTCTTCAGGCCCTGGAAGATTTCAGCTCCTTTCTTGTTGACCTTGAGGCATTACAAAATGAGTGTAGAAAAGAGATGTCCTCAAAGAAGGCATCCACACAAGTGAGTGAACTCTCATCATTTCCCTTAAATAAAAATGAACTGGATAAAACCTCATACTGAAAAATGATTCGATAGTTTCATCAACAATTTTAAATAAACAAGTTAACTGTGATCAATCCACCAACCTTTAATGTAATTTTTTCCGGGAACAAGTCCATTTTCCAGAATTCTTATCATAAGAGGCCAAGACATTGAGTTTCAATGTATTGGAGTTTTCATTTACAATCCTTTAGTTAAATTAAATTTGTTTTCAATTTCTTTTTCAGGACTATGGGTCATGTGACAACCTTCCAAGTCTGCTTATTGAAGGGCACAGTTCATTAACAACTGTTAATCAGCTTAGATCTATCAATGAGCTTTTACAGCAAAGACAGTGATGTGTCTATTATCTATTAATTTGATTTTAAGATAAATATTTGTGCAAATAAACATGAAGAAAAAAACATTTTAAAATAAGGTTTTAAAATATGTCTGATTACTGAGTCAAACCTAAATATGTTCAGTAACCATAATTATGCCATGCTACTCATTCTTCCAACAAAAAAAGTAAACAGAGTTTAAAAAAAAAAAAAAAAAAAAAAAAAAAAAAGAAGCTGACCAAAAGTAGTCTGTCTTTCCCAGAAAAGTCCATCACGCATTGAGTCAAAAGAAATAAGCAAAAAATAATGAGTTGGCACCATTTGAACTCTGGGAGCCCCTCACAGATTCCATGCAGCTCCAACATATCTTTTACTGATTTCTACTGACTTGCATGATGGACTTTGCTGGGAGAGATATTTCTTTATAAAAAAACTTGAACATTTCTCCATCACCCATCAAATATTATATAATATTGAATTCTTGCACAGCATGATTGCTATATTTTATGTGACCATCAAATTGCATGAAAATAAGATTGGTGTTTAGAGACAAACATAAATCATGCTGTTATAAATATTCCAATGAATGCCAGTAGTTCTTTACTAGGAAGAATGATTATCAAGTGACTTCTTTCTGTCCTCTGCAATAGATAAATTTTCTTTGGATCAGATCAAATAAATACTAAAATTATTCTTCTGAATGGCTCACAGGCACGTTGCATAAATTTACTTTAACTTTATGTTAAAGCAATGAACCACTTTAACCCCTTCACTCCCAAAGATGATGAACATGTAACTTCTCCCCATGATATTCATACATTATCCAGAAAACGGGTGATGAGAATACTCAAATTTATCAGGTATAGTTTGTTATCTTGATCTAATACCAAATTCTTGTAACTGATTTACAAGTGAATGTGTAGCAGCTGGAGGGGAGGGTTAACAGCTAGATCTGGGAAGTTATAGGGTTATATGCTCTATTTCTGAATGGTTCAGTGGCACACTGTAATATTTCATATCACCTGAAAAGTTAAAGCAAAAAAACAAAACAAAAACACGTTGGAATCAAGTATCAAAAATCATTAATATACTAGGGACTTTATTCTTGAAAATTATCTATTACACCTTGCCTAAATTACCTGTCTTCTTCTTATTCCTTTGTTCTCCCTGATCCTGTTGATTCCTGGCAGAATATGCATATTAATTATGTCTGAGTTTTAAACAACAATAAAAATTTTTTGTCTAACAAGTGGGTCCACGTACAACAACAAAAACAACAAATCTTTTTTCTTGAGTAGACTTAATTTTTCCAAGTCTGCACATAAGAAAGATTTACAGTCTGCTTGCTTGTAGTAGTAACTTTTCTTTTTCGCTTTTGTCTATCAACTCTTTTTAATCGAAGTTTCTCTCATTAACCTTTCAATCTTGGTTAAAAAAAACTCACCTGATTCTTTGTTCGAAACAGACGCCACGCGCACCTGAGAAGGACGCAGTCCCAAATATGGTAGGAAACTTTAGTGGCTTCTTGTCTGTGATTGGTTACTTAGCGGCTTGACAGACAACGCCAAGCTAGCACACACTTCACTCATCCCCCTTGCAACTTGTGTGTGTTTCTTGGATCCAACATGTCGGGCCGCGGTGGGAAACAAGCTAAGAGGGCGAAAGCAAAATCTAGGTCAGCCAAGGCAGGCCTACAGTTTCCAGTGAGCCGAGTTCACCGTTACTTGCGCCAGACGACTCATCATTTCCGCATCGCGTCGGGTGCGCCAGTTTACCAAGCAGCTGTGATGGAATACTTGACTGCTGAGATCTTAGAACTCGCAGGAAACGCGGCGCGTGATAATAAGAAAACTAGAATAATTCCGCGGCATATTTTGCTGGCCGTGGCCAACGATGAAGAACTGCATCAGGTTAGTGTTCTATTTAAATTTTTTTTGGTTTGATATGTAGCACTACATTGTATGTTCTATTGTTAGTGGAGGTATAACTTTTTGATGCTATCGGTGCACGGTTCGTACCCATACCTGCGTTTCTTTGTGACATTCGAACAGATGATCTCTCGAAGGAGAGCGGTTTTAAAATTCGTTGTTCCTCGTGGAAGCTTGGTATCTTACTGTGTCAAAGGAAATCTTATAAACACGGTCGCAAATGTGCAAAAGTAACGATTTATACTTTAGTGTGAAGGGACCAAGTTTTACTAAAGCTTGATCAGCACATGAAATCATAAACACAGCCTGCCAACCGAACAGCTGTGAAACCGCGTTGTTGAGCAGTCGCGTTCATTTTCTATGCCCGTGTTAATTTGATCGCTTGAAAGAAAAGTCGTACCTTTTTATGCGCTGTAGTTATTTCGCCTCGTTTCACTTTCGTTTGATCCTAAACAAATCTTACTTCTATACAGTACCGCTTCACGCGTGTTTATTGACTGGTGCCTTATTCATAGACACACCACTTTCCATATTATAGCAAGAAAGGAGAGTTTGTGAGTGTTATTTCCCATCCTTCGAGGACTTCTTTGTGATTTTGATACCAAGTATTCACAGGTATTCAATGATTACTCATGAGAAATTTGTTCTTCCACGAATTTGTGTGACCTCGTACAAGTTAGAAATTCATGTCGGTATTGGTCTGCGGGCTAAGGATCGCTTCCGGTGGACTGATCGTGGTACATATACGAAGGAACTAGTAAACTTGAATGGGAGCAAATTACTTTTTTTCCTCTTGCTATTTTGGAAAACTGAAAGGTCACCAAAAACATCTTGTGAATGCTGAAGCCACCTCTAGGAGAATTTCTGAGAGCTTATACATTCAGGATTGTCATTCATTTCTTGGCTTTCGAACATGTAACTGCTCAGTTTATAGCGGAGCTCACAGAGTGTAGCCCCATCATTTTACAAAATAGTAGTAACCCATCAAGCCGAAAAAATTTGGATGTACGACCATACAACCATACAAGGTGCTACTTTTAACATGCGTGGTCAACTGTACTGCGGGCACATCAATGCCACAGCCTTGTCCAGTAGTCCAGTGGTCAGTGCACTGGGCTCCAAGTCAGACGACCCGGGTTCTAGTCCTGGCAGGGTTAAGGCATTGTGCCCTTGAGACATGTGGAAAAAAAAAATGCGAGCTCTGCTTTTAGGCTTGGCTAAATCTTTATATTATTGAGTATTGAAACAAGCTTATCTAACCTAAACTCATCATTACAAATGGTGATTGAAATGTCTGTACCCAAATCACAAGCACTCTAATGAAGACCTGCTTCCTGAGTCCCTTCAGCAACTACTAGTGCAATGACGTATTTGATGTATTGGGTCAATGTCAACATTTGAACACTTGTGCCAATACCCCTAACTTGTTGATATATAGATTTAGCCAAGCCTAAAAGCGGAGCTTGCATTTTTTTTCTCAAATGTCTCAAGGGCGCAACGCCTTGCCTCAGCCAGGACTAGAACCCAGGTCGTCCAACTAGGAGCCCAGTGCACTGACCACTGGACTACTGGACAAAGCTGTGGTGTTGGCATGTGCGCGGTACAGTTGTTCACGCATGTTAAAAGTAGCACCTTGTACAGTCATACATCCAAATTTTTTCAGCTTGATGGGTTACTTCTATTTTCTATAATTATGGGGCTATGCTCTGTGAGCTCCGCTATCAGTTGACTGTTATTGGGTCAGGGGAGGAGTGGGTGTGCAGTTCCTTAGATACTGACTTTGATCTGATATATCCTTAAAGGGACCTTGAATTCTAGAGTTAACCCCTAAGAGTGACTAGCATCTAATTTCTCCTTACAATATCTCCCCTGAATTAAACATTTATGCCATGAGAGTAAAGGAAATGGTCACCAACTAAAGAAACCCTGGATTGTTAGACTAACTCTCCTTGTCAGCACCGTAGTAAATCTACAGAGAACAGTATGGAGAATATGAATTCTGATGCAAGAGTGTAAAGGGTTGATATGTCTTGTTGATTAGCCAAACTGAAAAGCTTTGTTATATTTGTTGTTTACCAAAGTGAGGTGTATCTTAATTTTACCAGTTGTTGAAAGGTGTGACAATTGCATCTGGAGGAGTCCTCCCTAATATTCACCCGGAACTTTTGAAGAAAAGAAAAGGTGGGAAACTCGTACCACCAGATGAAATAAAACCAAAGCATCCAAAGACAACATCAGCACCCAAACCAACCACATCAGGGAAGAAAATGCCAAGTCCAGCAAAGAAAGCACCCTCGCCTGCCAAGAAAGCACCTATTTCTCCTGCTAAAGGGAAAAAGAAAGGGGTAAGTTAAGGTATCTTTCATCTTTACGGCAGGATTTTCCATAAGAAGCAGATTAGGTGGGAATAGTCCAGTAGTAGGCATGAAGATGAGCACTCTTAGCTTGTTGATGTAGGGATTTCAATATCTTTTTCCATTGTGGCTGCCAATAATTGGTGTAACAGGCAGCTGTACCTATAGAAGGAGTTATCAAGGAAACCCAAACATTAGAGCGTTCTCAAAGGCTAAACAGTAAGCAGTTAGATTTCTACAGGCAGCGATAGATGTGCAGCCAGTGAGTGGCTTTTAGTGAAGCCCCTGTGATAGCATGAGTCCCTAATTTAGCCTCTCAAAATTTAAGCCTCTTGAAATACATTCTCTGCACTTTGGAGTAAGAATTGTCTTTATGCAATGGAAGGCTTCTCACCATATGGAGTAGTATGTCTGAATGATCAAAGAATAGAGAAACAGGAAGTATTGCTAAAATTACTCAGAATTTAGGCAACAATATTTAGTTTTGGTGTTTTTGTTTAACAATCAATAGCTTTTTGAGTTCACAACCATTTCTTTTAATGTCATTACCTTGGATTTAGGAGTGATACTTTTGGGAGAAACTAGATGATGATCATTGAAGTAGTGTTCCAGTTTGTGTTCTCTCATCCTGGACATCTTTATTAAGTCTTAGTCTTCTTCCTTTTTAATTTGCCTAACATATTTTTAATATCACTGTAATATTATTTTCAGCCTGCTCCAAGAAAAGGAGCTGACAAATCTTCTTTAGGTGCAGGAGTTACTGTTCTTTCAGAGAAAACTCTCTTCTTGGGCCAAAAGGTAAGTGTTACAGAAGATGATTTGACTGGTACAGCCGTGAGGAATGCTTCATGGTTCTATCTACAATGTGTATTGCCTCTCATTCCTTCCTTTGACACAGTCATTAGTTTTCTAAGCCCCAAGATCATCTACTGCTCAGTTTTAAGCATGTTAAGGATTGTTATTAATTGAATTGTTTTCTCTTGTTTTAGTTAACAGTGATTCAGTGTGATATTGCAACAGTGGAGGCAGATGCTTTAGTACACCCAACTAATGCATCATTTTATCTCGGTGGTGAAGTAGGTTCGTGCTTAAATCTTGTTCTTGCCTTTTTAGACCTGGGATATCACTTCATTGGTACTCGATGCTAATTGATCTCTTGCTTGAGTGACCAAGACTGATTTTCTCTTTATAATGTTAGTACAATATCAAGTGGACAAGTGATGAGAATAAAGAAGAATATCAATGAGGGCATGATTAGTTGATCTACTACCAAATTCTCTGAACAAACACGGGGAGAATGGTGTGGCAGACAGTAAGGAGAAGAGTGAAAAAGGGTTAAACTCCTTTACACCCTAATGTTTGCATACATGTATATTCTCCATACTGTTCTCTATACATTTCCTGAGGTGTTAACAAAGAGAATTTGTTTAACAATCAAGAGCTTCTTCAGTTGGTGATCATCTCCTTTACTCTCATACCCTTCATGAATGATTCAGGGCTGATATTGAGAAATTAGATGCTAGTCACTGTTAGTCAAGAGGTTATGCAAGTGGAGCTTGACTGTTGCAAATGGCAGGAAATAAAGAAGATCAATTATTGTATTAAGTAACTGGTATCATGGGTCTCAATTTGCTAGCTTCCATTCAGTTGAGAAAGCTGGTGGAATTTCACCAAAATTATCAATGATTAATTTGTTTTCACTCAACCATATTAAAAGTTTGTCTTTTGTTGTTGTTAGGAATGTGATGGTTTCAAATGTGCCTAACATTTATTTTTGATGCTGCATTGATTTTCAGGTTCAGCTCTTGAGAAAGCTGGTGGAAGTGAGTTTAAGGAGGAGGTAAAAAAACTCTCTGAATCTCATGGACCATTAGAACTAGCAACAGGTATGTTTTAACACCTCTCAATCAGTCCAGCTCAAACACAGAAAATATTCTTTTAGCTCCCATTTGGACAAAGTCAGATACACTTGCTAACACAGCTCTTTTCTGGCAGGGATTGTGGTTCAAACTTTGGTTCTTGCAAATTGAAAAATTTGTCTTCTAGTAACTTTTACTTTTAGTTTGGGCATAATTGCATCTGTGGTTCAGATTTGGTCAGCTGATGCAACTGTTTGTTATGCATATTGCCCATGCTGTTCTCTATACATTTCCTAAGGTGCTGACAAGGAGAATTTGTTTGAAAAATACAGAGCTTCGTTAGTTTGTGATCATCTTCCTACTTCTCATAACCGTAATGTTTGATTTGGGTTGATTCAGTAAGGAGAAATTAGATTCTAGTCACTCTTAGGGGTTAAAGAGCCAATGTCACTTGTAAGTGATCAACACTCCCATTTCTAACTGACATTTATTTTATTTTATTTGTACATTTATTTAAAGAAATCAGTATAAGGTTTACAAAACTTCATGTCCTGCAAATAGCTACAATGCTAATCTAGGCAGGACAAGACTTTAACTAAAGGCGTTATTAAATTACATAAGAAAAAAGAAAAGAAGAAATACAAAAACATACAGAAAGAAACACCTTACATATAAATTCAAGTACAAGGGATTTTGTTATTTGAAAAAGACTAAAATTACAACTAGAGGTATATACAATATATCACGTTAACTTCACAAAATATTCTATTAAAAACTTAACATTCAAATAATAATAAAACTGACAATTTTTTTTATTTTTCTTCATCAGCGGCTATTTGTGATGGACATAACTTTCCAGCGCAGTATGTGATCCATGTTCATAGCCCACCTTGGGAAAATGATTCTTCTGTTGAAAATCTCGAGAAAGCTGTCAAAAGTGTGTTGACATTGGCTGATGAGAAGAACATCAAATCTATTGCTATCCCCTCTATTGGCAGTGGATCGTAAGTATTTTTTTAAGTATTGATATTGCATGTTTGACTTAAAAGCTTGTGCAAAGTCATCAACAAATTTATTCCTGAATGCTCTAGATTTTACAACTTCATGAAATTTTCCTTAAAATATTTTCCATTGCAACAGTTAAAAAGTGTTTTTATCATAGAAGGTCTTTCTTAGTTTCAACAATGAATGGACATGCAGAGTTGATTCAAATTATGCGGCTATTGGAGAAACACAATGTAACAAAGGCAGGGTTCTCAATAAGTCAGGAAGTAGATGGCTAGCTTCTTGGACTCAATGGCTGACAATCTGAGATTCTTTCATGGGTTTCATGGTATGCTTCCATACAAAATATCATATTTGAAATGCGGAGACTCTGAAATGTTTTTCTATGCACTCTTTCTGGAGGTAAACCCAAAGCAAAATGGTAGTTTCTTGGCTTGGTAGACACCTGCCAGTAAGAGATTGGAAGTACTTGTTAAATTACTGTGTATGTTTTTGTGGAATGCAAAGACAAATTTTTAAGAAATAGGTCTCCCCACAGCAGTGGTGCTAAGATGAGAAATTAGATGTTTGTCAATAAGAGGTTAGTTTGCAAATGCAAAAACAAGTTTCAAGAAATTTGGCTCCCCACAGCAGGGGTGCTTTGAGGAGACATTAGATGTTAGTCACCCTAAGGGTTAAAGGATTTAACAGCCCATCTTAACTATCTTTCTATTTTGTTTCTCCCGAAAGCAGCAACAACTTCCCCAAAGGCACAGCTGCACAGGCCATCCTGAAAGCCATCTCCAACTATTTTGTGTCCGTCATGGCGTCATCCCTGAAACAGATCTATTTTGTTTTAGATGACATGGAATCCATTGGAATTTACACCATGGAACTTGCGCGTCTTGACTCCTAGGAATTGCTTACACATTTTGTCACATCTTTTTAGAATATTCCATTGTAAGAAATGATCAGGCGCAATATGTGTCATCATCATCTTGTCTGCCTGTCATGTGCAGAATTTAGCTGTATTTTTTTTTTATATCTATATTTTCCACTCCTTAAAATCTGAGTGTTGATTCTTCTTGTTAGCTTCCATACATTTCATTCTGTGTCAGTTTTGAAAAGTGAGGATTACATCAAGATGAAACCACGACATCTATTTTTGCCAGTATTGTCATTACGTGTCCTTCTTCATAGTGTTGTAATGGAAATTTGCACTCTGAACACTTCAGTTTTACTGACTGTTAGTAAAGCAGCATCTGAAAGTATCTGTTCCCTAGACCTGAGTAAAAGGATGGATGCCAAGGAAAATTGCCTCCATGTGCTGAGGGTGAGTTATTCCCCAAACCAGAGCAATATTTATTGTATGGAAACTGTGAAGGAGAGTTAATGTTTGATGAAGTAATCACCGTGGGGTTTCATATGCAATTTTAAACAAGCACATTTAACTTGCTCAAGGAGTCAAAATGGTTTACTGGTGACATAAATAGCATAGGTTAAGGCTCCAATGAATCACATGTGGCCTTCCTCTGCCTTTGCAGATCATGTAGAACTATGTTTCAGTTGGGGGGGGGAGGATTTGACAAGGTCCCTATGATTTTAGGACGCACTTTATCCTCAATAAGTAAACATATTTGTCTAGGATTACTTATATACTCATCTTCTTGATCTCTTTAAGGATGGGGTGGGTAGTGTATCTCCACCCACTCCTCCCCCTGTTGTTAGTTTGTTACTGAGTTACAAAGTCTGACATGGAGAAAATTATGCATGAGTTCAAGTTCTTTGTTAAGGTAGTTCCTGCGGGGATGTTCCAATATTTCTTGCTCTTAATCATTCCTCCCCAATATGTCATGCTGTGATGAACATGTCAACTCTGAAGCAACCATGATCTGATTAGTAGTACTGCTTTCCAGTTTCCTTACATTTCCCCATAAGTTGGTGAGGAGTAAACGGTGTTATATATCACCTTAACATTTCCTGCTGATAAAGTTCTCGTTTCTTATCACCTGTATGGTGCATAATTTGTCAAAATTGTAAAGAGAAGTTACGAGTTAATCTTATGTGGGAGTTAAAGAGTTAACAAAGAGGGACAAAGAAATCGAAGGGGAGAGGAATGAGTAAGATCAAGTTAACCCTTTACCCCTTAACATCAGTATGCATATTCTCCATACTGTTCTTTATACATTTCCAAAGAGGCTGACAAGGAGAATTTGTGTAACAGTCAAGAGCTGTTTTAGTTGGTGATTATCTCCTCTATTCCCATAACTTTATATTTGATTCAGAAGTAATATACCGGTAGTAATGAGAAATTAGATGCTAGTCACTCTTACGGGCGAAAGCGTTAAGTAAAGACAAAAACATTTTGAAGCAACCCTCCCCTTAGAGTCTGTTAGAAGTCAAGAGACCCTTTGACTTTGGCGGGGAGGGTTTGGCCGCTTCGAAGTCTGTTGTTCCTTTCTGTGAAATATGTGTTGGAAAAAAAGTTAATTGAAACGTTAGTGGAAAACTAGACACCTTTTGAAGTAGATGAGATGGTTGTTACCAGTAAACCCTTCTGCTGAAGGCAGGAATGATGGGGTATTTGTAACTTTATTTTTATGAAATGTTTTTTCATGTGTTGTAGCAGTGTATTCACTGGAAATTCTCTCTATTCAAAGTTCCTTGGAACTGACTTTTTGTTTCAAGTTGTTTGAAACTCACGTTTGCATGTGAAGCAACATTTGGAGATATTTTAAATCGTGTATTTTATTTTCACTTCTTTGTTAAAAGAAACGTAACATAGCGGTTCTTTGTTCTAAACAAGCGATTTGTGAGTGGTTTACAATCGAGAAGTAAAATCTCTCTGTTGGCGTGAAAGATCTTCTGATGTCTGGGATTTAATCAGTATATATTATCAGTAATTCTCCCCACCAACCGGTACACATTTCATTCTGAATTTAGCTTGCAGAACAGGCGTAACTTTTTGCGTGTTAAGGCCTGGCCAAATGCATGCTACATACAAACGCAACAATTCAACGAAACATCTTGCAAAATTTTTGCGCGTATGGTGTTGCACACGTTTGGCCACCTTGTGGCAACATGCGAGATGTTGGATGGTGTTGGATCAAGCTTAAAAATGGTCACATTTGTGTTGCAACATTTTAGGATGTTGCAAGATGTTGCGCACATTTTCCCAGCTCCTTTGCAACATCTCATAGCACAATCCTACGATGTTACAAAATGTTGCATGCGTTCGACCGAGCCTTGACAGGCGAATAGAGGCAAGCGCGAGGGGGGTCATTTCTCTTTCCGCGCGATTCTCCTCGCGCGTGACTCGCACTTCGTGCCGCCTTGCGCTTGCCTCAGTTCGGCTGAAAAACGCAAAGATATTACACCTATTCTGCCATTGTAGATAAGTGTTCATCACGAGGGAAAGCAACGGCCTCACTAAAGACCAGTTGTCAGGGGTCTAGCGCCTGTCACAGTATCTCTTACCGCTGTCTGTTTAGCTTGCGAGCAGGCTCTCGTGATTGAGTATTCCTCGTCAAGCGTTTAGTGCATCTGCTTTTTTCTTTACTAAATTATTTGGTTCTATCAACTAAGTTCATAATGTAAGGAAGACATCTGTCACGTGCTTGCGGGCAAATCCTGTGTTCTGATTGACTATCCACGTGCTCGCGGGTGAATCTTGGGTTCTGATTGACTATGCAAACGAGCGAGATGAGCCCACCTTGCCTGCTCGCGGTTGCCTGCTTTGATTACGGATGGTAACATTAAAGGAAAAAAAAAACTCGGAGCGGACATACAAAGTTCATACTTTTTGGACAATGTCAGCGATAGAGTCGCAAAAAGCGGCAGGAGACAATCAAAAAATAAAAACACAATTAAAGCCGGGTTGCTACAAAAACAGTTGGCTTTCTTTCTCGTCTCTCGAAATAAGCAGGTGTGGTTTCGTAATAATGCGATTATCATTTTGTTAGATATTAAATCCTTTCGTAACCGAGCTTCTTCAGTCAAGATGGCTGGATATTAGCCTCGTCCTTTTTTTTTCTGTCGATATGGACCTCAACTTCGTCCAAAAAAAAAAAAAAAAGCGGAAAAAGAACTCGGCCAAAATCCAGCCGTCTTGACCTCACGCTTGGTCAATAACGCATTATGTAAGGAGTTTCTGAAGCAGATATTTCCGGCGTTAGCCCTTCATCATGAGCTTAATAGCTCTGACGAAGGGCAAACAATTAAAATGTCAGCTTTAAAAACTCTTTCCGGTGGCTTAATTACATTTTTAACTTATTTGATCAAAGCAAATTATCTTGTAACCACAGTTTCTGTAGAACGTAATTACTCCCTTTATTGGTTTTTCATTTTTTCACATTTAATCGAGATATTTTTCTTTTAAGCAAACGAAAATTCTGGCTCACAATGTCCCTCGAGTTTACCGTGGTACAACAACTCATTTTCACTTTCGAAACATTTGAATTTCAACAGTTTATAACACACGATGCAAAAATACGGCTTACGGCAGCCATGTTCGGTCACGTGATGATGTGCCTGCTCTTGAAGAGTGCGGAACGTGCGCGTGCAGCCGGTCACCGCCAAACATGGCAGAACATCGTAACCATAGAAAAAGTGCGCGCTGAAATCATTCGTGTCGTATTTACTCCAACAAGGATGTGTCTTGCCCACGTACGTTGTTTTGTGAATCATTTTCATGTCTTCTTTCCTTCTTGTATGAGGGCAGTACGTTAGGACGCAATTTGTGGTGCACAGATCACATCTGTCTGCGTCCTGAACGCGTTCTTGAGATAAGGATTCCTGGTTAGAAAATCCTATTTTTCGTTTGTGCTTCTGCGTAAGACAACCATCGAAAAACCCGCAGGAAACCTCGTCGTGTTTTCTTAGTTCTTTTCTGTTGTAGAAGACCATGCGACATTTATCGCAAATGTATTGGAATTCGTCCATGAGAGAACATTCCTTAGTATCAGCGACCTTGTAGGAAGCATTTTCTTCGTTTAAGATTTCTAGCAAGGAGGAAAAAACAATTTGGGCTTCAGATGAAACGAGGATTATGTCTCTTTTTTCTTGCACTCGAACGCGCGGGTCCTTAGCGATCAGCTTCGTCGAAAGAAATCTCCAATCTACAGCGCTAAATGGCATTATAGTTGTGTTCTTGGGCACATGCAGAAATCTGAACTGCGGTAGCAACTTCGCCGGTATTTCTTTACTCCGATAGAACACGTAGAAACGAAGAAAGCCCCTTGATTGAGGAGATATTGTAATGTCCTGGAGATAATCCTGACCTTTGGTTTCCCAATCGAGAAGAAAGAACTTAACGCGCATTTTTTTTTATCAGCAACTTTCCGACTGTTTATACAGTTTGCCAGAAGAACTAAGTCTTTGTTATTGAGCCATCGTTTTGTACTGATGCCTCGTGTCAATGACAAAAGCCGATTTGTTTTACAAGCAATTATAACACATTTCGTTTTGTTTTCTTTTCGCAAGGTTACAATAGAGAAATGTAATAAACCTCATACCTTCCTCGCCAAGGAGACACACAAAACAAAGCAAAAATTTTCAAATAGGTTCACATTTGAAGGCACTGGGTTTTAATTGGTTTGTTTTTTGCCGAATGAAACATCATGTTCGTTCAAATCGCTCAGGTTTTTCGTAAGTTTGGGATTAATTGAACTTGTTTAAACATGGATCATCATTACGACATTATCGTTTCCAGGGCTTTCTCCGCCAGTGAGAATAAAAGAAAATGGCGATCGTAATAAATTGCGTAGGCATATGCTGATTAGTGAACTGCGCTCACCAAAAACAACGATTTGACGCATAAGCAGTCTTCTTCATCGCGTCCATCGGTTTCTATGCGACAAACCTCGTAAACACTTCTGGGTTGCACAATGTCAGATGTAGGAAATAAGAAAAATTTGAGGTGGAAATTTCAGGTCGATCGTTTCAATAAAGAGAGATGTTTAAAATTTTGGCTCTAGAATGGATAGACAGAGCTAATTGGCTATTTAGCTTGAAGCAAATTCGAGATAGCTGACAATAAGATTAGACAAACCTGACAGAAGCAACTAATTCGATAACAAATTTAATTCTGTAATAACCATGATAAATTCTCTCAAGTCCCACAACTCATCAAAGATTCCCCACAAAACAAATGTTGGGCAAAACGTTTTTCTTCTTTTCTTTGGTTTCTTTTCTTTTCCTCTTTAGTCGTGCTTCCTAACTCCTAAAATGTTAGGCTATACAATAAAGAAACAGTGAATAGAGGGGTAAGTTTCTAAAGAAACTGGGATCAATATTAGTCTCTGGGCAACTGCCCACCCACCATTAACCCAACATTAACCCAACATTAACCCTAACTTGTTATCAATTGACTGTTGTTGAGTTAGGGGAGGGGTAGGTGGGCAGTTGCCCAGATACTGATATTGATCCAAAAACTGTAGCGCTGCGTCAATAGGGGGTATACAAGAAGATATGGTTTTAAAAACTGAGTTGATAATGTAAATTGGCCATCGTAAAGAGTTTCAAAGTTGAGGTTTCGGGTGTTAACCCTTCGTCAGAGCTATTGGCCTCATGACAAAGGGCCAACGCTCGAAACTCTAGAAACTCTTTATGGTGGCCAATTTACTATACAATAGATAAAACCTCTTGGCCTGAAAATTAGCTTCTTTCAACTAATTCAGTGTTAACAACTGAGTTGAAGACGTAAATTGGCCACCGGAAAGGGTGAAAAAGCTGACGTTTCGAGCGTTAGCCCTTCGTTAGAGTGATAGACGAAGGGCTATCGCTCGAAACGTCAGCTTTTTTACCCTTTACGGTGGCCAGTTTACGTTTTCAACTCAGTTGTTAACACTAAATTACCTGCCATACTCTCCCACCGACGCAGCACCAGTTTCTTTAGAAACTTACCCCCTTTATTAGTTTCTTTGAAGTCTAATTATCAACTACGAACGTTACACAAAGTAAAACTACACAAAAACGAATTAATTTTTATAGTTTTGCCAAACTCTGGGCGTCAGATCAAACAAGGAGTGGATGTGATGCATTAATTTTTGCAACACATCGTGATCAAAATGAAATACAAATGTCACAGAAATTCTTAAAATTGCATACTTCTAAAATGTATTTTCCTCCATCAAATCTTTGCAATTGAGGAGAAATTATCTTAGCTGTTTAAAAGCAGTCGGCAAGATACAAAGAAAATATAAAAATTTATATAAAAAGTAACATGAAATAAAAGAATATTTGAAAACCTCAAAACCATTTAAGCTATACAAATATGGACATCAAAAGTAACTCAATTTATTTTCTTCTGAATATCCCGATCTCATGCAATTATACAACTTGAAACTTTTAAACTGAATTTTGAAAAATCCCTTAATTACTTAAAACGCCTGAAGACATGAATTATTTAGTTAAACAGGTGGATTGAGTATGAATGCTATTTACAATCACTTACACACCTCTACAAATACAACAGAACACTTTCGAAATTTAGAAGAACTGCTCTGTAGGAGACATCAGGTAATTCAAACGCGTTCTATGCCATTTCTACGAATGAGAAAGTTAATGTTTCTTCAATATCTCGTGTTCTCGAAGTTGCAAGAAAACACGATAGGACTACATTGCTCTTTTGCCTTTTAGCAACAAAATTGGTCGCCTAAATAGCATGAGAACTACTCCAGCTGGCTTAGAAAACCTAACTTCCAAAGTTAAACAAGTTATCACGGAAGGCAAACACGTGGCCGTGGCACTCTGCCTATGTAAACTCATTACTCTAGTGATTGCTTAATTTGTAACCTGAAAACAAAGATTAGAGTTTCTTGACTTGGAGTGCTTTTGATCTTTGACTTCTGTAGCGCAGCATAGCACGTACACTTGTGACTGTTTAACAAATCAAAAACTATCACAAGTATGCCGTTTGTTCTGTTGGAGTGACCTACGAACTATAACGTTTCCAAATTAATTCACATCACATCTTCATCACCAACTACTTCTCGCAAAATGCATTATAAATGTTATCAGATTTTTAAAGAACTCCGGAGAAAACTTTTGGCCGGAATCAGTTATAAATAATTGACCTCTGTTTAGTTTTTATTGCAAAAATAAAATTTCCCAAAAATTTCACGTTAAACATTTGTTGAGTCGGAGTAGTGCGCGCACTTTTGAGAGTCAATTTAGTAAATCGAATAGGTCACTCTAAGTTCAAAAGAAATGAAACTCTTAAACTTGACCTTGATCTCACATAAAAATTCGAATTCTCTTGGAATTGAAGAAGAAACCTGGGTAGAGTGTCTCGTTTCTATTATTTCTCTCAGTTGGAAAAATACGTTTCTCCTTGCTTACTTAATGTTGAACGTAGCCCTGTCTAAAGTCATAGTTGAAGCAAAATTCTTCTACGATTTTTACAGAGTCAAACATTAGAAATAGTCTCTTACAAAGAACGTTCCGAAGGAAATTCCGTTCTCTTTTTTATTGTCCATTCCCTTGAATTTCCAGACATCAGTTTTCTCCCAATGCAATATGGAGAGGAATTTGCGCAAAAGAAAATTCTTCATCACAATGTTTTTCTTCCTCCACGTGATTCAATAATTCTTCAGCGGTTTTGAGACAGACCAAGTACTTCTTTTTATAGCAGGCCATACAATAGTACGGATAGGTTGCCCCGTGGACTGACTTGTGGTGGAAAGCTTGAAACTCAATGTTCGGAAAGCGCTCGGAACAACTCGGCTCTTCGAGACACGGCAGAGGCAAATTACTGTAAAAATGCTCAAGATATTCATCTCTCGTTTCGTAGTACTCCTCACAGCTGCAGTCGCATTTTCTATGAGTTTTTCCCATGTGTTCTTCAAGTTTTTTAGTCGAGCAGAATATCTTATCTGGGCAGAATTCGCAGCTCCGCTGGCGCGCAAGATGATCTTCCAATTCCTTCCTTGCAAAGAAGCCGTTCGTTCGCTTGCTTTTTTCGCATCTCAAATTCGTGCACAGAAAATTGTGCTTGATCTGGTCATGGGCATCAGCTTCTTTCTTAGTTTTGAAAATAATTTTGCAGTGGTTGCAAGAATATTGAAACAAGTCGAGAAGGGTACGCTCCCCAACGTCGATTATTTTTACAGGAATTTTATTGAATTTCAAAATGGCTTGCAATTCTTCGTACCTGGCTTCGTCTCCGCATACAATATGAGCCCTGTACTTTGTATGAACATGGCGCTTAGGCCAAAGTCTACAGTGGTTGTTTGTACAGTTGCACGCCGTGTGCGTGTAAAAATGCAGCACGTACGTTAAAAGCGCCGTCCAAGACGCCTCGGCGGAAGATGTAAGCGTAGGATGTTTTACAATCCACTCCGAATCTCCAGGAAGCTCATTTTTCGGTGTTTTCTTGTTGTAAAACAAGTGAACTTTTATATCTCGTTGCGTCGAAGTGAACTTTATCCCTTTCACGAAATCTTTGCTTGTGGTCTCCCAATCGACGAAAAAAATTGATGTCAACCGAATCGTGCACATGGCAGATCACCCCGAGGGATTTTTTGTCGCTAATTTTTTCTCGATTGTCAACAAACGGAAGGAAGGCCTCCTTGACGACGAATTCAGAATTTCTGCTATACCGATTTTCGTTTCTTCTTTGAAACAATTAATAATTAAGGTTGGGTTGCTACAACAGAGGAAAACTTGAACGTGATAGGAGGTGAGTGTCAGCCTCAGAGACACAAACCCTTTGTTTCTATTAAATTGTCTCTTTTCATTTTAGACAAACAAAGCGTTCTTTGATTGGTTGCGAAATGATAAATTACGCGTGGAACACGTGTGTTCGAGCTCAAATCGGAGTTTTTAAATGGCTTCTTGCTGTAAAATCGTTTTTGTCGGTTTTCAAAGAGGTTACCTTTGGTGAGTATTTTTTTAATGTTTTTTGTTTCAACTCAAATAAAGAATGGAACTGCCGACAGAAAATGAAACTCAATATCATACACATTACTCTTTAACATACATGCTAAATTAAGTCGTTTTGAATTGTTTCGGGCTCAGTTATTCGCGGAAAGACAAAAGCATGATACTGAAGGTTTCTGTAACAAAAACACAGAACCTTAAAATCTTTGCACAGATTTTCCACGAAATCGGAGAGTAGAAATGAAGGAGAGGAACACAAATTTCTTCCTTAAAATTAACGTTGTGATTAACTTGAAGACACTTATTATTTGCCCACCTGTATTCCTAAACAAACAACATGAAAATAGCCGTTGTGTTATTTTCATACACAGAGCGTTACCGTGCGAAAACTGCCTCTGTTACAGTGAATTTTTATTTAGCCAAATTACCTTGCGCCAGTTGAAAGTAGAAGCTGATCAATATCCCAAGCTGCTACCGAGAGAAACCCGTTTCATTTTAGAAAATTTTCGTGTTCTTCCCTCTTTACTACCGGGAAATTGCCGAGGCTATCAATTGACTTTCACCAAGAGAACCATTGATCACGGAACTATCGCCGGGGGTGATACTGTTGTTTCAAAAACGTTCGAGTAATGCGATTTATTGTTCTATTGTAAAAAGTGGATACATGAAAACATCCATACAAGCCTTTTGTTACCACCGATGGCTTGAAATAAAGATAAACCTTTATCAGATATATTCGCGCATCAATATTTAGTACGAGACAAATAAAACCACGGACATACAAGAAAGTCTTTAAGCGTATCCCGGCTTAGTAAATTTAAAACGCGTGCAAATTGCAATGTGACGACAATCTTAACTTTTAGCAACTATCGAAGATGCAAGTTCCATTGCTTAATCGAAAAAAAAAAATCAGGCTAAGTCTCGGAATAACTCTTGAAAGTGCGAGAGACATTTGGACACCTTAATACTACATTGTTAGGAGAACTAAGCCAAGGGTGTAACATTTTAATCAACAGTTTTCAAATAAAATACAATGCGAATAAGGAAAGTTAAGAATTTAGTTTCGGTGAAGAGAGTGAATATCATTGATTAGGACTCGCATCAGTACAAGAGAATGAAAATTGGAAATAAACTTCGTTTTTGGTAAACTTCAAGGTATACTTAGCAAATATTTAAACTCTCATGTCTATATCTTCTTTTATACGTTTACTTCATTTTTTTTTTTTTTTTTTTTGCGTAGTAGCTGTATTCAAGTATGTAGAAGTGGTATGTCAGTTGATACCTGATGGGTCCCTACGGGAGGTCAGGGGGATGGGCGTTGGTCTTTTTTTCCGTAACTCTCTTGCATCGCTTATGTATGGTTGTCATACTGCTCAAAGTTGAAGTTTTAACGAACTTTTTCCACAGACTACCCACCATTTTGCCCTCGTTCCTTGGACATTAATTATGCGGGAATTTCCTCATGATATCCAACTGCATATGACGCATTGTAGCTTGTGAAAGAATTTTTCGAATAAGCGCTGCATAGGGACCATGACGCTTATTGATTTTTCTGTTTCATACGCGGCGTTTATTTAAGGGAGGCGCTTATCCGAGGGCGGTGCTCATTCGAATAAATACAGCATGGTATTTTTCTAAACCTAATGAGGGTTTCAGATTACGCAATGTCCGAAATTTCATAAAACCCTTAAAATACTAAAACTTCTTTTCAGAAGAAAACTACTTAATTTTGTTTTGAAAAACGCGGTTCAGTTTTCATTACTCAAAGGCGGCCGCCTTCATAGAAGTGAATCTATTCCATCTTCATTTATAGAAATTTCGCCAGTCTTCTTCTCAGGAAAAACAGTGCGTTTGATCGAATCAGTTTTAAAATGGCCAAAATAAATATTTAGCGGCATGCTCTCCTTAATTTAGCTAGTTGTTAAGTAATGATATCTATCGTAATGGCTGCTGAAATTTTCTAGTGCATGGTTTTTACTATATTTTGTGCATAAATCATAGTGCCTTTGATTTCATTAGACTATTTCATGATCATTCACTTAGAGCGAGATGTTTGCTTAGACACAAAATCTGAACTGAAGTGCATGTTTAAATGACTAATGCCTGATCGGGTTTATTTCACCAGATGAACTCTACATTTCACATAACGCGCTTGGCTCGCAATAAAGCTATTTCTGATTAACAGCAATGGAAAATCTTCTGCTTTTCACAGTTAAGCCGTTTTTTAAGTCTTTTGTAATGGCAGATAAAGCCCTGAATTTAAAATTGAAATCTTCTCTCCATAAACATGCATGCAGTTAAGTGTAAGTATCATGATATGAAGTGAAATTATTGGACTTTGTAGCGTGCGACAGAGTGCTTCAAAACGCACAACGTTTTTGTTTGATTCGATGAATTTTAAAATGCGGTTGTATTTAAGAGGTACTCTTTTAAAAGCTACCTGGTCCATAACAAAAAGCTATATTGAGGTGTTAATTGGTGCTCTAAATAAGTTTCTCTTATATGCAAAATGGGAGTTTCCTTTAAAATGTTTTAAACAATGAACCAAGCAGAATTCAAAACAACCCACTTGCGTGCGGTTTGATGTCGATTTGCTTTTAAACGCGCGTACAAAATCTCATCTACGTTTGCTTCAGAAATTGTCCCGCAAATATCTTAACGGACTGAACCTTTTTTCATGTCAGCGAAAATGGTTTGGCTATTTACTTTGTTAATGCTATGATAATCAACATCGCAAAAAGTTGCATTCGTCTTTCAGAGCGAAATGTCGCCCCCCTATCCTCATCTCCTAAAAAATTATGTCTAAGAGATAAAGCGATCGGTATAACGTCTGTGAATGAGGTTTTGTTTTTTAATCATTTCAAAGTTTATAATAACTCTAACATTTTGATTTACCAATTGCACTTTCGACGATCTTAAACAGTAGGCTTTCAAGTGTAATCCTTTCACATAAAGATTTACTTCTGCCAAAATGTCAATTATTGCAAGAATCATTTCAGAGAGTTTTAATTTTTCTGTTTTTGGAACACGTCGACGTGTAATTAAAAACTAAAACATGATTATTCTATGTCGCCACGCATATTATTCCGCCGGATTTAGATACAGCATATGAAAGGCTTTGGCTGCAGAATGGCGGGTTTTAATTCAATATACATATTGTTCAAGCGAAGAGGTTGAAGGTTTTTGCTAATCGGGAATCATTACTCCATCGCCTTTCACCGCGGCTTGGAGGTCAAGAGAGTCTTAAAAAATATCATAATACAGACAGCGCAAGTTTGATCGGTGAGAATTACAAAGGTGTCCAAGTGATAATCATTTTCCCCGTAATAAAACGAAATATGCATAACCAGTCATTTCGTTTGAAAGATTTAAAAAAAAAATTGACGTTATCAAAATCATGTATTCAATACAAAAACCCGTTACGGAACTGGACAACAGGGGCCATAATGTTATCTGAAAAGCACGTCTTATCTAACATCGTAATTAATTTTTCCATGGCTAGAAGTATGTTCCGCCATGAAAAACTGGTTATAATGTTGCGGCTCAAATTATTTACAAGCCTCCAAATTCCGCCCGACTTTTATTCGAAGCCGAGAAATTCATTTACGACCTCCTCAACAAACAGTTAAACCAACATGAAATTTGAAACAAAATTTTCTGTCATTCGAAACGTATCTAGTTCTATTTAGAAGATACGATTTCCTTCCTTCTTAGCTATGAATCATTAAAAAGGATACTCAAAATTTAGTGTGTGGGGTCAAACAATAACAAAATACCCTTTTAAGACTTTTTCATATCTTTTATTGAGATGTTTCGAATTATCGAGGCGCGCGCCTTATCAGGGAAGATGAGCAATTGCCACGAGACTTCCACGCTGTGAAAGCTTTGCATAAAATATACGCTAACTTCTGAATTTTATTTTTTTCGGTTTTTTTTCCCTCTCCAGCCGGACAGCTTAGTGCGTGTAAATTCGACGGGCATTTATTTTTTTTTTTTCCTTTTACTAACGGCGGGTATTCTTGCCAGGTTCGTTTAGCAGCGGTTATTCTAGGCCCCCGAAAAAAAAAAACAACCCGCGAAAATCAGCGCAGTAAAAGGCCTTTCGCTACAGTTCTTTTGTATCACTGACTGAATTAATAAACTGGCCTGTAAATAGTGTGTGATTAAATGGCTATTACGAACCATTACTGCTTTTGTGTTCGTGAAATCTTGCATCTGTTGGGTTCTCAGCTAATAATTGATTTCCCATTTGTCCACTCGGAGCTTGTTAACGATTTCATGCGAGTTGTTCGGTTTTTTTCCCTTTCTCGTCCACCGCCGGCGCCCTCGTTTTTGCTGAGCGCTCGGAAAACTTATCAATTTCAAAAGACGCAGAACGCGTAGACTTCTCCCCCGCGAGCGGGATCCTGGTTGTCCGTAAACACCATCAGCTCCGAGAGATGAGCTTATTAAAGGCCAATACGTCGCTTGTATCATTATTTATCTAAACCAACATCTCGGTAAATATCAAATTTGTCATTTTTCGAATTTTGGACGCGTGTCACGTGATTTGACTCTATCCCGCGATTGTTCGATGTTTAGACAGGGAGCAGGTGTATCGCGGGCCCATATGGCGGCAGCGATGAAATTCTCATCATTGTGAAACACTCTGCTGCGCAGAATTGACGGGTAGACACTTTAAAATCTCGCCATTTCACAGCCATCCGAGAAACGCGTAACATCGGCTGCATTCACAATATCTCACCAGGCCAAAACACGAACACTCAAGTCGCAAATCTTAGATTTGGAAACTTAGAGGTGAGTTCTTAAATCCTGTTTGTTCGTATATTTTAAAGACTGTCACAAAACGACCTAATTTGCTAATCGCCTCACACCCCAAAGGTACGCAATTGACCGAGTCCTTCATGAAGTTTGATCTTTCGGAGGTAACATTTGAATGCAGTACGAACATGTGACGAGCGGGCAAATTACATGTCAGGGCGAAAAAAAAAGTATCGATAAATCTGGCTGCGTGCGTAGTTTCCTTTAAAATTTCACGCAGCGAAAATTCGTATCCTGCTGAGTTCAAAACTGTCGTTAAGTGATTTATCCAGAAAATGTGTAGAACTAACAGTAAATTATTTTATGACTCAATAACGTCGGTTTTATTTATCGTTCCCTTTCTTTCATTTTCGGCGTTTGTATTCCTGTCGGAAAATACGTTTGTTTCCCCTTAAAAGCATTTGACATTCAGGGGAAAACTTTTCTCTCATTAACAAATAATTGCGTCCAGAACTCCTCAGCCTCTATCAAGAGGTTCTCGTTGTTTCGCGTGGACAGGCGCTGCATAATGTACTGGAAACATACTGGAGTTTATGAGAGCGGACATGCACCAGCTTCGAAGGTTGTCGCTCAAAATTACACTTTGCAAATCCACCTCCGGCTTTGATTGGAGTGAAGTGAAATGTTTTTTTTTTCTTTTTTATCTTTTTCTGCTCATCTAGAGTCAAGTACCGGATAAATCAAAGTAGAATGCTTTCGAAGGAGAGACTTTGAAAACGCCGACATAAAAAAAGACAGAGTTTCCCTTGATTTTCGTGTTTAAAAAAGGAGCAACTTGTAAATTTAGTAAGCTGGATTTACAGTTTATTATCCATTCTCATTTAAACCCCTAAAATTGTTTTGATGGAAATTAGTTTTTTTTAATTCTGTCTCTTATTTAAAGCCAGTCAATCCGTTTTTTACGAACCATGCACTGTTCTTGCCAACGAAAATGCATATCCAACAAACTCATTTAGTTCGCTTTCCTTTTGTTTTCAATCAGTGAAAAACCGCGAAAAGAAACACAAATTAAAGCTGCCTTCTGCATAAGAAAAAGCTCTGTTGATCTCTTTACTGAACCGGAACTACAGAAGGATTAGATTAGGAGTGGAATTAACTTTACAAGTAAACAAACGAGCTGGTTTTTAAGCCATCAAGAAATCGGTGTGGAAGATTTCTAAGTCGGCAGCTGAAAAACTTCCTGGCGAAGAAAACGAAATGCTATTCACTGCGAGATTGGAGATTCTTCGGCGGGCAAGTTTTACACTTTAATGGCTCTTTCATTTTCACATGATGGGATATTAATGATGTGTTTTTCTTTTCGTGTACTTTTTACGGGCCACTCTATGTTTGAATCATGACACATAATTATAGGCCGTTTTAGTGGTACGGTTACCCTCAATAAGTCTGTATTTTCATTTCGATAATCAAACTTGGAAATCAGTTCTGTTTTTACCTTTCATTTTTAGAGAGAATAATTTCTGAAAACCGACAAACCACGGCGGAATCATCTTTCAAAATGCTTTTTCTTTAAATCACTTGTGATTTGCTTCCGGATAAAAGATTTCAGTTAAATTTGCGTTAACGGGTTATGCTATTATAACATATTGTTAACATAACAGTCTTAGATTTAACTCAAACTGGAATTTTTGAAACATCGTAATTTATAGTCGACTTACTTAAACCTTCAAGGAAAACAGCCGGCCGGAAAAAACGCTTTCTGAGCCGAAATTCTTGATAACATTTAAATTACTGTTTCAGTTTGATCTTCTTAAAAGTTGAGGCATTCTGGAAGTCTTCACCCGAAAATGAAAACAATCACTTTAACGCTTCGAAAATTTTAGCACCTTTGAAATGTTTGAATTTTCGTCATCACCAGTTATGTATCCTTAAACTCTTTTATCTGCCACTTTTTTTTTAGGAGGAACTGCGGACAAAAAGAAAATAAATCTAAAAGAGTGTGTGAAACGTAATGAGTTTTGAGTCTCCCAGAGCTGACGATCACGACGGAAAGAAATTTCTCTCTCGTAAGTACATTATTTTTTCAGTTAGGCATTAGATATCCAATTTTTAAGATGTTTTCTTTAAAGAAAGTATGTTCAGTGCCTTTCAGTTTTTCTGATTCAAAACCCCGTTGCTTTTATACACCAACTGATTATGAAGAAAAGTTAATTTTCACTCCGTAAAATAATTACTCATGGAAAAGTCTATTTTCTCTTAGGTTACGAGCAATACTTAGATATTTCTGACTTAACTTTCGAAGCTAAGACCGCCAACCGGCCAATTGTTTATTTCTCTCGCGCCAAAGTCCTTCTAGCTTAAATTTTGTTTTTATTCATGAGAGTATTTCATGAAAAGTTCCTTTATTTTTGCTCCTAGTCGGAAAAGTTTTTCTCATTTTAAAGAATGCTGTTGATTTTTAAATTCCTGTTTCATTTATTTTGTAACAGACACGGTCCGAATAGGAGACGGAGAGATTTTGGCGAAATTCAATCGCGCGCTGGCTTCCATTGTAACAACAGAAGGGTGAGTCTTGAGCTGAATCTTCTTAATATAAATATGACGGGATTCTCAGTTATTCACTGTAATTTAAACTAAAAGCTATAAATATCTTTTAAATTTAAACGTACTTTTGTTAGAAATGAAAAAATAAAATTCCATGTTCGTGTGATGTCGATGAGTCCTCAAAAAATAGCCAAAGAAATCATGGATTTCTGCTTCGTGACATCGTTTATTTTATTAGAGTTCAAACTACTTTCTTTATTTCATTCAATCTAGTTCTTCCTGAGCATTTTTACTGGCATTTCTTTCAATCGCTGGCAAAATTGTTCTTCCTTGCGCTTTATCTGTGATTTCAGTTTTTTTTTTAATGGAACCGAGGATTTGTGAGTTACAAAATGAAATTCATTGGGAAGAGAGATAAACTATCGTTTTTTATAGTATCGCATAAATCCGGGCTGGGGCTTGTTCCCATGTCGTTGCTTAACTCGCCTGCTTTGCCTGAGGAAGTACGTGCCTGTATTTCTCCGTAGGTGGTCTTTCAAGTTATCATTTCAAAAATCGTGATCAGCATGTGTAATATGTACACATGATTTTGCAAGAAGGCCAATATATGATCACAAATTTCATTAAATAAATTCCTCGGGCGTTACAAGCGAACACGCCTTTAAAACAAGCTGTGCTAACTTTTTAATCAACGAATTTTGGTTTTTTAGTACATAATTGATTCACGCACCCAGTCAATGACTGATTAAATCTCAACTCCATCTTCAAACTGAAAACACTGAAACAATCCATACAGATTTTTTCAGTTCAGCATTTCAAATCGCGATTAAGTTGCGAAACCGAAAACTTAAAAGTAAGTTTTTATAATATATCTTTGTATAGCGTTTCACGACTGTTAATTAAAAGAAAAAATTCTTGTTTCTTGTCCATTTAGATTTGCCGCCCAGATGGGGAATGTTAATGGAAATTTATGTCATATTCCCCAGAAGAAACTGAAGTTGGCGTAAGTATTTAAAACACTTTTTGTTATATCTTTTCTTTCCGATAAGCTGGTGATTTAAATAGCCGCTAAAAGTAACACCACAAACCTCGCGCATTTTCAATTGTCGGTTAAAACGTTTTAATTATTTTGACAACTGAGCCAGGCGAAATCTAAATTAAAGGAAACCGAAACTCAATGTTAATTTAGTTATTGGCTACTAAGGCCATTAGTCCAGAGTGAGATTTGGAAATTAGAGCGGTTTACAATTGAGTGTTGAAAGTAATCCTGAATCGCTTTGGTTTCAGCTTCACTTTGCTCTGTGATTGGTCGCTAAAACTTGTGCTACCATTTCAACCAATCAGAAGCAAAACTAAAACCAATCCGTCTTGGTCACTCGCGTTTTCCCGCGCTTCAAGCGGGTTGCCTCTTTCTACTTTAAATTCTGATTGGTTATTGAAGTTCTGATGGTGGTTGAAATTGATTTGGTTTTGGTTTTTGACATTCACTAAGAAACTGTTCTATATGACTGTAGGCTACAGTTAGGCGGTATCTTACATGAATAATTTTGTAAGCTTTTCTGTCGCCTATATTTGATATTTGTTCTCCTATTTTATTATCATAATCTTATTTATTTGTACAAGTTAAGAAGATTTTGAAAGTCTTTGCCTGTATAACAGCGCAACTCTGATTACGCATAGGAATAAATTCAGGATTTCTTCGGTTCTGTTTTATCTCGCTCTGTGATTGGTCTATAGACCACTGACGTAGCCATCTCCTACACCAATCAGAAACAGCTAAAACCAATCCCCTGCCAAGTTATACAGCGCACCCTCGCGTTCACTTGCTGTTAAATTGAATTCCTTGTGATTTTGGCTTTTTATATCTTTAACATTTGCGATTACTGTTTTATGGTTTTGCCACACTTGAAGGTTGCATTTGTAAAATATTATCGTCGGGTCTTGAATCTTCTTTTCCTTCATTTTTTAGGTCCTCTTTATGGTATCCGGAAACAGCGCTACATTATCCGGTACCTGGGCTCGCTTATCACTACCTTGTGGGACACGAAAGAGGCATTGATAATCGAGAAAGATCTTTTCATGAGCCTGAGGCTGAAGCGGGAATTCTACAGGTCAGTGAACATACATAGATGGCTGCTTTGAGGATACTTTTGTTGGAGTAATTGGACCATCGACGCTAGGCTTTATAAAGTTTAACAGCTAATACTGAATTAACTTATGCTAGGAAGAGCCAGCATATGGCATAATTGAGTTTGCGCATGCTTAGCAAGGGACGCAGGGAGTAATGGGAATTAGAAATGCAAGCAATAAGTTCAGCTATTTATTACGCGTGTATGCCTGAAGGACCTATATTTCTCTGGGTGGACAGAAAATAATTTAAATAAGAAAAGAATACAATTGAAAATTATATGTACGAAGAATTAAGTGAATAAAAAAGCTGAAACCAGAATAAGGTTAATAGAAAATAATAATAATAATAATAATAATAATAATAATAATAATAATAATAATAAAGAAAAGCAAAGCTAAGCAAACCAGAGCAGGTTTCGCTGTTTCCACCATTCTACAAAAATGTTCATCTTCCATCTTAAAGCGAAACCCGTTAACTGCCTTCGTTAAGATATTGGCCACTATTTCTAACAAAATATTCAATAATAGCCATCCAATCTCATTCTCAATGTTTTTCGATTATTAGGCGATCAAGGAATACGATGAATTCGAGGAATGGATTGACGGCTCCACTAAACTCCGCTACTCACCGTATAGCAGAGAGGCTCAAGCACATATTTCTGGGTGGGCTATGAAATATACCAACAACCACAACAAGTTTGTACTTAAGAAGACTTGTGTTGGAGTACTGCTATGTAGTGACGACTGCACACTGCCAAATGGGCTTAAAATTGTCGTTAGACCTGCTATATCTGATAAAGGTAAGCGAACTTCTTGCCTATCTACGTGGCTGTCGGCCCACTCTCAATGTTCCTGAATTCTTGCTTCCTGTTAAGTGGCCTGTCTGTCTTTCTGTTCGTTTCTAAGGTTGTCCGTCTATCTGGGGTCTGTCTACCTTTGTCTTTGTTTTCCTACCTGTCTTCCTGTATGTTGGTCTGTGTGTCTTTCTGTCTGTGTATCTGTCTTTCTCTCTGGCTGGAACTCAGATAATCTCTTTTCCATCTGTCTTTCTGTAACTCTGTTGAGCAGGAAGCTAAGTCTACTCCACCCTCTTATTGCAGTTCGGGAAAGACAAATGGGTCAAAATTGTCCAAACGCCACGTGCACAGGAACTCTCGTCCACAGAAAGTGTACAGGTAAGAAAGAATGATTTTTTCTTGTCGAGACTCGGCTTTTTCGTTACGTTGAGTTCTTGTACAAAAAGGTTGACATACTCTCATTTTACCTTTTTTTTTTTTTTTTCCAGGTAACAACGGATATCCAGTGACCCACTTTTGGGTCCATCAAGAGGATGGAATCTATTTTGAGTCCAAAGGTACCCATGATCACTTCAGGCCTCAAGCAAGAAGAGCAACTCCGGATAGAAATTCAAATAACAAAGTTAGCAGCAGCCAGAAAGGTAACAGCGAGCAAGTGGAGAACACAGAAGACAAAACAGAGAAACAGGAGGTAATTTTAATTAAGTGCGCTGATAAAGAGAGTCACGTGAGGAAATTAAACATAGTGCGCCAGTCAGAGAGACAACTGGGAAAATTCAGTTAGAAGGAACCATGTAGAGTTTTAATGCGACTAATGTATTAGTTACCCTAAGTGGGTAACACGTGAGCAGTCACATGCTCCTAAGAAAGCACTGAAGACCCTATCCGTTAGCTTAGTTGACCTGCCTTCTCTTTTTAAAATCTATTGAATTTATTTGGAGAATTTTTCTTCAGGAGTACAAAACGTCCTTTTTGTGGATTCTAGACGAGTTAAGATTTATTTGAAAATGCAGCATACTAAGCTTGAAGTTTAAGATCTAAAATCAAGCAAGGAAAATTTATAATGTTGTTTTTTCTCCTTAGAATGCTTCGACGTCCTCTGATGGAAAAAAGCACAAGTCTAGAAAAAGACAACACACTGAAATAGAGGAAAATTTACTTACAAGGCAATCAGAGATCGTGCAGTTGTCCTCTTCGCTCTCGTCTGGATTATTGAGAGGTTACTCAGTTGAGGAAGAAGACCAATATATCTGTGTGACTGTACCCGAGTCAGAAACCCTCTTTCATAGGGCTCTGTCACATGATCAAACGAACATTACCACATACGGGAAACTTTACTTACTCTGTCAGACATTCCACGATGTCATTCCCGGATTTGACTTGCTAGAGACCCGTATGATATCTCGAAGCGTGATGGGATGGCCTGTTGTTATGGCAACGTTATATCGGCAAGGAACGAAGGAAGGGCAGATTCACCATATGAAGACTTTGGCTCGCCTTTGTTCCACGCCTGATGAAGACTTCTTTTCGCCTAAGGTAATGTAGAAAACCATCTTGTAAATGCTGTCTTTCTGTCTTTTTGTCATGTTATCTGGAGGGAATTGAAAAGTCATGATTTTAAAATCAATGCTTCATTGGCGAAGGGGTATTGCACCAAATGTCAAAGTTAGCTTTAAAGAATAGGTAAAGATGATGTTTTTGGTTGGGACTTTCCGAAATGCAATAAAAAAAATACCCCTCATGCCTTCTAAAATCATTTGGTAGATTGCCTTATCCTCCTTACTAACACGTGATCTAATTCGTCAACAGTGGCAGATGGTTATCCATGATTTCCCCGCTGACCAGGCACAGATGGTGACCGAGGCCATAGTAAACATGATCATCAATACTCAAGTGCAAACTCTCCTTAAGGTTTTTCAGTACAAAAGCGTCAGCTCATTGTACAAAATGCTCCGAGAAAAGATCACCAGCAGTTTACAGAGCTACGACATGCACTTTGAACTGTGCAAGCGAGAGATAATTACAAGGTTACAAGATCCACTACTCACAATGAAGTTCCGCGACATGACGCATAGGCTCACGGCAGAGAAATGCACTGCACAGGAATATGTCAGCACGGACTGCATGTTGTCAGGTGAGCTGAGATTATTTTGCGTAAATCCAAACGAATGCAATAAAATCCTCAATATGTTTTTAGCGAAAGGAAATTGAAATTCCCGGTGTGTGGAACTTCTCTTTATCAACAATTCAGTGAATAATTTATGTAAAAATTATTTTCTGATAAAAGTCTCTGTTTTCCACAAACGTCAATATTTTTCACTTATGTCCTTACTGCAAAATGGTCTCGTGCTCAGACCTCTTCGAGCGACAGTGTTTTAATCACATTAGAAGGATTAGGCGTGCTTTTTAGCTGATCCCATCTTACTTTCATGTCCCACAGGGGGAGTATTTGGATCAGTTATAAGAGAATTCTGGAATTTCTGGGGAAGTAACATCGTGGCTCCGAAAGTGTTCTCTGTGGCTGATGAGTTGGTGGGAAGAAGAGAGAAGTCGGAACAGTGGCAGAGTAGACAGAGAGGTAATTATGAGACGAGGTATCAAGGATTACTTTGAGATTTTTACCTTTAAACGAAGGTTTTTCAAAGTAATATTCTACCGTGAATACAAATTTGTTACGACTGGATCGCGAAGATCAAGTGGAACTAAGTGATCATTGCCTTTTTAAATACCTCAAATCTTAACGAGATGCTTACCAGCGAGACTTGTCCGTTCGCTAGACCTACTTTTTTTATGACTCACGTCGCGTCCAAATTAGAACGTGGGGTACTGGGCACAAACTTTGATCCGAGAGGAACCTAAGGAGACAATATAGCAAGGTTTATGTGGAGAGCCAAAGCACTGAAAAAAATTCGACAGACCCAAACTTTCACCACTTCCCGTTGTTTCATTTCCATTGGTAGAATTAACAGAACGACTAAGAACTGAAATATTAATCTCTCTCTCTCTTTTTTTTGTGTCTTTTTTTGTTTTAGGTCTCACATTTCCCAGCGATCCACAGAAAGTAACTTTACACCACATGGCCGAGGTAGTAGTCACGTGGTGTCAATATCAGGCTGATCATTGGCCGAAATCAGGTAAACGACGTCACTTTTTGATTTTCCTAACGTACGGGAAACAAATGAAATGAAACGTTCGAAAACGTTTTTAGACCTTGAATGTATTTAAGGAGTTAATTCGCTCAAAATTTCCATCAAACTTTACTTAACCATTTAACTCCCATGAGTGACGAAGACAGAATTTCTCCTTACAATAACAGTACAATATCATGCAGGAAAGTGATGAGAAATAATGAGGAATATCAATTAGCGGATTATTTTTCGATCCTATACAATTTCACCGAAGTAACCTCATAAGAATTGCAAAGCATGCAGTAAGGAAGAATATTTAATACGATCTTGGAAAGTACAAGAATGTTTATTTCGTGTGGGATTTCTCGTTACTTTTTTAGGATGTCAGCCCTGGAATTTTAGGCAATAATTCGTCGTAGCTTAAATGGATATCAATTGTCTTTTTCAGTTGTGCAAGAAAGTATGGCAAAGTTTATACATCTTCGACCGGAAGAGAAGCGACTTCACTACGCTTTAGAAAGACCAGGTTCCGCGTTTCATCGACCTGTCACATACCCCACATTGCCCATGCCCAGATTTCAATGGTGCTGAGTGCATGGGAACCACCTGATTTTAAGTTTTTTGTAAATAAATAACACTGCTCTAATGGAGCATTATTGAAACACTTAGTGCTGCGGCAAGTTCAGTAAATATTGTATAAAATTCTTACAAAAATCTGGTTGATTACAATCAAGGCAGCGCTTGGTCGCTGTAAACGTAAATGAACTCAATTCTAGCAGAGCTACCGCTGACCATAAAACCTGAGGACACTGTTTCATTGAAACTTATCAGTCATTGGAAATGCTGACTGTTAAAAATTAAAGTCCCTTAGCAACCTCGTTTTTAAGGGGGGCAGCATAAACCTTCTCTTCGAGAATTCGAATTACAAATATGGTTTCGAAAAGACTTATTAGGGTTAAGGTTATTAGGGAAAAATTAAATTTTTCAAATTCAACGAAGAGTTGAAATCCACATTACTATGTGATATGTCTTACAAAGTTGTTACTTGTTGTTTTAATTGCTTTTTCTGTCGTTAAGTATCGAATTGTAAATAACATGTACCGTCTGTGATCATTGGATAATGATGCTTTAGCAAATTGATATTGGTACAATCTAGAAAAGAAAAAACTTTACCGAGGTTTTAGACAGAGAAGATAATTGTTTCTCGAGGAACAAACAACAACTAATAAGCAATCAGCTAAAAAATATACCTTAAGCTAGAGTAAAATTTAAAAAAATGTAGAAATGAAAATTTGTACTTATCATTAAATGTCACTTATTAATTAAAAAATAACTTACGACTTACGGTGAAATAATCAATCCCTTGCACCTTAACATCAGCATGCACATTCTCGATACTGTTCTTTTTACATTTCCCAACGTGCCCACAAGGAGAATTTGTTCAGCAATCAAGAGCGTCTTTAGTTAGAGATCTAAAGATTGCATAATAATTGCATTATCATGCAGAAAGATGACGAGAGTACAGAAAAGCGAGCGGAGCGTAGCCCCATAATTATACAAAATAGTAGTAACCCATCAAGCCGAAAAAATTTGGATGTACGACCGTACGACCGACCGTACAAGTTGCTACTTTTAGCATGCGCGGCCAACTGTACCACGGGCACTATCCTATAATCAGTCCTCTACACTGACACGGAGAAGTTGTGAATGAAAACCATTAATATCACCACGCACTTTATCCATAGTAGGGGCTTTAATTTTGTTGAAGAGACGTGCGGGAAAAAAAATGCGAGTCCACTTTTAGGCTTGCCAAAATCTATATATTATCATAGTTTGATTCATAGCTAAATTCTCACAGCCTAAATTTTAAGGAATATATGAAAGATAGTAAAGAGAATCGATACTGAGATCTAAAGGGTGATAGGTTACTGTAAAACAACAAAACTAAAAACATTTTACTGAATAAAGGTCATTTTATTTGAATCAGACGGAATCACGAATCAAAGTACAGTCATTTCAATTTTATGGAAAGCATCTTTGAGCTAAAGTACGGAGTATCCCGATTTAACATCGTGAACTTATTTTCAAACATTTTATGAATAAAATAATTTTCATGTACACTCGGAAATCTAAGCAAAACATATTTACAAAGAGAAGATAAAACATCCCTCTTCCTTCAACGCAAATAACAGTTTTACTGAAGCAAATCTAGTTGAGTTCATGGTTTTCCGTACTCGAAATTAGCGAAGTCGTTGATCATGTCGCAGAAACCGATGTAGTTAAAGTCGTGTTTGTAACCTAATACCACGTCGAATTTTTTCTTTATGGCCAAAAATTCCCTCGCACTAACAAGGCTTCCGAGGTCCAGCTCGCTCAGAACGCGATGGAATTGGGAACGAGAGACGGTGCCGTTGTGCACGCGGTCGTAATCTTCAAAGAGCGGGAAAATTTGAATTCGGCATTTGCGCACGCGGTCTGCCAATCGGTGCATGACTAGTTCCAAGGCCTGCTCCTCCTCCAAAGACAGTTTGCAGTATTCGTTTTCGGGTTGAGGTCGGAACTGGATCGGAACAATCTCGGGTGCTTTCTCCAGGTCTGCGGAGAATGGAGATTAAAGTGAAAAAGTTAAAAGTGACTCTAAAATTTCGGCGGCGTGACAGCATCCATAGAATGGACATTTGATGTTACAGCGATTATAGTAAAACTTAATGATAGTATGAAACTCAAAAATAATTCTTTTCTGTGGACGACGAACACCACAGATATCAGAATAGACTGGAAAAAAAAGGCCGAGGATGGAAAGATTTACTTGGGAAGATTTACTTAAAAAGTGTTGGGTTAATTTTCAAGATGTACAAACCCCTATTTCTCAATACCTATTCCAGATGGCCAAAAACCTTGGAATTACGATTTAATTATAAAGATCATATATTGAAAAATAAATTTCATCTCGGTTTAAAAAAAAAGGAACAACAATACAAACCTCTCAGCGTGAAGATAGACTCGATTTCTTCCACAAATGCTGTGTATTGTACATAATCCGGATATCCAACAGCCGTGTATCTATACGAGGAAAAAAATACTTCCTGTAAATCACTGTCCACAATCTTTTGTAAGATAAGCTGAATTATGGAATCAATTTTGATCGGTTCTTGCTAATGATCTATTGGAGGACAGACGCATATATCACTTCACCATTGACCCTTTGCACCATAACATTGGTATCAACATTCTCCATACCGTTTTCAATACATTTCCTTAAGTGCTCACGAGGAGAATTTGTTTAACAATCACGAGCTTCTTTAGTTGGTTCTTAATGTTTGATTCTGGGGTGATATTATGAAGAGAAATTAGATGTTAGTCACTCTTAGGGGTTAAAGGGCTAACAACATTTTTCCTTGGTTATCATATAAAACGAACAGATTCCATGTTTCCGTGGGTCTGTACAATAATAGATCACAGCAGATGTCAAAATGTGGTAAGTACATCAGTGACACACTCAGCTGCATCTCGTGTGCCACGTTTTGTTATTAACGTCATGTGTGATTTATTAGTAAACAGACGCACGGCAGCATGGAATCTAACTGCTGAATAGATAGCGTAAGTGCTTTTGTAAATATCATACATCCTCAAACTATCAAGGGATGTGCTAACTCATGGGGGAGTAGGGTGCTGGTGATAAGGCTTAGCTTACTAAAGGGAAAGTGCTAACTCGAGGGGGAGAGGGTGTTAGTGAAAATGTTTGGCTTACTAAAGGGGTACTGGTAAAAATGTTTGGCTTACTATAGGGGAGGTGCTAACTCTAGGGGGGGGGAGAGTGCTGGTAAAATGGTTTGGCTTACTAAAGGGGAGGTGCTAAATCTAGGGGGAGTAGGGTGCTTGTGAAAATGTTTGGCTGGAAAAAACGTAGGATGCTTACTAAAAGACAAGGGAGGTGCTAGCTCTAGGGGAGGAGGGGAGGGTGAAAATGTTTGGTAAAAAGGTTTGGCTTACTAGAGGGGAAGTGCTGACTCTAAGGGGAGGAGAGTGCTGGTGAAAATGTTTAGCTTACTGGGAGGGAGGTGCTAACTCGAGGGGGAGTAGGGTGCTGGTGAAAATGTTTGGCTTACTATAAGGGAAGTGCAAGTTTCAGGATTTACAGTATAATTTAAATCAGAAAAAGTTCTGCACAATACCTGTTCATAAGCTGTTCCACTTCCACCCTGGTAAGTTTAAGTGACGCTAGGTCCATGGCTCTGGGAAATACAGTCTTAAGTATTCTTCCCGTGCGCAGCTTGTCGTAATCCTTGCAGAACTCAGACAGTCTCATTCGTTCCTTCATCACACGGCATTTTATTTTATACATGATCTTCTCGATGTTGTCGTCACCCAAGTCGGGCAAATGTTTCTGGTTGGTTAGTTTTAGTTCTTCCAATCTCCGCAGATATTTCAACTCTTGTTGTTCTGACGGCTGTAAACAAATGAATGGCGATCATAGGTCGTGTTTGGAACATGACGAGTTATAAAATAAAAGTTTTCACAATAATACACAGTTTGGCAAAGACAAGACGGAGCGGCAATGATGAACTACAAGGGATAAGGAAGATCGAGCATGGATGCATTTTAATCCTTTAACCTTTTGGAAATGATCGCCAGGTACAGAAGATTAGAAAAAATGCATATAAAGACATCAAAGGGTCATAACGAGGCCAAACGACGGCTGGGAAGAGGAGTAGTTACGCTGTGGAATTGGTTCAACTAAAAACCCGATCCAGTCCCTGGTTAACAGATTTCCCGCACTCCGCCCGAAAACCAGGTATTTTCATTGCGTTTTCTTTCTCCAGGTTTTTTCTCTCTGGTTTGGGCCCAGTTTTCGGACGCTTTATGGAAAATAACTTGGAAGCTGCCATAGCATGCGTTTTTTACCTGAAGATCATCCAAGAATTGAATATAGTTGAATCCAATATCATCTGAGTATCTGTTCTGGAGAACCTAAAAACGATTTTAGAAAAATTGCGAAATTAAACGATGGATTTTTTAAAATTCCCACAAGATAAAAATATCGACGAATAATCCTGAAAACATGTAGTAACCGGATGAGATAAAATGGGTTTCCTTCTCTTACCATCCTGTCGGATATTTAAGATATTTTCAGTGCTCGTGGTTTTCTACTCATGAGTTGAAAGAGGCACTATGGCAGCGGAGTGCCTTTCTTCAGAGCACATCATAATCACTCGGGATATGAATCGACCTACAACTGCTCGATATCACTCCAGCACACTGATCATAATACCGTTTCTGATCAGTATGGAGCTTGGCTGCACACGCTACACACGCTGCGAGCTCTGCTATTACCACCGTTGTAAATTGAAATTATACTTTAAGGTAATCTGCGGTTAGGGCAGAAAAAAGGCTTAGACTTTTGGTTACCTTGATTTCTTCGGGAACATCCGTCAGGCCTAGCGTGTGTAGACATTGACTAGCCTGGATCTTTGTCACGTGACCGTTGTTGTGCCTGTCACAAAAGGGAAACATAATTTGCTTTGAAAAGACTTCAAGTGTTGCTTTAAAATCATACAAGACAGGGGGCGCTTAAAACGACTGAATGGAAGGCGAATACCAAGAACAAAACTTTACTGTCGAAACTGTTTGTGTAAATCACACTTCTATGGACCTGTCATTTTTTTATCGCCTGAAAAGGGTTAGGGGGAGAGGGGAGGTGTGGGGTTAGGAGGTTTTGGTTACATAAATGGGGTTAGTTTCTAAAGAAACTGTGGTACTGCGTTGGTGGGAGAGTACAACAGGGTAATATAGTATAATCAACTGAGTTGATAACGTAAATTGGCCACCGAAAAGAGTTTAAAAGCTGACGTTTCGAGCGTTAGCCCTTCGTCAGAGCGATTGGATTCTCGCATTCGATTGGATTTTGTTTGAGTCACGATAAAGCTCTGTAATATGACCCCCCCCTCGTAAGTAGGTAATTGGCAAACAATTTTCTATAGTCTGCCCTTTAGACTATGTTTGCGAAGACTGACCTTCCCCCCCCCTCCGTTCCCCTGAAAACCGTGTGATCCCCCAAAATCCTCCGTGTCGATGAAAGTGGTGGATATTTACCCCGCTGTCCAGTTAGTATCTAACACTATTCACCTCTTCTTCGGTAAATAATTGTCAATGATAAACTTGATGCTGATTAACGACCGAGCTGTATACAAATTTTTTTGGGAATATTCTATTTCAAGCTCTTGTATGTTTACATTTGATCAAAGGGACAGATTTTGGTCGCATTTGAGCATACAACTTTAGTCTCTTAAATTCATGTTTTCAAGTCGTATTAATTAAAAGAAAGATGTTTACCACACTCAAGTGAGACGAGCGTGGAACAATAAACTCACTTGTCAAAATCTTGAAAGCACGGCTTGGACAAAATTCGTTGCTCGGTTAGTTTCCGACGCATACGTTGCTTGATTCGCTCCAGAAAGACCTCTTCGTCTTGTTCAAGCTCTTCTGAACCAGCCCCAGGCCTACTCATTTGAAATGTCTCCATAGCAGGCACTGTGTATGTAGGAGTCTTCTCCAGTCCACGCCTTGTAAAGACTACATGGTTGTGTGGGGGAGGGAGATAAGACAAGATAGAAAATAAGAGAATCAGAAAAATACGCAGGAAATATTTAGTGGCATAACTAATCCTTGAGGACGGATACATAGGTCGCTGAAGTTAAAGAGGAAAATGCTGGGGGCTGGGGGGTTTAAATTAAGCGGTGAAACAAAGTTTCGTGGCTGCTAAGGTGCTTAAAAAAAGCACAAGATCTTTGAACTTTCCTAACAAACTATACACGTCACACGAATGACCGAGGGCTAACACGCAAAGTCTGAGCTGGATTCAATATTCACCCATTTCTGTATCTGTAAGGAATCCTGTCCACTTAACGTTGCTGGGCAACTTAGGATCTTTGTAGTACTGGGCGAGGACTTCAAACTGCTCATCTGTTAGGTTGGGTTGACCCATTAAACTTAAACAACGCCTGAACTGAGGCCTGCTGATTGAACCGTGACGCAAAGGGTCAAAGTCTTGGAAAAACTCTTCCACCTTAAAAAAAAAATCAGTATATGAGACCAGCCATTATTTAACGTCTAAGGTAAAAATATTATTATCGTGTTATTTGACTGGTATGAATGGCTTGATAGCTTATAAGAGAGCACTGGGAGTGTTGTTTTTGTCGCAAAAAGTTGATTGCTTTATTTTGGATGTGGTTTGATCATTTGTTTGTGATTTTTTGCGGTAGGAACATTTTGAGCGTGAAGATATTGAATGAAGGGAGAAATTCAATAGTCTGGTAAGATTTTGTTTAGCCAGTGTACGGGGTCATCAGATTAGCAAAAAGAGAGCGAGCCTCGTTTCAATTTTCAAGAATCAGGCAGTTCTTGGCATTTTGGTTGTTCTTTCATGTTCAAAAAAAATAATTATAAACTCAATTCTTTCTGTAAAATGTGCAGGTGCAGGTTAATCGCGAGAGCAAAAACTGGACAATAACGTAGCGATTTGTAGCTAAAAACAGAAATATACTTAATCCAATCCAACTTGATCCCATAAGCATAGGCGATTATCCGAGAGTTTTCTGAACCAATCCTATTGCTTACTAGTCTCCCCGCGGAAATCTATGTGGTTGTCATGTGACCCACTTAAACCAATCAGAAGGAGGGAAACGTATGGGGCATTCAAAAAATCTAACTGTCAGAATGAAAGGTCTCTCACTCATGGGTGTAAATTCTTAAACAAGCTGAAAATAAAATAACTCTAAATATCAAGGGAGCTGGCAGATTCTGCACTCAACTCACCCTAAGTCTGTTGACAAGCACGTAATGTTTAATGCGATCAATCAACTCCTGTCTGTCAACTGTGCTCAAATCTAACGGTTGAGGTTCTTCGCTCTCAGTCTGAGTTCTACAGGGAAATCAACGGGACAGATTTATAGAAATTTTTTAAAAGTTAATTATTACAACTTAAGTGGCTCACACAACAGAGCTTCGCCAGCTGAATGAGACTCTAAGCTATTACTGGTAGACCTCAACAACATCCTTTGAGCTTACGTGACAGTATGCTTGTATCAACTTTATCATTTGAAAGAGGACTGGCACTAGACAGTCGAAACGCGATCACTTTAGGCGTTTTCTTACGCAACAAATTAAAAGCCGGAAAAACAACAAGAAATATCAGGCAACTAGCAACAAATAGAAAAAAGATTTATCGATCCGGAGTCTTGCGCACTAGTCACTAGGCCAGCGCGTCCTCCACAAAGTTAAGCTAAAGGCCGTAGTGAGAATTTCCTAGTAAAACTGTATAGAACCCTTTAACTTACTTGTCTTTTTGTGCAAAGTCTGAAATGGTGGTCGCCGTGCCGGTGTACTCTGAGAAGGAAAATTCAAGGGTTCATCAAGAAATCGTCTTTCATTCTAAGTGAACGAATGAATGTATCATTTATTGTTACGCAGAAGTTTTAATCGGAGCGTGCTTCAAACCATCATTCATTAATAATTACTCCGCGAGTACAAGGGAGATGAATTTCAGGCCGCGTTTCATCTATCAGAACTAGTCTATAAAACTGCCTTGTCTATGAATGAAACAGGTCAGTTTTGAGAAGTAATAATACTGATGTTGTAAAATGATGATGTAAAACTGGCTCTATATTTGCTTTGACCAGCTACCTATACCTACTACATGAACAAAAAGCAGGCGATTTAGTGCCGATTACTTCAATAGACAAAGCAAGATGAGCTATAATATTTTATGAGCACGTTCTTGCGAAGATAGGACTTGCGCTATCCATTTCCACTAAGAGGAAAAACTTATTTCGGCCAGACCCTGAATTCCAGACTGTAGTAAAACAGTTGATTTGCTCAATACCCACCCCATGCACCAGATATTATTCTATAGGAGTACTCGCACCGAGTTTGTGACACCTGCATCTTCTAAAAACTAAACATCGATGGGCACGTAGACTTTTCTAGTTGAAAACACAATTCTTTCGGTATATCACATATTCGAAGAGGAATCCTGAATACAAGTTTAACATGTCTTGCTGATTAAGTTTAACGAGCATTAAGAAAAAAATAACTCATATTTCTCTCACTCACCAGAGTCAATGGACTGTATGAAAGCTGAATAGTTGATGTCACCTCCGACAGGGTATTCAAATTTTTTGCACAAAAGCTGGAAAAGAAGAGGATATTGTTGCTTACTTCTAAAAACTGCCATTCATTTACAAAAATTGGCTTTGAACTTCATTCAGTGTGCATTATATTCTTTATCGCGAGTCTGCAAATTCCTATTTCGGTTACGTTTTGATTAACCCTTAAAGTAATATCAGTATACATATTCTTCACACTGTCCCTTGCACGTTTTCTATAGAACTGACAAGGAGAATTTTTTGAGCTTCTTTAGTAGGTGATCATTTCCTTTGTGACCTTAATGTGTAATTCAGGGGTTACATTGTTGGAAGGAATTAGATGGTGGTCTCTCTTAGGGGGAAAAGAGGGTTGATTGAAATGAGATTTAGAATCACTTTCGGTGGGAAGGGAGAGGGGGGCACTCGCTTATGAAGGTGAGATATGGAGGGAAGGGAGAGGGGGGCACTCGCTTACGGAGGTGAGATATGGAGGGAAGGGAGAGGGGGGCACTCGCTTATGAAGGTGAGATATGGAGGGAAGGGATGGGTTTGGAAACCCAATATTTTTTCAGTGAGATTTCGTGGGTAAACGGTGCTATATTGCTAAACAAGGTAATCTGAGGAAACAGGCAACAACAACAATACAAGTTAAAGTAGAAGTAAAATGATATGACAAAAAGGAAAAGAATGACTTACAGCTAAATCTTGTGGCTGCACGGTGATGGATAAGAAATGAAGCATTCTAGCAAACTGAGGTTTCGTGACGCCACGAGTATAGCCTTTACTCTGTAGAGAAAAGGACAGAAAGGAAAACGACGTGAAAATGACAGCCCTACACAAGTTATCGAAAGTAAGATGGATATGGCTTGTAGATACAACCATTTCCCGCAGACTTTAAGAATTGCTCTTTGTTTCAGAAGAATTCAATCAGATATAAACAAACAAACAAAATACAAAGAATCAACAACGAGAGCGGCCACTCCATCATAAAGGGTAAACATTCTAAAATAAGAGTGCTATTTTTTTTTTTAACACAGCGGCCGCGCCTCGATTAATAAATGTTCCTTTGTTTCTCTTCGGCGTTTCAATCGTTTTAATGCAGCGTTATGGTCGTAGAAGCGATGTCAATGATATGAGGTTCTTGTTCTCCCATTACGTAAAAGTGTTGCAATTTCATGCTATTCTTCTGCTGTAGAAGGCAATTAAATGTGCCTACTGGTTTTATAACGCACGGGCAGAGCTATTTTTCTGCTCATTAACGCTTTCGCCACTTTTCAGTTGTTATCGACGTCGTGGTTTTCTTTAAGTCCCTATTTCCTCTTGAACTCACAGAGTTAGAAAGCTGGTAGAGATGACTGTACGAGTTCACACTGCAGACTACGAAAAGAAGAGCTGTCAACAATAAAGATTTACTAACCCTGTCAAAATCTTTGAAATAAGGATACACCATCAATCTTCGCTTCCTCACTGTCTCGGCAATCTCCTTGAGTATTTCGTTGACTCTGGCCTCTTCTTGAGCAGAGAGCAGATTAGGAGCCTACAAAACGGACAACAAAAGAGTATGTTTAGAAACTGTGGCAAAAAAGGAATACGGAACGAGAACTTTTCGTATTACTGGACATAATGATTCCGAACGCTCATGACGTCCATTGCAATTCCGAACGTCTTTATATTCGGACTTCGGAGGGCTTTGAGTGTCGTGAAACCAAGACCAAAGTTATCATAACAGCCAATCAAAGTGAAGACAAATTTCACGAGTAGTCAATCAGAACTCGAAGTGACCACAAACAAACTGTTCATGAAGCGATTGGTGTTAGTTCGCATTTGATTAGCCGGAAGAGGCGCGTGTTTATTTTTTTTGCACCAATCACAGGCTGAAGTAAGCAAAAACCAAAGTATTCACAGAAGCTACTTTCGACCCTCAAATAAAACTTTCTCTCACAGTAACCTTCTTCATGTGTCAAAGAGCATTACGATAAGCATGGGGCTTCGCTGCGTGCGTTTCGCGCACTGCAAGCTCCGCTATTAATCGATACCTTTGACAGCGAACCCATTGGTGGTCGGTAAACTTCCACTGTTGGTTTCTTTTCTAAATCTGGGACAGTAAAAGCTGTAAAAGGGATGTAAAAAGAATAATCAATGATTAGAGATCTTTAGTGTAAAGCACGCAAACTGTTCTTTAATCAGGTCACACTCAAATTACAGACCAAAGGCTTGATTGGTCATGGAATTAAAGGGAAGCTGACCCTTTTTTTTCTTTACTCACTAATCTGGAATTCCCAGGGTAAGAGAAAGAGAGGGCGACCAAGGAACACCTGGTGTCGTGACCTCGAGGTTGACATCAGAAACACCAGCCACTCATGGAGCAAATTAAAAAGGATGGCCCACAACAAAGATCTCTGGCGGACTGTTGTTGACGGCCTATGCCCCAGGAGGAGCAATGGGCTTGGATAGATGGAATCTGAATTTATAGTAACTCGTACAATTTAAACTTGTCTTGATCACTAACCATTCTCCATGATGTCACAGAATTCCTTGTATCGAACACGCCCATTGGACTGGCGGTACACCTCCACTATTTTCTGTATCTCGTCACGGGACAAGTTGGCTTGTGTCCCACAACATAGACTCAAGCCACAAATAAACTGTTGAAGGGCAAAAAAATTGAGATTTAGCCGCGGCACTTTGTTAAACTCAGTAACAAGTCATCAGAAATAATAATAAAAAAACCAAGACGTTTCCAGGTAAATTCAGTACAACGGATGCCTTCCTTTGGGAGGAGAAGGTTAGCAATGGTACAGTTACAGAAAATGTTTCCTTACAGTGTTTGGTTTCAGTCACATGATTATGGGATGGTATCTGGGGATTTTTTCATTGCGGGTTCTCCTCCACCGTAGCAGGTTCTTCCCATTACGTACAACAAGTTTACCCCAGTTTAATTCGTTTCCGAAAGGCGGAACAAATTCTTTATGGAGGTTTCCCTCCATTACGTCAGAGCAAAAGCCGAAGCGCTAACGCTCGAAACGTCAACTTTACAAACTCTTTGCGGTGGCCAATTTACATATCAACCCGGTTGACAAAACCAAATTATCTGTTTATTAAAATACAACGTTAATTGATCCTTGCCTGATTTTCAGTGATCTCTCCGCTTCTCAACTTATCATGGTCTTTAAAGAACTCTGTTGTTCGGATGCCATTCTTGTGGACAGCCTCTCTAATTTTCTCAAATATTTCCTCTAAAGATGGTGTTCTGGGACGCTGAAAGACAAAACCAAAGTCACTGATTTTGACAAATCATGGCTAGGAGAACCCTTTCCTTTAATAAATGTCTCTTGTTGTCGGCTTCGAAAGGTGAAGATTTTTTTGTGGATTGTGTTCGATCCGTCGGAAAAAATTGCAAAAAAATCTGTGCTCGCTAAATGTATAAAAAAAATCAAAAAAAATCGCGACACTCTACCGTTGACATGACTCTACCGTTGACATGACCTTTTAGCTATTCCTACATGTTTTAACAATTACCTTTCCAGAATCATCAATGATGTCTTGATTTGGAATGTACTTTGTAAAGTCCTCTTTTTCAGCCAAGGCTAAAATCGGACCAGAACAAAGAGCTATTAGTTATAGATCAAAAATCTCATAAACAGACCGTTCATAGGCCTGATTTCGTTGCTGTTGCTTTCACCAGCAAAACTTCCAAAATCATTAGGTATCCTGTCGTGAGGTACAGGCATACCATACCAAATACCCTTCCCATTGCAGTAACACGTTTCCATCCTCCTTCAACAGTGGTCTCTTTATGTGTGTACAAAGTTAACCTTCATTTGGTACAAAACTATGCTCCGATATTTGCCAGGTGATATTATCCGGTATTTCTTGGAGCAGACAATGTCCAAGGACAAATATACGAGTATTTTCCGCAACAAATGAAGGCTATTGTTTTTAATATCCTTCTCTTTTTTTGTACCGCTCCAAAAAAAAGAAAAGCCTTAACATACAGGTTACCGTCTAAAACGGATGCTGGACTTTTTCAGCGACCTTATAGTGTAAGAAGGTTTTCCCTGCTTGTTACACAGAAATACGCTCACTGCGCGACGGGCTCGGCCGAAAAGGAGGGTTTGCTCGTATCTTAAGATCAAAGCTGGCGATATGAACCCTTCTTAGCCTTTTGGATGGTCAAGAAAAAAAAAATAGAGGATTCACTTTACCTTGTCTGCTAGCAGAACTAACAGTGAATGACAGAATGTTCATAAACAAAAAGGACATAATCACCATTTTGCATTCTTTCAATGTCTTCATGGAAGCTATAGTAGTTACACAGGCCTGGTCGGGTGGAGTCACGGTACTTCTTGGCCAGCAGAACTGTCTCTTCGTGTATGATGTCAGGAGAGCCCGGAAAACTTCTGAAAAACTGCAAAGAATGAACTGGTTATATATTTTCACTTAATAGCGGACTGATGAAGCTTGAAAGTAACGAAAGGAAAATTTTAAGTTTCCTTCCCTTAAGTAATTCAAATCTGGCCCGTCAGTTCTGACTTTGTATTCAGATGCTGCTGTACCAACTAAGCAACTGATAACTTATCGAATACTTTAATTTAACAAGTCAGTCCTGTATATAGTATGGTTAGGATTAACAATGTAGATGAAGTTGTAATTAGAAAGAAGGTAAACTTCTTGAATAAGAAATAAAAAAACTTTTAACCCTTTAACTCCCAAAAGTGATTGACATAAAACTTCTCCCTACAATATCCATACATTATTCAGTAAACAGGTAATGAGAATATTCAAACTTATCAGGTAGAAGCTGCTATCTTGATCTAGCACCAGGTTCTCATAACTAATTTACAAGGAAATGTGTAGCAGCTAGAGGGGAGAATTAACAATCAGATCTTGAGAGTTAAAGGGTTAAGGACCATGAGACAAAGAGAAAGTGAGAGTTCTCTGTGAGGATTTCCAGAGTAAGTAGATATTACAGTTGGAAGAACCTCTACCTCGGAAAATTTTTGTGGTTTTGATAGATAATCAACATTATTTTTAGCCTCCTAAACAATGACATTCTTCTTTAAGAAATGCTTGAAAACTCTTATGATTGGCATGATGTTTCACACTGGTGGCAGACTGCTATAAAGTAAAGTTCTTCAATGAAATAGATTGAAACGCTTTTTCCAGCAGCAAGCAACAGTTCACATCTCAATCAATTGGTACCCCTTTGCTTACCTGACTCTCTGTTACAACACCAATATGGTGCTTATCAAAGTCAGCATAACATGTTTTGATGTTGATTCCGTGATATTTGTAAAAGTGAGCCAGTCGCATCAAGAGATCTTCACATTTTACGAGAGATGCTGGACTTAGAGGGCGACGATCTATTGGACTGCCACTGAAAATAACAATGTATCAATAAAAACCCCTACAGAGTAGCAATGAATTGACACGATAACTTTAATTAACAAGTTAAGTAAAAAAGAAATTATTCAAACAGCATCTGATTAACCTTTTCACTTGTTTTTTATTCCAGGCACTTACTTGGTAAAAAGAAGCACAATTGTAACTGGAGTAATTTTATTGGTGGAACCAAACAAAGAGGAGGCATGGGCTGGGTCAGATCACGCTTACCACACAAGTAGTCCCAGGCCTCCCTCTTATTTTTGCTGACTGCTTCTATTGCAATGTTTAATAACTATTGCACTCTGTTTTACCAACTGAATGCCTGGAACAGGCTACCTTTCCACTTTCAGAAATGACAAAAAGGGGCTCTCCTCATGCAATGTAATCAGAAAAATGATGAGAAGAAAGAAAAATATCAACTGGGGATATGGTTTTGTTCAAACAACACCAAATTCTCAAAACTTAGAAAGTAAGAAATGTATGGCAGACAGAGCAGAGAATTTACAATTGTATCTTGGGAGGAGAGGGAGGGGTAGAAGTTTGATGTTATATAAGACTGCAGGAGTCTTGAACAAAAAACGGTTTGAAAAACTGCCAGTCTTCCAAATATTGTCTATATGTTGAAAAAGTTATTACTAAAATTTGAAATATTCATGGAGAGAACATACTTTCAGGACTAATTCTTGTACCTGTATAAATTAGTGTATAGAGAGCTATAATGATGAGTTTTAGATTTTTTTTGTTACCTTGCTGCAGGACCAATCTGTTGTGTGGCTGGATCTTCATTTAAAATGTCAGGATCAAACACTGTAGACAAAATATAGATTCTTATACTTTGTGCTTATATCTTTATGTTTTTCATGTAATATATAGATTTAGCCAAGCCTAAAAGCGGAGCTCGCATATTTTTTTCATGTAATGTACTTAACCCTTTACACCCTAACATCAGTATGCATATTCTCCATACTATTCTCTATATATTTCCTTTGGTGCAGAAAGGGAGAATTTGTTTAACAATCAAGAGCTTCTTTAGTTGGTGATCATTTATTTTATTCTTGAAACCTTGATGAGTGATTCAGGGGTGATAATGTAAGGAGAATTTAGATTTTAGTCACTCCTAGTGATTAAAGGGTTAACTACCTAAGACAGACTAACCTAATTGTCAGACAACTCACCTGCTCCAATGACCTCACAAAAATGTCGGTAGTTCACCAAACCTTTACGTTTAGCCTCAGGGCTGCCATATTTTTCCATCAACTTTGCATCATCTTCTGGACTTAGCACAATACCAAACAACTGATCCAAGCAGCGGTCAAATTGAGACTCTGTGGTAAAGCAAAAATATGTTTAAAGGCTATTCAATAGCAAATCTTTGTCATTATTATATCTCTCAGTTAGCATGTGCCCTACAATTGGTCAATTTTGTTGACCATAATTTTTTTTGTTTTTTTTGTTTTTCAATATCAATTTGGGGATAATTAGTTGATCCAATACTAAATTCTCTGAACTAACATTGTAAGAATTGTATGTTTGATAGTAAAGAGAATTACAAATTTGATCTGGGAGTTAAAAGGTCAAGGGTCTATGCTGAAATTTAAGTTACAGAACCTCTTTTTACTTTGTTTCTAGGGCCTGTGCACATTGTGCTTGGGCCTTAAATCCAAGATGAAATAGCACAGTCCGTAAATTACTTACAGACCTCACACTTGGTTAGTGTGAGGTATGTATTTCCTAAATATCAGTTTAAAATGGTGACCATGAGTGCGTAATAATGCATGTCAAAGTGAACAAACCGAGAAAAACTTACTTGTTATGAAGCCAGTTCTTAGGCGATCAAAATCCTTGAAGTACTCTGTCAATCTAACTTTTCTGGAATTAACAATGTTTCTTATTTTGTCTTCAATATCCTTGAGTATTAATGGGCTGGTGAAGCTCTAAAGGTGTAACCAAAATATAAATAAGCTCAAGGTTTTATTAGTTGGTTTTTACAGAGATTTAATCATTAAGGAACGGAAATTTCACTGTAGCATCACCAAAAAGGTAAACTGACTTGTTTTTTTTTCAATAACTGGTCATTTTGGAAAATTAAAGTAGAATATTAATCGATCTAAACAAGGTAAAAGACGTTTTAGACATAACTGGAGTAGTTTATTTTACCAAATACAACACATATCAAGTATTTCAGATTCTAAATCAATCAAAGCGTTTTCACTGCATATCATTTAAAGAAAAAAACAAATAAGGTACAAGTGACAAAAATTCATGATTCCACCAAAAGTATGTCTTTTTTATATTAACGTCCAGTTATGAGATTTTGCCAAATGCAGGAAGATTATTAAATTAACAGCTAAGACAAAATAAAAAAGTTCAAACATTCATTTGCGGGTGAATGTTCAGTGTCACTTCCCTATTCCGAAAAAACTTACCGTATTCTCGTACGAATTAGCCACAGCAGACACCATCTTTGACCTTAAATGCTTCCGATCTGCTGGATAAAACAATGCAAATTACCTGTCACCAAAGACGAAATTTAAAAGCACATGAAATTGATCAGTGCGGGAAAAAATCTATCGAGCCCTTGCAGGATCCTTAAACCTCCGCAACGGGCGAATCGGATTTGAATAATTGCGCTTCTTAAATTCACATAACTGACACCTGAAAAGATCAATTGAAGCAGACTTACAAAATAAATCCCCAAACACTCGCGAAGAACCTATAAAAACGGTAAAACTTCGAGTTCTTTCAGCTTGTGAACTCAAAACAGTCACCTACTCACTTGTGTTGTCTTTCTCCTGGCAACGACCGTAACAACGATGGCGTATACCGCTGCACAAGAAAATCGACTATAGTTTAGTTTCCAGGCTTCTCTCATTTCTCCGATAAGACACCCCAGTACCACCCTAACCAAGCCCATCCCCACCTTTCTTCCTGTCCACCTTTCTTCCTGTCGCCTATCATCCCGCAGGTGGCCCTGTATTTTACGACCGCTCTCAGGAATAAAAAAAATACAGTCAAATTCTCAATAAAAATACCTCGCCTCACTTCTAAAGTGCATCGCTTGTTGTCTGACCGCTTACTTTGTTGAAAGGAACCCATTTTAGCCAGTTATCTATTTCTACGTTTACTACAAGAGAACTTATAATTTTGTCAAGATACTTATTAATTTGGCAAGATGATCATCTCACAGCTGGAGCTTGGGCTGCCTGTGATCATCCAGGTACCCCTTCTATAGGAATTCCTCTCTCTCCCCAACTTCCCTCTGCTTAAAAATTTGAAGATGGTGGCTGAAATGTCATAAAAACGTTGAAAAAATACTGAGCGCTTGCTTGCTAAAAAAGCCTGCACCGAAGGCTAATCGTGCATCTTTACAACGAACTGATCAAGCTGATCTCTGACCTAAATGGCCAGGTGTATGAGTCAACTTTACGCACATGTTATCTTGTGACATGTTATCTTGTGGCATGTTGTAATTGTCACATGACTGTAACCCGGAATCTACGATTTTTCAGTTGAGCAACTTCTAGGTGAACTGAAGCGAGTAGTAATGGCCTTCATGTTTGTGCTTTTTGCCATTTCCATCTTCGTTCTCCTTCCTATCGTAGGCTTTCTCTCCTTCAGCGTGTACGTTTTTTATCGACACTGGCGTTACCAGCATATCCCGGGTCCAACAAGGGATGGTTTCTTCTCAGGCAATATACCGTTTATTCAAAACGAAACAAGACGCGTTCCAGGGAGCGGTAGGCTTATTTTATTAGTTCGCCTTTCGAAACATCTATAGGTCAAGGGGGTAGATCTCGAATTTAATTTCCGTAATGAGTTCAAGGTTTATTAACTTCTGAACTCAGTTTAACTCAATTTGGTAAACCTTTTCTAGGTAATCGTATGATTTCGAGTGCAATTTGGATTTGGAGAGCCTAAGTGGAGAGCCGAAGTGATTTATTCAAAGATAAAAGAAAATTGCATAAGCTCGGAGAACAAGTGCAATTTGTAGGTCTCACAAGTTGATTATGAATATAACAAAAGAATGTCAAATATCTTTGAAACTCATATGCTATATTCGCTTTCTTTTTTTTTTTTAAAGGTATAAATGCTTGTCATTTTCAATGGTATCAGAAGTATGGCCCACTGTTTGTTTTTTGGATCTTTCATGTACCGATTGTAGTCATTGTTGATCCAGACATGGCCAAGAAAGCCATAATCACATTAAATTTGCCAAAGGCAAGTCGTGTGTATTCCAAAGTCGCCAGCGTGTTTGGGCAGCGTGTCTTGGGTCGCGGAATTTTAACGGAGATTGATCATGAAACCTGGCATCGCAAACGAGCCATGCTAAACCCAGCATTTCACAGAAAGTATCTGATGAATCTGATGGAATCCTTCAATTCAGTTGGAGAAGAATTTTTGGAGGAGCTCCGCAAAAAAGCTGATGGGAAGACATCAGTTAGAATGGCAGATGAATTTGCAAAAGTTACCCTAGACATCATTGGAAAGGTAGGGATTCCATAGTGACCAAATGTGACCAGTAAGAAATTTTGAGTCATGTGTACTGTGGGTAGTGGCAACCTATATATCAGCTAATGTATTGACTGACTATTGACCAATATATGGGCTGACTATCAACCAATATATCGGTTGAAAGTTGGTGGATACGTTGGATGATAGTCAGTCAACAGACAGACTGACCATCCATTGGAACTCAATCACTGCATCCACTGACAGGGGTCAATATGTGGCTTGTTGAGTGTTGACGTAGTGTCAGTGATCTCTTGCTCAAGTGTTGGTAATATATCTGTCAAGTGTTAGTATATCAGCAGATGATAGTCGGTGATTACCTATCCATTGTCTAGTCTGTGTAAAGCACATGAAACAGACTTTGATCTTAACTTCTCTCATTGACAACCTTACTTTGGAAGATTTCCTCTTCCACAAAAAAATCAATTTGATCTGTGACTGAAAAGCTGCAAGACAACATCTCAGTCAATTTTCATCTGAGATCTTGGTATTGGAAGGCTTAATGGAGTGGTACCTTTTTCTCTGTACTCCTGCATCTTTGACTCCCATCTCCCACCCTCCATGACAATCTTGTATAGGTTCTATAGTTTGCAATCATTTCTTCTATTCTGATATGTGACCTTAGTATACATTTCAGGGGTGATACTGAAAGGAGAAATTACAAGCTCGTCAGTCTTAAATGCTTAACAGGGTTACCAAACAGTAGAAATATTGAAATAAATGTTCTCATTTTAGGTTGGCTTTGGAATCAACCTTGGCACTATAGCTGACCCTAATTCTAAATTTCCCAGTGCAGTGTCCAAAACATTGAAAGGAATAGAATCAAGCTTTCGAAATCCATTCTGGAGGCTGCAGTTTTCCATGTTTCCCTTTCAAAACTCTGTTATTAAGAGCATTAAATATTTGCGAGTCTTTGCTGCTAAAGTTATTGAAGAGCGTTGCTCTGCAGTAAGGAATGGAGAGGACACACCCAAAGATGTCCTGGAACACATCCTTAGAGAAGCAATGGAAAATCCTCATTTAGATATAGAGGACTTAGTGGATAATTTTTTGACAATTTTTTTGGCAGGTACAGCAAACCATTTTTTTTTAAAGATTATTCAGTGTACATTTAATGTTAATAGTACTTAGAATTGTTGATCAAATTTCATTCTTTCCATTTTTAATTGCCCATCTGATCCCTCAAATAGGTGTAAAACAGATAGCAAATGAGGATTAGCTACAAATTTATGAGCTTGAGTTGCTATTCATAATTGGTTGTTGGGAATATTTCAGTGGTATCTATGTGATACAATAGGTCATTTACAAATTACCTCTGCCTCGTTTTCAAAACGAGGCCTGTAGCTCCACCATTTGTATGAAAATGAGTTAACTTTGCATGTGAATAAAAGCTTATAACCAAGTGAAAGGATGAGCATTGCTTTGAAGATGAGGCCAACAGTAACTAAGAAATGGGCCATTGAAATAAGGTGACCATACTTATGTACTTATGATGATGCCAAAGTGTGAAACAATGCTGACACATTTTTATATTGAAAGTGTAGTTTTTGTAAATTGTAATTTTAATTAACTTGCACATGTAGTGGTATGTAGCTGTATTGTATGCTGGCCTGGAAGGGACATTGACTTCTGCAACCTTTTTTTTCCTTTTGTGCAACTTCTTTTATTCCTGGTTACTTTTTCTTTTCTTCTGTGACTTCTTTTGGTTAAAAAAAAAAACACAACAACAACAACAACAAAAATAATTATGGCAGTATGAAACATGGCTGATGAGATACAATAAGGGTAGTGGGGGTTGCAGATTATAAAAATTCATTGGATAAAAAAAGAAGTCAAATGGTAGAAAAAGAAGGAGGAAAGAGAGGAAATGCAAAAGAAAAAGGAGAAGCTGTGGAAGAAAAAAAAAAAGCCTTGCAAAAAAAAAAAAAAAGTGTCATGGATGATTAACATCATCAAATCTCTCTCCTTCTCTGGTCACCCTAATTGATATAAAATGTACCTTTTTCTTTAAATAGGACAAGAGACAACTTCTAACCAGCTTTCATTTACTTTATATGAGATTCTTAAACAGCCTGAGATTGAAAAACGGTAAGTGTATGTTAAGGTTTTTATTGGCTATATCCTCCTAGAATTAGATTTACAAGATTCCAAAGCCCTAGCATGTCAAAAAGAACTATCTGCTCTTGTGGACAACAACTTCTCCTGAAGGCTTAAACCCAACTCTGGTATATAGAAGCTATGCATGTGTCAGTAAACATGCCCTTTGATAAGATAATCAGTATTCAGTTTCATGCAAGGTTCTAATTAAAAAATAACATAAATGTTTGCAATGTTGAGTTCCGAAGGTTTTCAAAGTTTAATTCTTAGGGTTTACAAGGTTCAATTCTTAAGGTTTGCAAGGTTCAGTTCTGAGATTCATGTTCTCTTTCTTCACAGTGTATGTGTAAATTCAAAATATATTTTAAATGGTTGGTTTTAAACAATTGCAATCATTATGAAATGTTTTGTTTTATTAACATAAATGAAACTTGTGTGGTTTTTTTTTCCTCTATATAAACCAACAATGTTTTGACTTTAAACTTCTGCCGTTATCGCATGAAAATGATAAGAAGATAAAAGGTTACTCTCATATTATACTGTTTTTCACTAGGATTTTAAAGGAGTTGGAAGAAATCCTTGGCAGCCGCAATGATTTAGAGTTTGAAGACCTAAGTAAACTTGAATACCTTGGCCAGGTACTGAAAGAAGGTTTGAGACTCCACCCTCCTGTTGCTAGCATCCAGAGAATGTTACCAAAGGGGGATTCTTTTGGTGGCTACAAACTCCCCCCAAACACCAATGTGACTGTGAGTTATATTGGAATCCAAAAGTCTTCCAAATTTTGGGAAAACTCTGATGTATTTGATCCAGACCGATTTTCTCCAGTGCACAAAGAGAATATTTTACAGTCCAGTTATTCACCATTCTCTCTTGGACCAAGGTCGTGCATAGGAAAAACATTAGCTCAGGTTGAGGCTAAAGTCTTGATGGCACGAGTGCTACGTGAATTTAAGTGTGAACTGCTGCCTGGGCAAACTGCAGCAGAAGAAGAAAATGTGACACTTAGGCCTAGAGATGGAGTCATATGTACTCTAACCACAAGGAAATAATTGGTAATTAGCTTTTTTAATTTAGATAGCAAAAGAAATGAAGGAAAGACTTGAATGGGCTTTTGACTTTTATGATTCTAGAAATTCACATTGAATTTATTAATGAATTGACACAATTTATTGTGCACCTTTAATAATTAGAGGTGAAAATCTTGATTGCAAAAATACTGTATTTCTTTGAATAAGCACCTGGGCATTCATTTAAAATTTCAGCTTAAAGAGGGGGGCACTTATTAGAAGGGGAGTGCTTAATTAAGAAAGGGTGCTTATTATATTAGCATAGCAACGCGACAATAATCAAAAGAGCAGATTAAAAAACAAAGGTGGAGAACTCTGCAAGCACATGGAGATAGAAATAACTGGAACAGAAAAGAAACTATTCTCTTGCATGGATTCTGAAGGTTTAATAGGTAATGAAGAATTGGCAATGGATGAAACAGGTTTTCCTTCTGTCTCCACTATTTAAGGAAGGGGAAGGGGGGAACTTGTTTGAAATTATGGCCTAGGGGGGAGGCACTTATTCAGGGGAAGGGGCTTTTTCAGGGATACACAGTATTCACTTTTTCAAAAATTTTATTACATGTCATTTATCTCTTTCTACAAACAAGTACCATGATTGTAAACTTTTATAGGTTGGAAGATACATTCACAGTTGAATAGACATTTTTGTTTTGAATTTATAATTATTAGCCCTTGTTGTCGTGTCAAGCAAAATATTCTTTTAACCCTTTAACTCCCATGAGTGACCAAGACAGAATTTCTCCCCTACATATCAATACAATATCAACCAGATAAGTGATGAGAGTAAAGAAAAAGATCAATTTGGGGATAATTAGTTGATCCAATACTAAATTCTCTGAACTAACATAATAAGAATTGTATGGGTTACAGTAAGGAGAATTACAAATTTGGTCTGGGAGTTAAAGGATTAAATTCTGAAGATGTGGTTGACACAAGTTAGGTTGGTGAAGTCTGTACGTGAGCTAAGAAGCTCATCCACCCCAAGCTTATCCCAGTTTTCTCAGCACATAGTCACTAGGGTTTATTACCGTTACTCCCCCCTTGATGGAATTCCAGTTCATTGCAGGGTTCTTCAGGCTTCCCTGACAATTTGCTGGTACCCACCTATACTCCTGGGTAGAGAAAGGCACTGTAAGAGTAAAGTGTAATATACAGATTTAGCCAAGCCTAAAAGTGGAGCTCTCATTTTTTTTTCCTGCACGTCTCAAGGGTACAACGCCTTGCCTCGGCCATGACTAGAACGTGGGTTGTCTGACTTGGAGCCCAGAGCACTGACCACTGGACTACTGAACAAAGCCATGGCATTGGCGTGCCTGCAGTACAGTTGACCATGCATGTCAAAAGTAGCACCTTGTACGGTTGTACATCCAAATTTTTTTGGCTTGATGGGCTACTACTATTTTGTATAATTATGAGGCTATGCTCTGTGAACTCTGCTATTACCCAGGAACACAACACAATTACCCAGCCAGGTCTTGAGCTCAGACCTCTTGACCTGAAGTCCAACACCACTATCCTATGCCTCCATGTTCCTTGGCCCTCCCTGCCTTGTTTCAAGCTTTAAATTAATTTGAAATGGTAAAATAAGGTAGAGGCATAAAGAGCTACTTTCCATAAATATAACAGAATTCTTTATTTGTCATTTTACTGGAAGAAGGTTGATAATTTTCTTTGTTACCAAATAGCAGACCAAACTTTTAATTAATAAAAGCATTAATTTCAAAAGATCAACCTCTTTTGCTAAATAACGTTATCTTGTTGAATAAAACATCTACCATAATAGAGTGCCCATTTTATGTACTTTATTCTGGTTGCAATTGTCAGTAGTGATATTGTTACGATAAGTTCCTGAATGGTCCCTAGAGTGAAGGAATTTATTACTAAGCTAATGTTTTGCTTTACCCAATCTTTTTTTTGTGTGTGTAAAAGCTAAAATGAGCAACCATGACCATCTACACATCAACCATGCTTTAAAACCTTGACCTTGTACAACTTTTCTCCTTTGCCATTCGCTTGCAAAAGCGAACCATTTTCCTTAAATACCTCCATATTCAAAGATATAACACTTGTATTCTGCTGGAAAGATTTGACACAGCCAGGCAAGGTTTGAATTCTCCACCCCAAGGCACTTATGACAACTTCAAATGCCTGTGGGTTGCCTGTGAGGCAAGGAGAGGGTGTTGTTGAACAGCAGTCTATTGATAACAAATCAGGGTTAATGTTGGAATAGGGGAGGGGAGGGGCAGGTGGGCAGTTGCCCAGATACTGATATTGATCTAAATAAACTATATCTTAAAATGCAACATTTCCAATTTGACCTAAACTGTCTTAGCTAACATCTATTTTGAATTTGTCTCTTTTTGTCTAAAAATTCTCTCATCTTGTTAAGAAAAACATACAACCATTAGTCTAAACAAAACTGCAACTGCTATGGAATCGATAAAACTGTTTTGATTATTTAAAAAGTTATCATTTTCACAACTAATTTTAAGTTTGAAAGTATAAAATTATTAACCTCTTTGCAAGCTTAAAAATATTTTGATTTTTACTTTAACCCTTTAACTCCCATGAGTGACAAAGAAAGAATTTCTCCTTACAATATCAATACAATGTTAACCAGATAGGTAATGAGAATAAAGATAACTATCAATTTGGGGATGATTGGTTGATCCAATACTAAATTCTCAGAACTAACATCATGAGAATTGTATGGTTGACAGTAAGGAGAAGTACAAATTTGATCTGGGAGTTAAAGGGTAATGTTAGTATCAATATCATCAACAGGAAAATGGCTGAGTGATACAATTGTCAGAACTTCAACCCTGTAACTCCCAGAACTGATTAACATTAATATTCTCTCATGCACTCTCCAGCAAACAGATGAGAATACTCAAACTCATCTGATAGAGGTTGTTAACTTGATTTAACATCAACTTCTTGCAACTAATTCACAAGGAAATGTGGAGCAGCTAGAAGGGAGAATTAATAATCAGATCTTAGGAGTTAAAGGATTAAATCTCAGGTTGTGACCACAATTTATTGCAATCTATCATCTATTGTTAGTCATTGTATATGTGATAAGATATGCAGGATATGCAATGTCAAGTTTATAGAGAATGTATACATTACAGTTATTGCTGACCCCGTTGATGCTGTCATAACGGATATTGGACCCTGCCTTTAGTGGAGGCATTTTCAGACTGCGGTCAGGAGGTAAAGATATACTATCTCCAGTGAGAACATGGGCAAGGAATAGCTGAAAGTGTTGTGTTTGAGCATCTTGGTACACAAATCCATGATGGCTATATGAAGCCTCACAGGCAAAATAGGTACCACGCCCCCACAGGCCATCAGCAGAATAACGCATGTCAAACCCATCTTCACCTCTCCAGATGGCTTCAGGACTTGTTTCTCTGGTGCCATGGAACAGCTCTTTTTCATTGATGGATGCAGATCCTGATTGAAAGGGGACAATTGAGAGTTTAGTGTCAAAATTTACACAAAGAAAGGGTCAGCAACTAAGAAAGAGAAATTATAAAATCTTTAATGTATCCCTCTTAAACACTAACCATTTTTCTCCTTCATCAAATGACGCTGTATGGCATATTTCCTGTAAAGCCACTTGTTCTGAACCCGCTGTATATCAACCACTTTTGCCTTCTTAAGACTCCTCTTCAAACTTCCCTGAACATGATCCCACTCGGCTGAACCTGGACGCACTCTTACTAATTCTGCACCATTGCTCTGTTGCTGCCAGTCACTTGGGACTGTAAGGGCTTCTTGCGGTATCAAACGTTTGCCACTAGAGATAACCAAAAAGGATAAAAAAAAACTGTATCATTTATCCAGTAGTATTTTTAATTGACACATTATTAGAGTTGTAAATATGGCAAGCCCTCTGCCATGAATGCAATTGTAAAAGAGGGTAGTTTTACTTTTGTATACTTTCACCAATCAGAAATCAAAGTGTAAACAAGTAAACTGCTTAAAGTGTGGAAAAACAGGTTGGATTGGCCAAGTTGCTATTTTATTAGTATTGTATCTGGTTGGTTGAGAAGACTGCACAAATTCTCTGGACCAATCACACAGCAAAGTTAACCCTTTAACTCCCAAGATCTCATTAATAATTCTCCTTACTGTCTGCTATAGAGTTCTTGTGATGTTAGTTTGGAGAATTTGGCATTGGATCAATTCATAATCCCCTAATCGATGTATTTTTCTTTATTCTCATCACTTGTCTACTTGATATTGTATTGATATGGTAAGGAGAAATTCTGTTTTGGTCACACATGGGAGTAAAAGGGTTAAGTAAAACCAAAGCAATTCAGGATCACTTTGACACTTAATTGAAAACTGACCAGCACAAAAAAAGGAATAACAGATAAAACCTTGGAAAAAATGAACTGGACTACCAATAGCTTTTTCACTTCTGAGATTCAATAATGATTATACTGAATGATGATTAATTGTTATCCCATTATTGATACATTCCTGTGTTCATCTTCCTTACTTGCTCACAGAAGAGATTTCACACTGATCCAAACTTGAAGTCAAACACACTTTCACTGTACACTGGTCCTCTTTTCATCCAAGGTCTTTTTAGAGTTAATGGGTTTCCTGTTTATATCATCTGACCTAAAAACCCTTCAACTTTTAGATGCCTCCATTAACCCTTTGACTCCCACAAGTGACCAAGACAGAATTTCTCCTTACAATATCAATACAACATCAAGCAGGTAGGTAATGAGAATAGTGAAGAAAATCAATTATGGGATTATTAGTTGGTCCAATACCAAATTCCCCGAACTAACATCATAAGAATTTTATGGCAGATAGTAAGGAGAATTACTAATTAGATCTTGGGAGTGAAAGGGTTAATTATGTGCAGTTTACCAGTACAGTTCCTTTTTCTAACTGAACCCCTGGAACAGGCAAGACAACCTTAAGAAAAAGATCTACGAGCAACACACCTGATTGCTTTGTTTTCTTCATTTCCTTCTGGAACTCGAAAGATGTGGCTCTTTGTTCCATTGCTGTTGCAAGCCATTGTCATGTTTAAAAAATTAACTTTGACACTTTTAGTTGATCCTGGCAGTTTAATACCTGTTACCCTGTCAGACGCAACTTCAGAATGATCTGACTTGCAGTTTAGGAATTCTTTTTCTAACACATTGCATTCAGAATCAGTAAATGGAACCAACTTGTTATCGTCTGACTCCCAAAACCATGTCACCCTTGGTAATGGAACTTTCCTTTTCAATTGTTGTGCCTGCGCATCGGGCTTGTCTCCAAGTTCCTTACCAACCATTGCAACTTTGTTGGGTTCATTGGCATACTTTTCCAACAGCAAAGTGATTTGAGTGGGGTCTGCATCAGGGAATACCTTTTTCAAAATCTCCAAATCATTTAAAGAGGCTGAGACTGACAACCCTTCCTTGCTGCTTCTGATTTCTTCAACCGTTTGCACATCCTTGCTTGAATCTGAAGGTTCCACACACTGAACCACTGTGGAAGTCTTTGTACAGGAAGGCTTTACAATACTTTGTCTTTTTCTTCCAGGTGATTGGCCGGTTTTAGACTGATCTCTGTTTGATAGAGACTGGGTATTACTCTTGCCTGCACAATTTTTTTCATCAGCATCAATTTCGACAATCTGCAGCTTTTTAGGTTTATTCATTGATGGGTGAAGAACACCACCTTTGTAGCGTATACAAATACCTTTATGCTGTGAAGGTGAAGTTGTACCCGAGATACTGATGCAGTTCCTAGTGCGCTGAAATGGTTGTCTTGTTGGGCTTGCCACACATTTTACAAAAGCTATGTCACAATCATTGTCATCGGATGTACACTTTGATGATGTGATAGATCTCACTCCTTTCTTGTCAGAGTTTTTGGAACAAGTTGTAAATGATTCACTTTCATTGTTACTTAACACATTGGTGTTAACATCAATTTCATCCTCTCCTAACATTACAGGTAAACTATCAGTTTCACTGCCACTGGAATCTCTTCTCTGTAATTTTTTGCGTGAAAGCTCTAATGTACCAGCTTCTGCACTGCATGAGCTATTTTCACCTTTAACAACTGTTTTCAGTTTTGTGCTACTTTTTTTTTGAGTTGAATTTTGAGCAGGATTTGACCCAACAATGTTGTCCCCTTGAAGCAGCATGTCAATGATAACTGATAAGTAGTTAGCTTGGTCTGAGAAGATTTCTAAGTAATTCCTCAATACTTTACCGTCCACACAAGGAAACATTTCAGTCAGACAAGCAAGATCATCTTCAAACTTGTATCCAGATTTCAAATCTGAAGATGTATTATTCATGTTGCCTGCTGCACAAAAATTACCCTAAGAATCAGATGGCTGTAAGGCTTTTAAAATTCCTCTTCATCTACTTGACTGTGCAATAAAATAATAACCCCTGCAATTTAATTAAAATGAGATCGATAGTTATAGATCAATAATTAGGACAGGCCTTCTCGGAAAAAAAAACTCTCTTAACATCAGGGGAAAGGGTCGGAATGACATGCACATAGGCGAATCTCAAATTCTTTCGTCAATTCAGTCATTGGGTTCCTGATCAAATACTGAAAAGGGACCAACGAACATCAAACCAATAAAAAAGGGGTTAAATTTTTGCACAGCCCATACTATTGTCAAACAAAGCTATTTTTTCCCAATGGCAATGTATTGTTTTTGTCATTGTTTTCTCTATCCAAGAATTGAATGCATAATGTAGTATGGGGCTGTGCGAAAATTTTACCGATCTGAGCTCAAAATTTAATTCCGCAGATGAAAAAAATGTATATATATGTGTATATTAAACAATCACGACGAAAGGAATTGACGACGATCAAGAGTTTTTTAATTCTAACGGTCAAAAACCATCAACTTGGTCTCCGGAAACAACGAAGGCCTGGCTTTTAGGCATGCATGATATAGAACTTACGGTGTGCAAGGATCTGTCATAGTATCCACCACATTTCATGGCCAGATAAAGTATATTTGTTGCTTAGCTGTAAAGGAGGAATTGTGTTCAATTTCGTTGAAATCGAACTCATAATCGTTAACTAGAGCGCCGAACTCCCCTTTAAATGTAACACTCTTCCTGATTGGCCAGGTATGGACCAATCAAAAATAAAGAAAATATTTAATATTCCTGTCTGTACAGGCATCCTGGGTAATCAATATGGCGGTCTCGTTGCTAACATAAACAACAACTGACTTTCGACCTGGGAAATGGTCAAACACAAAGTTACAGTGAAGTTTGGACCGTATATGTCATGTGGAATAGTTGAACATCGAACTGCGCGTTTGGAGGGGCTTCAAGGTAAATGAAAAGTTAAAATGCCGTCAAATTTCTTCGTTCAGCAGTTTTCTTAATTTTAAACGAGTTGTACAACATTTTGGTTTCACAGCGCTCTTGAGAAGCGAGGGACACACAGTAGAATTTTTCAAAACTCGTGACAGAGATGACGTTGAACTGGTAGTTCACGGGGAAATAATTTATCGTTGTAAAATTCAGACGCTTCAGTACGGTAGGTTTTCACCTTTTCCAACTATGGTCAGTGAAGTACTCCCAAGTGACCAAGACATAATTTCTCCTAGTAATGTCCATGCCATATCAAGCAGAAGAAGTGATGAGAACAAAGAAAAGGATCAAATACGGAATAGTAAACTGATTCAATACCAAATTCTCAGATCAGACATTATTGGAAATGTATGGTAGACTTAAAAGAGAATTACCTTCAAATTCCTAGGGGTGGAGGGGTCAGGAATGATACTGATGCAGGGTTATTGATACCAAAGAGGAAGAGAAATAGAAAGCTACCAAGTTGACAATCAGGAACATGTACTGCTCTTTGGTCTTAAAAAGCTTCATCAGTTTGATATTGGGAAAACAAACAGTGATGAATTAAAACTTAAAAATGGGTCTCACTAACTTCCCTTCTGATCTCATAATCTCGTTGGTCTTGCAAAGAGTCTCCCAATCTCTTTTATTTGTGCATTTCTTACAGTGTAATCCCATTCACTCCCAAGATCTAATTAGTAATTCTCCTTACTATCTGTCATACAGGTCTTGTAATGTTAGTTTGAAGAATATTGTATCAGACCAACCAATATTCCCCTTATTGGTATTTTTCTTTATTCTCATTACCAAGGTACTGCAGTGATATTGGGCAGAGAAATTCTTTATTGGTTCATTATAGGAGTTAAATGTTTTAACCGCAATTAGTATTGACTGTGTTGCTAACACTGTCTTGTTCCCATGACAAATTTTAAAATGTTGGTCTAGTAGTCTCGGCAAGTCCCAATTTCATCACCCACTGCCCCTCAAATATACTTTAGGCCTACAAGTTCCACTTGTTAAAAAGATTGCACTACTTTTGCAAAACCACAAATTTTATTGATACAATGAGTGGTTAAGTAGTTTCCTAGTCAAGAGCAATTTTCAACCACCTGGATGAGAATCTTATTAACTATTTTTAAACTTTGATTTCAGGGGGTGATGGAAAACTTGATCCAATATGTAAAGAAGCCCTTGCAGCAGTCAACAAAGCCTACTAAATGAATCATTATCTGAATTATATTTACCTGATAAGAAGTACTTGACTTTTTACAAAATTGATGTTAATAATTCAGAATTAACCCTCTGCCCCCTAAGAGTGGCTAGCTTTCTCCTTACAGTATCATCCCTGAATCTCACAGGAAGGTCACAAAAAAAGAGGAAATTATCATTAACTTAAGCTGCTCTTGATTGTTAAACAAATTCTCCTTGTCAGTATCTTACAAAATGTTTAAAGAAGAGTATTGAGAATATGGATACTGATGTTAAGGTGTAGAGATTTCATTGTTAGATTGAGATTAGTAATTTTTGTATACTATAGGCTGTTAATGTAGAGAGAGCATTGAAGTTTTATGCTTTGTGTCAGTGTCTGTGAAATGAAAAAAAGTGTTCGAGTCTTTGTTAATAAAAGTTGTAGTTGAAGACTTAGCTTCATTAATGAGTTTTTGTGATATTACTAACCTGGACAAATAGACCTCAAATCCTCAACACTCAATTATTAAGTCATGAATGAAGGTGGACATTAAGATTCATACAGTTCCAGATACCTGGACAAAGAATTTTTGCTGGGAAATGATTTCTGGGATTTTGCGTTTAAAAAGAGCTCTATTAAGATGTGTAATAATTGCTGTAGGAAATCTGTGTAAAGTAAGATTTCTTATCTCGGCCTTTTTTACAATGTAAACAAATTAACCACCATGATAAAATGGACAGATATAATTACCAAACAGTAATTTGTTTATTAGATCAGTGCGTTTTTACAGATTTCACTCCAAAATAAAAACACTATTTCCCTAATTAGCAGATTAATTCTGATATTGCTCCTTGCCTGTTATACAGACTTACTTCTTGGATTGAATTGATTTCATATTTCACTTATCCAGATTGCATCATTCAGCAGTTGGCAAACCCATGGTTTTGTGAAGTCATAAGATATATTCCTATGCTGGGCTCGTAAAATTTATTATAAATGTTTAATTAAAAATCATACTTCTATTTTACACTCCCTCACACAGCTTGCAGAAGCAGATAAAACAAAACATACTGAAAAAAAAAATTGTCCTATATGGGAAATATAAGATACAATAATTCTTGTTTTGAACTGCAACTTGCAGTTTCTCAAATCCATAGTAAATAGGTTCAGTACTAAAAGCTGTCTTTCAAAATGAGGTAGACAATTTATACTAGGGCTTTGTTGATAAGATCCTCCTGTTCTGAAATGTGATGATGTTTGTTTCCAGTTGCTGTTGATGCAGCAGGAGGACGGCCAGCATAACTGTCAGAAGAAAAAAAAAAAGCAAGACTAAACAAATAAACAGAAAACAAATTAAATATAAAGTGTAGTGACATTCTGTCTAGTGGTCATTAATCACAGTCTAATGAGTCAAGTGGCTCATCAAAAAGGTGAGTAAACACCAGTCTCAAAAGTATAGATTAGTGAGACATATTGCTGTCCTAATGCATGGCAAGCTCTTCATTTTTGTCACACCACTTTTCTTTATATTTTTTTCCACCAGATCCTGGTGAGGGTAGTCATGAAAATGAATATGGTTGCAACCAATTTCAAAAGTAGCCAAGACATCTTACGATGACAAGTGAAAACTGGCCACCATGCAATCAAACATAATGTATCCCAAATGAAACATAAAGGAAGACCTTCAACCATTTTTATTCATTACCTGATCTTAACATTGTTTCCAACAGAAGTGACAAGGCGTGGATGAACATAAGTCCAGTAACCCATATTCATGGGTTCCTCTTGAGCCCACACAATCTCTGCATTGTCGTACTTCTGATTTTCAGCCTTGATCAAGTCGAATGGGAATGGACTTATCTGAAATAAAGACACCAAAGGTTACAGAGGGGTATCTTTAGTGTTAAGCCACAGTGACTGTGAAACACGTCACAGTGTTGCATATCATATTTATTACTATCCTCAATGAAATCAGTTCCACTTGAAACAAGTACCACTGATGATAAAAACTTGCAACCAGAAAAAATAATTTTGTACAAACACACACCACAACACCAACTTAAATAAAAATGAAACTTAAAATCAGTGGGTTTCTCCGTTGATAAATTTACAGCATCAGTTTATTGCTGTTATACTAAGTATTAGTCTTCGAGTGACATAAGGTCATTGCCATTCCTCAGCTACCGCTACCTCTAACACAGATACAATCAAAGATATTCTCGACTGTTGTCTGTTTCTCCTGCAAAATAAACGAAGGCTCATTCTCTCAAGGGTTAACAATACGGACAGTGCAAGGCACTGTTGCCTACACTGTATCAGAGAGCAGACAAATGCACTCACTGTGCATGCAAAGAGACATACCAGAACTAGTTTACAAACAGGGAATGTTATTGCTAAACTTTTTGTCTCGATGCTCCATAAATGCCATTTGCTCTATACACATTAAAACATGCAACAATTTCAGAAAACAAAGTCAACAAAAACAGTGTTGGTGGGGAAGTACATGAAACATCGAAACCTAGCAAGGGTAACGGTCTTAATGAGAAGGTCACAAGCTATAGGACTATTCATGTGGACAGGCTAAGAAGACTTGAACTTCAGAGCATGGGCTTGCAAGTACAGTGCTGTAACCATCTCCTATTTCTTTCATGGCTTTCTTAAGGAAAGGCAAGGCAAGGCAAGAAAGCCTGGTGATCATAGGTTGAAAGAGGTACTGGTACTTGTGTACCTGTTCAACACGAGAGATGGCAATGTCTTCATCAAGACCTCTCTTGCTTCGTTCCTGAAGTAGAGAACAAAACAAATTCAGTTTGAGTAACAAGATCTTCCTTAAACGCTCAGAAAGAGTGGCCTCTGTAAGCTGCAAAGCATGCAAGATTCCAGAGATCTGTCAGACCTGTAGCATGCTTGCAATACTTGAAATATGTGCTCTTTACCACTCTTTTGCTCATGGGCTAAGGGAGGAGAGGAGCTGGGATTGGTAAATGGTGAGAAGTGTGTTGAACTCAAACTGCTGTGCTGCAAATTTGATTCCTCAACCTGTTGTGTGGTGGTGAGGAGAGTACAGAGATGGCAACTGAATGAGTTGCATTTCAGAACTCTTACCTTTGCCAAATCATAGTAAACTTTTCCAGTACAAAGAAGGAGTTTGCGAACTTTCTCTGGATTTTTTGATGCTGGACCAGACTCTGGGATCACACGTCTAAATGATGTCCCTGTATTTGAAGTAAGAGTTCATTTTGTTATTTGCATTTGGTGTCAATATCGAAGATCCTATTGTCCATGTCTATTTCAAATGCAAGACCATGATAGCATTTTGATCCATCATAGATTGAAGTAAAGTGATTCTGATGAAGAAAAGCTCTCCTGGAATGAAAAGTACCCCTCCCTTTGGGTTGGTACTGTTCAAACTAAAATAATCTTAACTTCTCTTTTGTGCTTTCACTGTGTTTGTTCTTTTGAGACCCTCATATACTAGAAAACATTAAATTCAGAATTTCATTGCAAACTCAAATTTCAAGACAAAAGAAGTTAAATGTAACCAACATAATCTTTTCTCAAACTTACCTTCTGCCATTTCATCAATATGAGATCTGGCAGCTTCTAGACGAAGGAGACTTTTTGGTGTCATCAGGATGAGCTGAGGGAAACCAAGTAGTTAGATTTACAACCTGATCTTCTCCTTCTTATGAATTATTATGAAATAATACTAATTTAAAAGTTTATCAATCTTGCTGACGTTAGCTAGCCTTGTCCCTCCCTCTCTTGTGTATTTATATACTACTGGACTAATGTTTTGTAGTCTCACTCAATTTGTAGGTCATTTTACACAAAGGAAAAACAAGCATATTATGGAGACAAAGCCAAACTCCTTTAAAATAAAACAACCTTAAGTAAACATTCTTGTTCTTCTCTTTGATTTGAAGGGAAGTATAAAGACAAACTTACAGGCTTGCGGAAGTTTAGAGCAAGCTGTCGGCGCAGCACATGGAAATAGTTTGCAGGTGTGCTACAGTTAACAACCTGGAAAATAAGGACTCACATTTCAGCGCTGTTCTTATAAAATCACAATTACAAAGGATAATTCTAAATTTTAAAAAACAATATTGAATAAATATGATTTGCAATTACAAATTTCAAAACTAAGAAAATTAACTCACCTGCCAGTTGGTGGAGTAAAGCTGATTCACCTCGAAGAGTTCATTGTTTGTCTGCAGATGTGAAAGTAATAAAACAGGCGTAACAAACAAAAACACCAATACTGACCAAGATAAGACTGAATAATCTATTAAATTTGTGGTTCTTTGCAAACAAATTCTTTGAAAAAAACTTAAGAAGAACAAACTGTAAACAGTCACTTGGGATGAATTGCCAAAAAAATGTGTTGGAGATAAAATAACAAACTGTGCAATTTATAATGAAATATGACAGCTGATGAACTATATAACATGTTACTGATATGAGAAGAAGAAATTAGTAATTACTGGAAAAACGTCAGGGTTATCATTGCTCATTTGTAGAAACCTCTCTGGCCTGGCACTGGAATGTTCGGGTCCCTAAAAGAAAAATATATAATTACAGAACTGTAAGCGTGTTTCCACTTAACAGAAAGATGAAATTTAAACATAACCATTGAAAAATTCCATATTTCATCTCTGAGCCTTAAAGAAACTGAACAACAGCAATCAATTCTCTGTATATGTGTTGCTAAATAGAGGGACAATGCAATTATCATCTTTGATCTGACAGGGCCACATCTCATTTGCATCTAACAGGCCCACAGACTTTGTTACCCACAAGTATTAATTGCTGTCACTGTTTTCTATTCATGGGTTGTTGCAATTATTATGAATATTTGTCCCATCTTGTTTTAAGGTGCCTGAAATTCAGAAGTTGAAACTGCACAAGATATGGTCATGATAAAGACAAATCTAAGACCACTCACCCACATTTATTTCACTTTGGGCAGTCTTCAAGAAATAATTCCCCCTTTCACCCCTACGAGTGACTGGCATCTAATTTCTCCTTACAATCACCCCCAAAATCACACATAAAGGTCACAATTAAAAAGGAAATGACCACTAATGATGAAAGCTCTTGATTGTTAAACAAATTCTCCTTGTCAGCACCTTAGGAAATGTATTAAGAACAGTATGGAGAATATGCATACTGATGTTAGGGTGTAAAGAACCAAAACTCACCATTCCTTCGTATCCATGAGGAAGTAACATGGTGAGTGCACTTTGTCTCACCCATTTGTCTTGCCCACTGCTGATAAACTGATCAATAATACACTACCAAGGTAAAAATAATTATAATTAAAATAAAAACAGATTGAAACAGTGATGTTAAATTTCACAATTACCCTGTAACATTAAAATTAATCTGGTTTGGAGGGCTTACTGTCAGTAATGAATGAAATCACACTTAGTCTTGTGGTGAACTGACCCAAAATATTCCAGAAGTTGATCTCTCTAATCCAGTTGACATACCTGGGCAGTATTGTTAAAGTCACCAAACTGTGCTTCCCAGCAAACAAGAGCAAATGGATTTGTCATGCTGAAACCAAGCTCAAAACCTACAAAATGAAGAAAAATGTGTTTTATGGCTAACAGACTGCAATTGGCATGAACAGTTAACCCTTTAACTCCCAGAAGTGATTAACATGAAATTTCTCCCTATAATATCCCTACAATATCCAGCAAAGGGCAAATGAGAATACCCAAATTTATCAGGTAGAAGTTGTTATTCTAATCTAATACAAAATTTACAGAACTTATTTGCCAGGAATTGTGTTGAAGCTGGAGGGGAGAATTAGCAATCAGATCTTAGGAGTTACAAGGTTAACATAATACAGTTAATGATTTTGCCCAAAATTAGCTGCTGATCAAGTAATGCGATTGAATGGGTGACAGTAGTCTTGGATTGAACTGTTGGACACAGTGACCGAAAATCTGAAAATCCTAGTGCAAGCAAACATTCCTAACCTTGATTATTTAATAAAGTAAGAGACAAGTTATTACTAAGTTAAACATTATTTGAGGAATGCTGGAACTTTTGACTTCAAATATATGAACAAGAATAATGTAAATGGAATAAGAGAGATGCTAAGTTTTGAGCTCGGTAAAGAAATAGAGAAAGATGCTTCTTGTCTTGTCACCAGCTCGAGTCCTATGAGGAATTGAACCTCAGATTTTTGGATTCTGCATTGCAATTCTCTACCATTGAGCCACAGAGACTCTACAGTGAGTGAGGTCTATTAAGAAGTTCATATGACATGCCTCCTGCATACTGCAAGGATCATCAATGTCGATAGCTGATAATGTGCACAAAACATACCTAGCACAGCGTATTCTGATAGGGAGCTATTGCAGACTGTGTAAATGCCCTGGCCAGGGCCGAGATCATTTAATGGACAGTAAGTCACTTTATCTTTGTCTTGATCGTGCAGAATGTGATGACGATGGCTACAAAGAAAAAAAAATTATCATCCACTGGCAAAAAAAATTCAACAGTACTACTGGAGGATAAGAGTTGTAAAAAAAGATAGCATCAAAGGAGGCCAACAATCTCTTTAGCAGTGAGGAGGTCACCATGCTTTACTCTTACCAGGTACTGTTAGTGGTGTATCTACCTGAAAGTCCCTCTCTCTACATCCTGTCCACTGAGCCTCACATGAGAACCCTCAATCAAAAGAGAGCCAAATGCCAGGGCTTCACCCATTGCCCAGTCCACATAACCCTTTTCCAGCAGATCACGGCGAGCTTTAAGGATGCGGCGCAGTCCTGAAATTGATATCCATTCATTAAGAAAAGGGTCTGCCACTTACTTTGTACATTACAGTTTTGAGTAGAAATGGTATACTTGCTTTCATTTCACACATACATTTAAACAAAAAAAAAAAAATGCTGATCACACGACTTGTCTTTGGAGTGAGCAGTACATGCTGCATTCATTTTTAAGATTCACACAACATCTCAAGGCTTAACCCATTGCAGCCTAACATCAGCATGCATATTCTCCATACTGTTCTCCATGCACCATTTTTTTTTATCCTTGAGACCTTTTAAATGAGCCATTCAGGGGTGATATTGTAAGCAGAAATAAGTTGCCAATCACTCTTAGGGGTCTAGGGGTTAATAGCGGAGCTCGCAGGGTGTAGCCCCATAATTATACAAAATAGTAGTCACCCACCAAGCCAAAAAAATTTGGATGTACGACCATACGACCATACAACTATACGACCGTATGACCATACAAGGTGCTACTTTTAACACGTGTGGTCAACTGTACTGCAGGCATGCCAATGCCACAGCTTTGTTCAGTAGTCCAGTGGTCAGTGCACTGGGCTCTGAGTCGGATGACCCGTGTTCTAGTCCTGGCTGGGGCAAGGCGTTGTGCCCTTGAGACGTGTGGGGGAAAAAAAATGCAAGCTCCGCTTTTAGGCTTGGCTAAATCTATATATTACTGAGGCAACCAAGGAACAACAAAAAATTTATATGGAAGAAAACAGCACAGCATGAGAAATACTTTGACCTCAGGCCATTAATTAAAGCGGGATATGAAATTGCTACAAATTGCTAATTAAAAAGTAAATGATCTTTGAAAACAGGTGAGAAAATTGACAACTTTGGCTACTAATTGAATCCCTGATTTTTTCTAGTTGTCATGGCTACAAAAATGGCCACAGCTTAGAGAAGCCTGAGATGTTGGGGAAGGATCATCTTTTCTTTACCTCCATGAACCTTAAAGTCTCCACCAGGAGCAGCACTGAACACATTTCCTACATGCTTCAAAGTGTCAAGAGCAATTCCTGTTGGTTTCACAGGCTGAGTAGGAGAATAGCCTTTTTTGAAGAATCCTGTTGAAACACAATGAGAAATTGGTTATTCAATAGATATCTAATTTTTAGACATCAGTTCATCTATTTATCTTTTATTCAATATCAAATGAAATTGTGATATACATGAACCCTTTTCGTAGGGGCTATGTCTCTTTCTGACACAAACTTTGGACCAACAAAATTTGTTAAAAATCTTGGACCCCTTGAAGAGATAAACATGCTTGATGTAATAATATGATTCTTTCAACTTCCAATAGACATGCAAAATTAAAACAGCAGATCACACCTTTCCATGGTGAATCCAGCCAATCCCTGTTAAGCAGTACACGCTTCTCAGACTTTGCATCAGCAAATGCTTCTTCACAAATCTTATCATAGTTGGCTTTCTCTTCCTGAAAGAAAAGACATAATATTTTTTTTAAAGTATGACTCAAGTCAAGAAGCCTCCTATCTAAAAGTAAGGAAGCAATACTCCTAATCCTTACAAGCTATAGAGACCTGAATTGTGCTGTCTAGTCACATCCTCTACAAAATTCACCTGCAGACTAAGAGCTTTAAACATTCTTTGGAATGGTCACATATTCAGACTAAACAGATCTGTGGCTACCACAATAGGTTGATCAGTCATTTATTATATGACCCTTGTGGCCCAGCACATGCTTTAATAAATATTAGACAAAAATTCCCCATCCAAGGCCATATTGATGGCCTGAGAGAGCCACTTAGAGCCACTTGGCTTTGCAACAAAAAAGCAACTGCCATATGATAAAATACTTGTTGACTTAGTTAACTCAGTCTGAATGAGAAAATATTTGGCTCTCCCTCTTGATGCACAGACCTAGCTGCAATCTGTCCATTCCTCATGACCTCAATTAAAATATTTTCCAGTCTGGCTCTCTCACTCAGTCTATAAGTGCATAATCTGCACATACCTGAAGCCATTCCTCTGTGACAACATCCTCATCTATAAGTTTCTTTGTGTACAAATCCAACACATGATTCTTTTTGTTGATGTTCTTGTACATGATTGGTTGTGTGAACATTGGATTGTCACCTTCATTGTGGCCATGGCGACGGTAGCAAACCTAATATTGTTCGTGAGAGGGCAATTGGATTATGAAAAGGAAGTGGGCATTTATGATAAATATACTCAGGCTTACTTGCCTTTTCTTCAGAATTGTTTAAATTTTCTTGACCCTTTCACTCCCAAGATCTCACCAGTAGCTTTCCTTACTGTCTGCTATACTACTCTGTCTCATGATGTCAGTTTGGAGAATTTGGTGTAAGATCAGTTACAAATTCTGCTGCATCTCATGCAAGGTTTTTCAAACTGCTGCTACTCCTTCTGTATCAGCAGGCTTGTATTCACATGGGAGAAGGTTCGAGAGATGGAGTATTTCACATTGGAAAAGATTCATGCCAGCCCTCCAAAATTCTTTGCGATTTGCCTCAACTTGTATCTCACAAGAGGGAGGAGTCGTATAAGCCACCTTAGCCACACTACATGGCTAACAAATAGAAATCTTTACGACCCATGTAGTTCCAATGTGGTAACAGTCTTACTAGTAAGACAGTCTTCTTTTTATTTCGCATTGATACTATATAAAAATTCAAAATCTGTTTTTAAGAGAGAGTTACAGACAGAAATAATTATTTACTTAAAGTGTAAGACATACCAAATCAATGACAACATCTTTGCCGAATTCAGCTCTCCATTCTGCTGCAACTTTGCACACATGCATCACAGCCTCTGGGTCATCAGCATTCACATGAAAAATAGGAGCATCTACTACCTAAAGAATAAGATATTTAGATGGAGAAGTTAACACAACAGCCGCAAGATACATTAAATTAAATGGCCAAGGTACAGCAATGTAGTCTTTATCTTTTGTGGGGGTTTCTCTCAGGAGAATAAAACATTGTTTTCTGTGACCATTTATAAATTTTCGTGAAGGTTGCCCAATGGTTATCATGAAAAAATTGACCTTGAAGCCCTTATGACCAAGGTTGCAATGATGTATAATAATTTTCATTCTGCATTTGTGTTTATTTCCCTGGAGTCAAACACCTTTTCTAGTTCAAAATTTTCCGAGCCAATTTTCTTAATATGTACTTTACTGTTACAAAAAGAGCTTTGAATCCCAGCTTGACCCAAAGAAACCACCTAGATATACTAATTCCAGCATTTACTTGGGAATTAAAGTGAGTGGTTAAAGGAAGCTACTTGAACTAGAAGATGCGATTCTGTGCACCCACCTTGGCAACATCAGTGCAATAAGGTGAGGAGCGAGCAACCCTTGGATCAGTAGTGAAGCCAATCTGAAATTAAAGACATGGTTTAATGTGTGTTACAATTATTTTCATCATATTTCAAAACTTTATATCCCAACATCAGTGTGTATATTCTTCATTCAATTCTCTATAAGTTTCCTATGGTACTATTAAGGATAATTTAGTAAAACATTGAGAAATTATAAGTTTGCAACTACTTCATTAATTCTCATAAGCCTTCTGCTTGACTCAGCCGTAACACCTTAATGAGAAATTAGTTGCTGGTCACCCTCAGGATATAAAAGGCAATTCTTCCTCAGTTCATAACGTGTTTCTTGTGCATGTGTATCATCATAACCATTACATGTGTGCAGAAAAAGTGCACACAATAACCAAAGTGGGCATTGTCCATAAGAAATAGCTCTTTTAAATGGTGATTTATTACCAAAACAATAAAACTAACCTGGTTGTTAACAACAATATGTATGGTGCCATGTGTGGTGTACTGTGGCAGTGCACTTAAATGGAAAGTCTCATAGACCACACCCTGTCCAGAAAATGCTGCATCACCATGAATAAGAACACTCATCACCTTTTGGATATAATGAAAGAAAAAAATAAGTAAAAATTTACTCAGAATATTATAATGTAAAGACAGTGCTACAACATGCAAGTAGAAGTACAAATCCTTTATCTCAGTTCACACTGCATTGTAATTTCATGCTGTCAAGCACAGTGGAGGGCAACATTTAATAATTAAAAGGAGCATTCCAAAGGGGAAAGAAACAACACCCATTCACTAATTCCTTATGCTATAGAGAATCAACATGCTACAAGTTATAAGTGATAAAATAAACTGTTCATTAAAAAAATACTCATTCAATTTACTACCTTTTTCCCTTGTGTGTCTCCTCGATAAAATTGCTCTGATCTGGTTTTTCCTTCAACAACAGGATCCACAGCTAAATGGACACAAGAACTTTGACTGAGAAACATGACCCAACACTGACTAGTAGGAAAAATTCAGTCTTCCTACAAAGACATTGTAAAAAGTAGTTGTCTACTACTTTTATCATGCATCGTTATAAAGGTGTCTCCAGGCAAAATTTGAGGAAAATAATTCAGATTGAAAAAGAAAAAGAAAAGACAGTGCAAGCTATAAAAATAATATTTGACAAGAATCTGGTTCCTTTATAAATCAGACATTGCAGATTTCATGAATTTATAAATAAACATTTGCTTGAATTATTGATAATGAAGAGCCTAAGCTAAAGGAATGCTGAGGTAGAGTACTCCTCTGGTATTGAACAACTTACAAGGGTCCTAAAAGTTTTGTTTGTGAATGACTTACAAATGGTGGCAGTGACATAAAGAACCTGGTATCATTGATACTAGAACAAAATCTTAACTGCTATTGGAGTTGTAAAACTGACAATGAATTTTCTTGATCCACATAGCTCTAATTCTCAACCAAATATCTTGACATATCACATTCGTACAACCAAATGTTAAGGGAATGTTAAGAGATGCCGTTTAAAACAGCTGACAGTACCCTAATACTCAATTTCTTCCCAGACTGCAAAGTGCAATATTGCACAAGAGGAGGGTTGTCAGCAAAACTAGATAATAAAAGTGGTTTGCCACACTAGAATATTGTCATCTAAGCGTCAATAGGTCAGTTACTGATTTTTGAGGCTAAGCCTTTCATCAGAGGGAGGGGAAGCCAAGCATTTGTTCCAACAAAGGTATAAAGAATCCATTCATGAAAACAGGGCTAGAGTCCACACTTTTCACAAAACCATATATTGAATTTCTGAAATCAACCGCATTTTGCAAAAATAAAAACTCCAAAACTTCTTAAAATTCCAAACAAAGGGGAGACAAATTTGCATGAACGAAAGCTCAAAAATAGTTAAATATAATCCAGGAGAACAACCAAAACAAGTTTGCAAAAAATGTTCATATCAGTTTTCAATGTCAAGGTTGGAGTTCTTCATTGTGATTGGCTAATTTGTGAAATCATGCTTGCCGCACTTGGATACAACTTACCATAATACAAAGAGGGGAGAGGAAGAGAAAATTTATAATTGGAAATTCAAAATCAAAAGTGATTTTTGTTGGCGTGGCTTTGCATTGCACAATAATATTTCAACAATACAAAAGAAAAAGAAGTTGTAAACCTTCCAAATGGGAGGGATTTGCCACAACAGCCAACCGCACAATTTTGTTTGTGGCCCTATTGAGAAGTTCATGAGACATCCCTAAATGGTACTTCACGTCTCCTGATCCCTGTGGCAAAGGAAAGAGCAGTGTTTAATTACTTTCAGTTCTGAGTGTCTATTCTACCATGTCAGTGATGTTCAAGAACATTTCCAGCCAGTTGAAAATAAAATTTTGCTGTTACATCCAGCAATACAATAACCTCCAAACTGATTATTTTCTTTACTCCCAATACCTATCTCCTTAAAAATATGTTTACCCTGTGACTTAAAAGAAGAAATCATGACAAATAAGACTCTTCTTTAACCCTTTAACTCCCAAGATTTCATGAGTAATTCTCCTTACTGTCTGCTATACAATTTATGTGATGTTAGTATGGAGAATATTGAATTGGATCAACCAATAATCCCCTAACTGATGTTTTTCTTTATTCTCATTCCTTGTCCGCTTGGTATCATACCAATAGTGTATGGAGAAATTCTGTCTAGATCACTAGTGGGACTTAAAGTGTCAACATTAAAAGGGGTGAAGAAAGCATCCTTAACCTTTAATTTCCAGAGGTGATTAACATTTAACTTCTCCCCTACGTATCCAAACACTATATTGCAAACTGTTAATGGGAATACTCAGACTTGGCATAAGCTTAAAGTTGTTTTCTTGATCTAACACCAAATTCTCGTAGCTAAATTACAAGGAAATGTGTAGCAGCTAGAGGGGAGAATTAGCAATCAGATCATGGGAGTAAAAGGGTTAAGATCCCCAAATTACAAGGGACTACAAATGTCTGCATTTGCTCCCTCCCTTGAAAAGTAAGTGACATTTCAAAAGCCTGCAAGGAGTTGTCATAAGACTTGAATCCAATCACAACATCCCTCAGGTTGTTGAAACATCATTCACTACTACACTGACTACAAATGTTTGCATTTGCTCCCTCCCTTGAGAAGTAACTGGCATTTCAAAAGCCTAAGGGATGGAGTTATAAGACTCGAATCTGATCATGACATCCCTCAGGTTGTTGAAACATCATTCACTACTGCACTGACTACAAATGTTTGCATTTGTTCCCTCCTTTGAGAAGTAATTGGCATTTCAAAAACCTGAAGAACGAGGTTATAAGACTTGAATCTGATCACGGCATCCCTCAAGTTGTTGAAACATCCTTCACTGCTACTGAGGTAAAATATTTATCCTCAGATAGCCTGCACTTTTTTTTTTTTGTTGGAAAAATGGGATTAAAGTTTGGGATGGGGCTTAAACACAGATATAAGTGTTTTGACAAATATTAAATCTACATGATAGCTCAAAGCTTTTGTTTCACACATCAAATTGTTGTAAAACATGTAAGATAACCATTTCAAAGGTAACTACCCTATTATGGTCAACACCACACTATTTTGGATGCAAACATCCTTAAGGAAAAAGGCATTATGAGTAAATAAAAAGCATTAGGAGTAAATAAGAAAGTGCCATGACCCTGCATACATACTTCATCAGATGCTTCCAGGGTTGGATCAAACTGAGTAAAGATCTGTTCCAGTGATTTACGGCAGACATTAGCAAGGACATTAAGTCTTCCCCTGTGTGGCATCCCCATGATAATACTCTCCACACCAAACTCACTTGACTTGTCAATGATTGTCTTCATTGCTGGAATCAATACTTCACAGCCTTCAATGCCGAAGCGTTTTTCTGATGACCATTTCTTGGCTAGAAAAGCCTCAAACCTACAATACATGAAAAAAAAATGGGAAATAAAATTCAACCATCTTGCAAGCCAACACAACAACAACAACAACAACAACAACAACAACAACATATCTATAAAAACAAACAATGTCAGCTGTATTCTATATTTCACCTTGTCACCATGTTTACTTAATCCTTTAACTCCTATGAGTGACCAAGACAGAATTTCTCCTTATAATTTCAATGCAATATCAACCAGATAAGTGATGAGAATAAAGAAAAATATCAATTTGGGGATAATTAGTTGATCCAATAATAAATTCAGGGAGTGAAATTAACTTTTTTTTCTGATAGCCACTTGGCTCCTAAATTCATCAAAGAGGTAGCCAATTCAAAAAAAGTTGGTTGCCATTTTGAAAGACAAACGAAACCTTTTTTTTACGCTGTCATCGTTCTAGAAATTAAGTTAGGGAAAAGATCTTTAACGTGCTACAAAGGGGACACTAGGATGGATGATATGCAATGTTTAAGCTCACCTAAATCCAAGATAGTGTCTAATTATCAATCGAGATGCATCTGCTGCGTTTTGGAAACAAACTTAACGAGGAAGTTTGCCATGGATTTGTCTTTGCAAATCTTTTTAATTCACTATATCTCTAGGTAAGGTTATGATGAAACATTCTAGTTGCCAATTTGGCAACTAATTTTCAGGGTTTGGTCGCCAAAGTTAAAAATTTAGTCACATTGGCGCCTGTATTAGGTGCAATTTCACACCCTGAAATTCTCTGAACTAACATTATAAGAGTTGTCAGGCTGACAGTAAGGAGAATTACAAATTTGATCTGGGAGTTAAAGGGTAAACACAGTCTGGAAACAAGATGATGCAGAGGAAAGAAAATGTACTCTTAAATGCCAATTTCCAAATTAACTCTTTAATTCCCAGGTGATTAACTTACTTCTCTCTATAATATCCATACAGTATCCAGCAAACAGGTAATGAGAATACTCAAACTTATCAGATAGAAGTTGTTATCTTGATCTAACACCAAACTGTCGTAACTAATTTCAAGGGAAATATGCAGTAGCTGGAAGGGAGAATTGACAATTAGATCATGGGAGTTAAAGGATTAAACACACAAAATAAAAGCTTGCTAAAGTTTATGAGAAAAAAAAAAAGTAAACATTTTCAAATTCATTGCCTACAACATGTTTTTTATATTCCCCTTATTTTACCATTACTGTTCCTTTGCTGTTTTAAAATGCAGGGCGTGAAATTGATTTTTTTTTCTAACAGTCACTTGGCTCCTAAATTTTTCAAAGTGGTAGCCAATTAAAAAAAAAATGCTCGCCATTTTTAAAGACAAAAAAAACCTTTTTTTTACGCTATCAGCGTCCTGGATAGACCCTCCTTATTAAATTCTACAACATTCTACAAAGTGGACACTAGGATGGATGAGATACAACATTAGTGCTCTAAGTGCTTAGGTCACATTGGCGCCTGTATTATGTGCAATTTCACGCCCTGAAATGTCTCTTTTCTTCTTTTTTAACTTCTTCTATTTCTGTTTTCCAGTCACCTTGAGGAATTTAATTTTCAATATTGCCCAAGAATTGGGAAATAACATTTTGCGAAGAATAGACAAGGTTAATAATCCCCATACTACCCCTGTGAAAAGACACAGGTGTTGCCTGGTCTTCGAGGTAATACTTCTGTACCAATAATAATAAGTGTGGAATTCTTACCCAGTTGAGCGAATGAGTCTCTTAACCAAAGTTCTTTTGTCTTCCACATCTAGTTGTACAATCCCTGGGGTCTCAAATCGCTTCCTTATCCAGTCACCTTGAAAATAGGAACAAAGAAATAAGATAGAACCAACAAAACAAGTCAATTAAAAAAAAAACTGAGTTGATGATGTAAACTGGCTGATAGAGTTTCAAAAGCAGATATTTGAGGCTTAGCCTTTCATCAGAGAGAGGCAAAGCCAAGGTTTTGTTCCAACGAAGGTGTAAAGATTCCATTTACAAAAAACAAGGCTAGAATCCACATTTTTCATAAAATTATAAATTGAATTTCTTAAATCGACCACAACATTTGGCAAAAATAAAAACTCCAAAACTTCTTAAAATTCCCAACAAAGGAGAGATAAATTTGTGTGAACAAAAGCTCAAAAATAGTTAAAAATAATTCCGAAAAACAACCAAAAAAAGTAGGCAAAAAATGTTCATGTCAGTTTTCAATGTCAAGGTTAGAGTTCTTTATTGTGATTGGTTAATTTGTGAAATCATACTCGCCGCATGTGAATACAACAATAATACAAAGGGGGAGAGGAAGAGAAAAATTGTAATTTGAAATTCAAAAGCAAAAGGATTTTCTACAGAAGGGCTAATATCACGGTTTCTTTAAAAACTTATTCCATTTAGTATACTCAATTGAAAAAATAAATGAAAAAAATACAAAAAACAGACTCAAAAACTACAATCACAGTCATCACAAAGTGATAGGTCATTATACCCCTCAAAAGGGGCTTGTTTTCATCCAATCATATATCTATACTTGAAAGCACGAGAAAAAGAAATTAATGATAAAGCCTTTACATTACATGTATGGCCAAAGGAAGTGGAAAACTGAAGAAAAAAAATCACTTCCTTGCAGTTAAACAGCAGCATTGCAACAACTCTCATTCACTCAGCATTTTTTTATTAATGTATTTATATTTTACTTACACTTATTTCTTTCTGGAATGAACATGTAATCCAGTCCAATATGTCCACAATAAGCTTTCTGTGGGAAAGAAAAAATCAGAAAAAGATTGGAAAAATGTATCAACTTCCAGATATTGCTTGACTTAATATCAAGTTCTCTAGGCTAAAATCAAAAGAACTGGACCAGATTTCTAAAGGGAAGATAAGGCTATCCAATGGATAAATCACTGACCAGTGGATAAGAGTTAACAAAACTTACAGCACTATCCACTGGATAGAGATCTATCCAGTGGATAATGTTATCCACTCTGGGACCTTTATGACTGACAAAAGATCTGAGAATTGAAATTGAGATCTTGGGAGTACTGTATAAGGGTTTATATATCATTTAATAAGTCAAATTCATAAACAGTCTCCAGCTTACATTCAGCCTGTTCACTATTTCTCTCAAAGTCAGAACATCATTCTCTCCACCAATAAATGTTGTATTAGGAAGCTGAAACACTTTGTCTAGATCATTCTCACCTATAGAAAAGAAAAAAAATAACCATTTAGTAAATACAAATGTTAGTTAAAACTTACTGTAACATCAATGACGAGTGATAGCAAACATAACTGTAAGAGGAGGCATATCATTTCTATGCAATGTAGTTGACAGTTACAGTTGACATTTAATCAATTGTTACATCAAATTTCTCTTCATAATTAAATCATGATTTTATGCCTCAAGAGACAGATAAATTAGTACTTTTTTTACACAAATAATTTCTCTCCACTTGTCAAATCTCTTCATTTTATAAATTTAAATATCTTTCATTTTTAAGACAAAACATGAGGAAAGTATTGATAGCAAATCAGCGCAGCCTGGTAAAGTTGTCTTCACAGCCAGTCAATTTTTCTGATGTTCCACTCCGAATGAAATATCAGGTCCCTATTGTTTAAAAGGTGGATAATACCATCCACCAGATAAATCTCTACTGGGTGGAAAGCACAATACTTTTGTCAGCATTTGTATAGAGATTCACCCATAGCATGGCACTATTAGTCATTTTAACAACTGGGTGACTGTCTTCAAGGGACAAAATTTCTAAACTAATAACTCACCCAGTCCCCAGTACTCTAGGGAGAGATCAGCTGGCACAGTTTCAGATAAGTCAGCCTGTAAGATGCCAAGAGGGTCTAGCTGAGCTACATGATGGCCTCGGATCTGCAAGAAGAATTTATAACTCTTTAACTTCCAGAAGTGATCAACATAAAACTTCTTCCTATAATATCCATTCATTAATCAGCAAAAAGGTAATGAGAATATTCAAACTTATCAAATAGAAGCTACTACTTAATCTAGCACTAAGTTCTCATAACTAATTTATAAGGAAATGTTAAGCAGCTGGAGGGGAGAATTAACAAACAGATCTTGGGAGTTAAAGGGTTAAAAATTACTGTTTGACATTATAATTGCAGAAAATTGGGACAGAAATCTTCTTATAAATAAAGAACCACACATGCATCAAAAGCCAGGTGGAAAAAACTATTGTTTTATAAAATATATTTTGAGTCATTGTTATCATTTTTCATTATTACTTTTCTCTGAAAGTTGGGGGGAAAAAATTGGAATTATTCCTGTCTTTAAATTTCCCTGACTGTTGGTGAGTACCTGTTTAACCTTTTAACTCCCTTGAGTGACCAAGTCAGAATTTCTCCTTACAATATCAATACAATATCAAGCAGACAAGTGGTCAGAATATAGAAAAATATCAGTTTTGGAATTATAAGTTGATCCAATACCAAATTCTCCAAACTAACATCACAAGAACTGTATGGAAGAAGTAAAGAGAATTACTTATAAGATCTTGGGAGTTAAAGGGTTAAGAACATGGGTGGTGAGAGAAGTACTGTGAGAGTTTAATGTCTTGATAAGACTGGCAACCAAAATTGCCTGGTGCATCTTCAGTTAGTGGGAAAAAAAAAAGAAAAAAAAAGGAAAAAAAATCCACTGCAGTCTTTGTATTACCTGGTAACAACGAATCAATGAGTAAACTGCCAAGTGATCTGACACTAGTTCGTTTATTGTTGACTGATCCACAGCACTTGGAACAGTTTGTGGTGTTGCTACCATGCCAGGACTTTGTCCTAAGATGGGCGGTGGCTGATAAGCTTGTCCTGGGGGTTTTCCGCTTTGAACTTGACGGAAGTAAGCATCCCATGACTGCAAAAAGATAAAAGAAAAGAAGTCAATATATCTGCCTTTTGTTTAGTAGAAACAAAGAAGTATAATTAACTCTATTACTGCTTTATGCTACATCCCATGACTGCAAAGTGAAAACAATGTCAATCTGTAAGGTCTGTATTTAGTAGAAACAAAGAAGTATAATTAACTCTAAAATTGCTTTATGCTAAAAACAGTGATAAAATGTATTTGACAAATAGATTCTGTGTTGCCATGTGTCTGCTAAGAAATAGATTACCGATAATACCGCATTATGACCTTATCTATGATCTATCACTGAACAGATGCACAGCAAAATGGAATCTATTTGTCAATTTTTTCTCATAGTTAATTGTTATGAAAGTGATCAGTGATTGTATGCAGGCCCCTTGGCTCCTAAATTCATCAAAGTGGTAGCCAATTCAAAAAAAGTTGGTCGCCATTTTGAAAAACAAACAAAATCTTTTTTTTATGCTGTCATCGTTCTAGAAATTAAGTTAGGGAAAAGATCTTTAACGTGCTACAAAGGGGACACTAGGATGGATGATATGCAATGTTTAAGCTCACCTAAATCCAAGATGGCATCTAGTTATCGATTTTGGAAACAAACTTAACGAGGAAGTTTGCCACAGATTTGTCTTTGAAAATCTTTTTAATTCACTATATCTCTAGGTAAGGTTATGATGAAACATTCTAGTCGCCAATTTGGCGACTAATTTTCAGGATTTGGTCGCCAAAGTGAAAAATTTAGTCACATTGGCGCCTGTATTAGGCGCAATTTCATGCTCTGGTATGGAACAATATTTGGGTCACCTAATAAGTTTGTAGTTTCCTAAATGAACTTCATTCACAGACAATAAACACTAGATTAATCAGTTGTCTACTAAGCGAATGTTCGCATAGTAACCATGCTACAAAACTTGCTTAAGGTGATTATCAACATTTTCTAACCAACACCTTTATAATAAGCTGAATAATATTAAATAACCTGGTGAGAACATGATATGTTACTGAGCAGAAATAAGGCAATATAGAATTTATTTGCAAATTATTTAGTAAGCCAGCTTAATACTTCTTTCAACATCACTAGTTGCAAATGTTGATGTATCAAAGAAATTTCCAATCCTGTCTCAGGAACCTCTTTCACAGTTTTTGATTTAAACAATTATGCATAATTTTTCAAGTTGGGCATTTACAATTCATTTGAAAATTGGCCATCAATATCCACCACTGTTCCTTTGGCTGCTATGTTTTCCACCCCACACAAAAAAAAAAAAATAAACAAAAAGGAACAAAAATTTGCAAGATTTCTCTAGATCAGAGTACATTTCTGTTACAATACTTATAGTGACACTAAATATCGTGAAATCTGATTTTACCTCTTTTATAGAAGCAAACATCTACATGCAAACTGGTGAGCATTCTGGTGTGAAAATAATGCGTTACTACTGCAAGACACAACAGAACCCTAGCCTGGAGGGTGGGTCATGAGCCCGCCAATGTTCACTTCCTCATAATATAGCTCTTACTAGTATACATGCATGTCTCTTAAAAGCCTGCTAGTGTGGACAGATTATTAAAAACATCATCTTTCTGGAACTGTTTTTCCTGTTTTGTTCTGCACAAATGAGAAGCAATTTATCTCTCAATAACCTCTTTTACAGTTTTTGGATTGAACAATCAATAGTTTTTATAGTTGTGTATTTGCCATTCATTTTTAAATTGCTCATCAATATCCACCATTGTTCCCTTGGCCGCTATGTCTTCCACCCCATGAAAAAAATAAACAAAAATTTGCAAGATTTCTCTAGGTCAAACGACATTTCTTTTACACTACTTACAATGACTCAGAATATTGTGAAATCTGATTTTACTTCTTTTATAGAAGAAAATATCTACATGCAGCCTGGTGAGCATTCTGGTGTAAAAATATATGTGACTACTGCAAGAAACAACAGAACACTAGCCTGGAGGGTGGGTCATGAGCCACTAAAGGTTAACTTCTTCATAATAAAGCTCTTATTAGTATGTATGCATGTCTTTTTTTAGACGCCTGCTAATTTAAAAACACTATTAAAAACATCATCCTTCTAGTGCTGTTTTTCCTGTTTCCTCACAGAAACCTATCTGTCAGGAACCTCTTTCACAGTTTTGGATTTGAACAATTATGCATAACTTTTCAGGTTGTGCATTTGCAATTCATTTTAAAATTGGCCATCAATATTCACCATTGTTCCTTTAACTGCTATGTTTTCCACCCCATGAAAAAAAATGAATAAAAAGTTACAAAAATTTGCTAGATTTCTCTGAGTAAAAGGCCATTTCTTTTACACTACTTACAGTGACTCAGAATATTGTGAAATCTGATTTTCCTCTTTTATAGAAGCAAATATCTACATGCGACCTGGTGAACATTCTGGCATAAAAATAATGTGACTACTGCAAGAAATAACAGAACCCTAGCCTGGAGGGTGGATCGTGAGCCGGTAAAAGTTCATTTCCTCATAATAAAGCTCTTATAAGTATACATGCATGTCTTTTTATAGACACCTGCTATTTTGGACAAATTATTAAAAACATCCTCTTTCTAGAACTTTTTTTCTTATTTTACTAATGTTCTCCACAAATAAGAAGAGACCTATCTCTCAGGAATCTCTTTTACAGTTTTTGGATTTGAACAATTATGCATAGTTTTCTAGTTGTGTATTTGCAATTCATTTGAAAATTGGCCATCAATATCCACCATTGTTCCTTTGGCTGCTATGTTTTCCACCCCATGCAAAAAAAAAATTAAATAAACAAAAAGGTACAAAAATTTCCAAGATTTCTCTAGATCAGAGTACATTTCTGTTACAATACTTATAGTGACACTAAATATCGTGAAATCTGATTTTACCTCTTTTATAGAAGCAAATATCTACATGCAAACTGGTGAGCAATCTGGCGTGAGAGTAATATGTGACTACTGCAAGACACAACAGAACCCTAGCCTGGAGGGTGGGTCATGAGCCTGCCAATGTTCACTTCCTCATAATATAGCTCTTACTAGTATACATGCATGTCTCTTAAAAGCCTGCTAGTGTGGACAGATTATTAAAAACATCATCTTTCTGGAACTGTTTTTCCTGTTTTGTTCTGCACAAATGAGAAGCAATTTATCTCTCAGGAACCTCTTTTACAGTTTTTGGATTTGAACAATCAATAGTTTTTATAGTTGTGTATTTGCCATTCATTTTTAAATTGGTCATCAATATCCACCATTGTTCCCTTGGCCGCTATGTTTTCCACCCCATGAAAAAAATAAACAAAAATTTGCAAGATTTCTTTGGGTCAAACGACATTTCTTTTACACTACTTACAATGACTCAGAATATTGTGAAATCTGATTTTACTTCTTTTATAGAAGAAAATATCTACATGCAGCCTGGTGAGCATTCTGGTGTAAAAATATATGTGACTACTGCAAGAAACAACAGAACACTAGCCTGGAGGGTGGGTCATGAGCCACTCAAGGTTAACTTCTTCATAATAAAGCTCTTATAAGTATGTATGCATGTCTTTTTTTAGACGCCTGCTAATTTGGAAACACTATTAAAAACATCATCCTTCTAATACTGTTTTTCCTGTTTCCTCACAGAAACCTATCTGTCAGGAACCTCTTTCACAGTTTTGGATTTGAACAATTATGCATAACTTTTCAGGTTGTGCATTTGCAATTCATTTTAAAATTGGCCATCAATATCCACCATTGTTCCTTTAACTGCTATGTTTTCCACCCCATGAAATAAAATGAATAAAAAGTTACAAAAATTTGCTAGATTTCTCTGAGTAAAAGGCCTTTTCTTTTACACTACTTACAGTGACTCAGAATATTGTGAAATCTGATTTTCCTCTTTTATAGAAGTAAATATCTACATGCGACCTGGTGAGCATTCTGGCATAAAAATAATGTGACTTCTGCAAGAAATAACAGAACCCTAGCCTGGAGGGTGGATCGTGAGCCGGTAAAAGTTCATTTCCTCATAATAAAGCTCTTATAAGTATACATGCATGTCTTTTTATAGACACCTGCTATTTTGGACAGATTATTAAAAACATCCTCTTTCTAGAACTTTTTTTCATATTTTACTAATGTTCTCCACAAATAAGAAGAGACTTATCTCTCAGGAATCTCTTTTACAGTTTTTGGATTTGAACAATTATGCATAGTTTTCTAGTTGTGTATTTGCAATTCATTTGAAAATTGGCCATCAATATCCACCATTGTTCCTTAGGCTGCTATGTTTTCCACCCCATGAAAAAAAAAATTAACAAAAAGTAACAAAAATTTGCTAGATTTCTCTAGGTCAAAGGACATTTCTTTTACACTACTTACAATGACTCAGAATATTGTGAAATCTGATTTTACCTCACTTTTAGAAGCAATATCTACATGCAACCTGGTGAGCATTCTAGCGCAACAATACGTGACTACTGCAATAAAAAGCGGACCCCTAGCTTAGAGGGTGGGTCATGGGCTGGTCAAGGTTCACTTCCTCATAATAAAGAAAAGCACTAATTAGTATGCGTGTTATTTTAGACGTCTATGAAAAGCATCATCTTTCTAGAACTGTTTTTCCCGTTTTATAAATGTTTTACACTATAAGGAAGCAATTGAGGTAAAGCGATTTGAATGAAACTAACTCCAAACTCTAGACGCTTTTGGGTAAACACGCGGGTTGTAGAGTTCGTGGGTGTTCAATACATTTCACATCAATAACGTTCGCGCGCTGTAGTATCAAAATTTACGGTCACAAATCAGACAAATTACTTACCCGATGTACACTTTTAGGATCCTCTTTCCACGATAAGTACATTTCTTCCACATAATTGCCACTACTACCGTTTAAAAACGGTTCCTGAGCGACTAAAACCGCAGTTTGTTGCCATCTCTTGTGAAGCGAGGGCTTGCCATATCTTGCCAAACGCTCCCTCAACAATCTCGCACATGTTCTTGCTGCATACATCATCAACACTTTCAAAAATATAAAACTCAAGTCCTAGTCCTTATTAGCAAGTGTTCAAATGTCATATAAGTCCTGTTTTGTTGAAGAAAGTGTGATGGATTTGACGAAAGCATTAAACTTCCGAGAGATTGGACTTTCGCCAGTTTAGTTTCCAGCGTGGCTATGTAGCCCTTTATATTCGTCTTTCTTTGAAAGCACAGCCGTTCTAAACGTACCAAAAGCGTACGATCTTTGTATTAGTTCTCTTGTAAGAAGTTTTTCCCTCTGAGAATAAGCCGCTTCCGATCAGCAACACAGATAGCTAGGGAATCACGAGCTAGACTACTTTCGTAAGATCCTTGCAGTGTTTCTTCGCTCGTGCAGTGACGTCATATTGGGTTAGTAATCGATTACGCGACGTAAAAATAGTCGGAGACTGTCACGTAAATTTCAATTTCAAAAGACGCTCCGCATGCAGGACTTAATCTTCGTTACGCAAGGGTGAATTTTCCATTCAAGGCGAAAATATCGTTAATTGCTGTCAATAAATTTTTCAAAGGAAAAAACAACCCAGAACATTCATTTCGTGACAGACTCGAAAGGCCGAGAACGATTTGAAATCGGACCCAAGCTCTTCGCGGGATTTTCAAAACAAAAATGGCGACCTCCTTTCAAGGTTGACCACATTGTTAGCGAAAAATGAGTAAACGAAAAGCACCTGAGCAGAATCCAAACAGTGATTTTTGTGATTTCCTTATCGGTGAGTCCTTCCTTTATTTGAAAATCAAAATAGTTTATATTTGTTTTTTTTCTCTTGGAAACAGTGCATACTGATTTTGGAGATCGGTATATTTGACTTAGCGCCTGCAGGCTAATTGACAAATATTGAAAACAAATATTCGGTTTCTTTTGAAGAGCTTGCAGAATACGAAAAGAACGTGTCAAGGCAGATACACAAGCACAATGCATACCGGTGGGTATATGAAAAGTTATGATTATTTTTTAAATTTCATAAATTTCTCTATGAAATGGTATTGATTTTTTATGTAAATAATTTTGGAAGCTTTGCTCTAATGACATTCCATCATTATTCCTTTTTGCAGAGTGAAAATAAGCATCTAATACTGTTAATGCCTTGTGGTTTTGTACCATACAATCAATTCAATGTTGGGTAAAATTTCTGCACAGCCCTGTACTACATTATGCATTCAATTCTTGGATAGAGAAAACAATGACAAAAAACAATACATTGCCATTGGGAAAACATATTTGTTTTACAATAGTATGGGGCTGTGTGGAAATTTTACCCAATGTTGTACTATGGCAAACAAAATCTTTTATAACAGGGAAATTTAGTATTATCAACTGGGTTAATAATGTAAATTAGCCACCTTAAAGAGTTGTTTAGATGGCATTTCAAGTGTTAGCCCCTCTCCCACCAACGCAGCACCACTGTTTCTTAGGAAACTTACCCACTTTATTCAAAATATTTTACATAAAATTATATATTATCTGTTTATGTAGTGCTTGAGAGCCTCATTGAAACAGTATGTGCAAATTATCAAAATCAACCATGGATCATGCTAAAGAAACTCTTGATTATTCAACCAATTCTCATTGTCAGCACCTTGGGAAATATATAGTGGATGCTATCGAGAATGTGGATAATGATGTTAGGGGGTAAAGGGTTAAATAGTGGCTCAAGGCCTTACTTGAACCTCAATATTATTGAAATATTTTTGGTTTTCTCCAAAGTTGGTCAAATATTTGAAATAACCAATTAATGATATTTTATGTTTAATTTGATTTGTGTTGATATTTATATGTTAATGACCTATTTTTCTTCTATGGGAATGCCCTGAAGCTTTGATTTTATGACTGAGTGGTTATTTTGTCATGAGGAAATTTTAGTTGATAAGTTTGATAAAAGGTTGACATAGTTCTAGTGGGTGAAATTTTGAAACAGATTAGGTTGATGAAGAATACAATCTTACATTTTTACTCAACAGCCATTCTGAAGAGAAAAAAAAAACTGGCTCAGATAGAAGAGAATGAAGACCAATCCTTTCAAAGTTCAAATACCTCTATCTCTTTATGCTTGATTATATGAAACACCGGGCTTCAATCTTGGTTTTCAGATTGGTTGTGAAATGGCTCATGAAAAGTTGTTGTCTCATCTCAGGGACACATTCAGGAAACCTTTATGGTTTGGGGGAGGGAGGCAACTAACTTTTGACTAACCCACATCTCCTTCCTTCCCCTCAAACCCCCCCCTCCCTTCCTTAATTTTTTCACTTCTGTCAGCATCTATCTCTAAGTACCAATATCCTTTAATCCAGGAAAGCTGCATCAGTATTAGCAAAGCACCCAACTCGCATAAAAAATGGACAAGAAGCACGTCAATTGGTAAGCTACAGGTTTGCATTCATCAATTTCTGAAAACCAAAAGTATGGAAAAGAATTAGTTCTAGAAAAGTCAGCTCCACTTTAAAGGTCTATATGCACCTGTTTTCAATTGATGACTGTTGTACCTAAGACATGGAACGCAGCTTGAATTAAAGACTTGTTGAGGAAAGACAGTGATCAGCTTAACAGAGCAAATTTGAATTGAGTTATTGAGGTAATTTAGGATTGGATTGGTTTTGCTTTACTTTGCTTGATCTGTAATTGGAGGGCTCAGAGCAAGAACAATCCCTTGATTTTTCGGCCATTTTTGAAAGTGTCCACATGCCAAAATTCAACTACTTCTGAACACTTTCAAAAATGGCCGAAAAATCAAGGGATTGTTCTTGCTCTGAGCCCTCCAATTAACCAAGAAAATGTACTTATGCCACCTTCTCAACCAAACAGATGCAAAACTTATTATAAACAAGCGTCCACTTGGTAAATTGAATTTTTCTGTGCTCCAAGTTAGTAGCTTTTCTTGCTTTGAGTTTTCATCAGCTCATTTCAATATTGGTCTTTGCCCTTTTTTGGCTGTGATTTCTATGGTTTGGTTTTACTACTCGCAATCAATCTTTGTTCTATTATCAATGGGTACTGCACTAACTGTATTATCTATTAATTAAAGTTTGGAACCGGGATTAAATTTATTCTTACCATCATTTTATCAATGTACTTTTCTTAAACTTACGATGTGCCAGCCTGGGATTGGAGATAAAATTGGGAAGAAGATAGATGAGTTTATCAAAACAGGAAAGTTGGAAAAGCTTGAAAAGGTAATCATGATTAGACACCATGCAACAATCTTTTTTTCTAAGTCTGTTTGTTCAAAGCTGGGTTTAGACAACCCATATTAGTGTGAAATCTGATTTGAGATCAGAAAGCTTAAAAAAAAACAAATTCAGTACAATTCTTTTGTTTACAGTTTGATGATTGGATGCAGCATAACAAATAGAGAGAAATATCCGAAAAAAACTTTTGAATAGAGGAATAACCAAACCAGGATTAAAACTTTAACCCTGGGTTAGCTAGGGGTTTCAATGGCATTCTTGGAAAGTGACTGCCAATGATGTAATTGATGGCTGTATGGAAAGGTGAAACCCGAGCACAAGAGCCTGCTCTCATGCTAAGCAGACAGTGGTGACAATTGTCATTGCTGGCGCTAGCTTGCCTGTAACTGGCTTTTGTTGAAACTGTTGGTTAGTGCAATCAGCCTTTGAACAACTGAGTGTAGGTTTTAAAAGTCATATTCAACTTGTAATAAGTATTCATAATCATTACAGATTGACTCTAACACCCCCCCTCAACTTCGGCTTCTTATCAAGTATCCCCAACACATGAGCCAATTGGCCCATAGGGTGCCTGTACTTTCCCTGATTTTCATAGTGTGAAAGGACTAGGAGTATTGTGACTCTTCCCTGGATGGGATGCCTCTCCTCCTGCCTGCCTCCCTCATGCTTCCTTGACAGTTCACTGGTACCATTAATATTTCAGGATAGAGAGAGGTGTAGTGACAGTCCAGAATTTAGTGTCTTACCCAATGATACAATATTGGAAAGCAGTGAAAAGGCAGGCAACCAAAAATCAGGGGGGGCCAGGCAAAGAAAAAAATTAGCCAGACAACAACTCAACTAGGTTCCCCTCACTGAAAGTTTTCTCTTTTCCTTGCCCCACTTTTTGCCAACACCCCCTCTGACCCCCTCCCCCACCTCCTTAAACTGAGAGCCTGGAACAAGCAAACACGACACTATGACCTCAATCAGGGCTAGGACCCAGACCTTTTTATCTGTCTCTTGGCTATTGTATTTTTAAAGATTACTGCTGCTTTATGTGATTCTAAAATTTTTTCAGATAAGAGCAGATGACAGTACCAAAGCCATACAGGAGCTGACAAGAGTGTCTGGTATTGGGTGAGTGATTTTTACTATAACATTTCTGGTTTGAGAGGTTAGATCAGTTTTAAACTTGAATTGCATAACTTTAAGTTTGCTTTATGAAAAATGTAAATATCAGACTGAACCGATGTTTTATATTTCAAATTATTTTGTATTTTGCTTAGGTGCACACAATGTAATTATTATTGATATTAACTGTTATTTACAGGTCACATGGTAAACTTTTAATTTGGTTCACAAAAGGGAACTTAAGAAAAATTGCATGCAGTGAAAGATAACCTTTTTTTTTTTTTTTTTTTTTTGTATGCAGGCCTGCTGCTGCACGCAAGTTTGTAGAAGATGGAGTGGCATCAGTAGAAGGTAGCCTAAGCTTACAAGTAAAGTGTCAATCAACTGCAGCCTACAGCAGGCTGATACTTTGTGCATGTTTCATAAAACTAATGTAAAAGACCAGCAAGGGTTTAATGCTTTATTCAAAAATGACATAGGTTAAGTCTCTTAAGCAAGAATGGGAAAACTCCTTTATTGATAATTTAACTTTAACAACTTTTGTCGGGTTGCATGGTTTTCAAAACTGCAATACTTTGTGGTATACTGTTATACCATTCTGTTATTTTTTTTGTAGGATTGAAAAAGGTTCAAGAACGTCTTAATCACCACCAGAAAATTGGACTCAAGTAAGTGACATGTAAACTGAAGTTAACGCACAATGAACTACTTAATAAACTAGTATTTTTAAGTCCTTTACATTCAAGTCATGTAATGGTACTATTGTCACTCTTGCAATTAGACAATTTAGGAAAATTTATTTTCTCAGACATACCAAAGTTACTGTTAAATTAAATCTGAATGTACTTTCAGATATTTTAGCTAAACTTCCCTCCTTAATGACTATATAAGTACCACTTTTTTTATATAATTTTAGAATTTTCTTTTCCTATTTTGGTTTCTGAGGGTTACTTATTTTAGAGCATAATTAGCTCCTTGTGGACAATTTTTCGAAAACATGCAAGAAACATGACTTCTGTGTTTATTTGATGGCAGAACGAATAAATGTGAAATTACTCTGATTTTGAGTTGCAGCTTTCAGAAAGTCACTTCTTTTGAGGTGTTGCTACCTTTGAAAAGTTTTTGCGAACAGTTTTGCAAACAGTAATCACATTCTTTCACTAAGTTCAGTGGGTGTTTGCAATGAGAATTCTATCAATTTTTTAAATTAGATATCTCGAAGAATTTGAGAAGCGCATACCACGAGATGAGATGCTGCAACTTCAGGTAAATACATGTGGATGACAGATCTGGTAGAATGATTGAGCAAACCTGACTTTAGATCTTTCTAATCTCCTTAAAAGAACATGTCAGCTTAGACCTTGTAACTTTGAGCTAGTTTTAGAATAATGTGGTTTCTTCACTCTTAGTCTTATGACCATCTCCTCAAACTTTCAAAATTTCTCAAATTTTCAAGCCAAAAACTGCATTTAATTTTCTCTATTGATTTTCTATCCTCTTCTTGTTTTTGTTTGCTTGTTTGTTTGTTTTTTAAGGTGTGTATCTTCTTTCCCACAAATGTGTCCAACATGTCGTAATTTGTCAAAACTTCTTTTGCCTCCCAGGAAATAATCTTGAAGAAAATAGAAAAGTATGACAAGAATGTTGTCCCAACAGTTTGTGGAAGTTTTAGGAGAGGTAATTACAGTAAGAAAAATTAAAGAAAATGTCATCAACTTCGGGCTAAAGGATCTCTTATTTCCTTAACTCCTGTGAGTGACCAAGACAGAATTTCTCCTTACTTTATCTGATACAATATCATGTGGACAAGTGATGAGAATAAAGAAAAATATCAATTATGGGATTACTGATGGATCCAATATTAAATTCTCCAAACTAACATGATGAGAATCATTTGGTAGACAGTAAGGAGAATTTCTAATGAGATCTTGGAGTTAAAAGGTTAAAGGTGCTGAATATCAATGGTACATACCTTGAAACAGGTTTCCACTGAAATGGCTCATGCACTTTGTAAGCTTAGTCTTCATGGGTTCAGCAGGAAAGAAGACATTCATGATAACCTAGTTGTGACCTTATGATAGATTGCATTCTAAATGAGTACCATGGAACCAAACCTAACGTGATCGTTGCCGCCTCAGAGAACCGACAAATTTTTGTATAACTAACTCAAAGTGAATACATGTTAACACGCGCGAATATGTGAATAACCAAGAATCAGTTGACTTTCGTTTTGCACCTAAATTGGTGACAGGGTTAGCAAGTTGCCCACTACAGCTGTCTTAGGACGAAGTGAAGCAAAATCAGTGCAATTTTATATGGTTTTTTTGGCCCTCAAATGAATTGGTGGTCTCATGACAAACCCATGCACTTGTCCTTCAACCGGAGCCACTAAGCCCTTCTATTTTCTAATTTACAATTTCAGGTGCCTCTTCTAGTGGAGACATTGACGTATTAGTGACACACCCTTCGTTTGTGTCTACCGATACCGACTTTGACAAGGTGAGAGATTTAAATAGTGAAGGGAGCGTCTCCTTCGTTGTTCGAAATATAAACGGTATTAACCTTGAATGTGACGCTGTAACCAAACTTTAGAATTTCGCAGTTGGATATCTTCGAAATGGTTCTTTGCTCTTTGATTCTGGGTCAAACTGGAATTTTTTAATTCAATTTTTAGAAAGATCGGGTTGATCGGGTTCTTTGAAATTTGAACATGCTATCAATGTCAAAATTTCGTGTAAACTTTTTAAGAGCAGACATGAAAATTATGTGGTTTCTGGACCATGCTCCTCCTTTTAACTCATAATTAATGCTAAGTTCGTATCGAACCTGGGCTAATGCGCCATCCACCCTCCCATCTCAAAGTTCCACTATAATTTTTTCCTTTGCAATAAGCTTCATTTTGTTTTTTTATATTATGAAATTAAAATATTTTTCAATTTTCAATTGCAGAAGGCTCTTCTGAGTGGTATCGTTGACACGCTGACTAAAGCGGGCTTTGTGACAGATTCAATATCCCTCGGTGATACTAAGTTTATGGTAAGGATTCCACTGCAGTAGTATTTGCAAATCTTATTGAACAAACCTCTAGAACAACAAAGGCTGTTAATGCTCCCTTAAGCATTCCCAAGCAATCTCAAATAAATGATGAATTTTTGCATAAGTCCATCTAAAACCCTTCCGTACTTTTATCTGTTATTTCTTTCCCCTTAATTTTTTCCATTTCTTTGTGTTTCATCACCTTTTATGATCACCTTTTCTCTCTTTTTCTGGCCGTTTCTTTGGTTGATAATACCTCGATGCTTTCGTGTCTTCGTCCCTTCGTGCCTTCGTGCTTTCGTACCTTCGTGCCTTCGTCTATTGGTGTCTCTTTGCGTTCTCCCATTCGTCTCTCCATCCGTTCGTTTCTTCGAGCGTTAAGGCCTTTTGTGCCTTTGTGGCTTGGTCCTTTGCATCTTTGATCCTTTCGTATTTACTCTTCCTCAATTATATCCAAAAACTTTATTTTCTTTGGTTGATTACCTGTTGTTCAAGCCATTTGATCAAAATGTGCACTTGCAGTGTGTAGCACGCACGCGGATAAACCTTTCGGCTGAAGAACTTACCTTGGTAGATCATAGAAAGTGCAGTTGTCAGTGATGATTCATTACTTTGATAGGGGGTCTGTATCCTACCGAAATCAGAAAAACCATTACATAGAAGGATTGATATCAGGTACGGAAACGATTGTCTCGTGATTTAGAACTAGATTTTTATTAGCATAAACAAACTTATTCATGCCAATTAAGATTTTCAAGCAGAGAACATCGAAATTTCCTAGGTCGTTTAGGAAAAAAGGTGAATTTCTGTTTCAGGATGAAGCCCTCTTGGCACCATTTAGAAAAACCAACGTTTAGTTTTTGTAAGTGCCAACCGTCCACAAGTTCATAATGTTGACAAGTTAACCCTTTAAGCCCAAAGGGTGACTAGTTTCTAATTTCTCCCAACAGTATCGCCCCTGAATCACACATTAAGGTCGTGAGAATAAAGGAAATGATCACTAAGTAAAGAAAATCTCGATTATTTAACAAATTATCCTTGTCGGCATCTTTGAATATTCATTGAGAGTAAAACCTTTCTCTAATGCCTCGTGTCGCATTCTTCTGTTAAATTCGTCACTGCCATACTACTTATAATAAGCAGTAGTGAAAGTAAATACTGGAAAAACTCAGGCCTGTATGGGAGTTGAACCCATGACCTCTGCGATGCCGATGCAATGCTCTTCCGAGCTCACGAGCCAACTGGGAGCGGGCCATTGTGTTGGTTCATGATAAACCCGTGAAGATATGAATGAATTACTGCATATGTGAATTACTGAAAATCATATTTGTGATTTTCATTTATTCACCGTCAGTATGGAGGATACGCATACTGATGTTAAGGTGTCACGAAGGGTAACTGAACTACTTAATCTTTCAACTATTGCAGGTTAATCCCTAATGATCAGTACTTCTGTGGGATTTTGTACTTCACTGGCAGTGACGAGTTTAACAGAAGAATGCGACACGAGGCATTAGAGAAAGGTTTTACTCTCAATGAATATTCTATACGGTAAGTGTCTTATGATAACGTGCGAATAGATACGTGACGAAAGTATTTTCTGAAGCAGACAACAGAATGAAGTAGAGCACGTCGTCGACAAGTAACAAGGGACCTTAAGCAAACCACGACGGCGGCGGCAACGAGGACATAGAAAAACAAAAGATCTAATTGGCAGAACAATAGCTCAGCACGTGTGTTTTAAAACTTTGTACATTTCTTAGCCGTCCCATGCAAAACAACAACTTGAAATCAGCACAATTTGCGTCGTCTGCGAACCGAAACCGCGACGGCAAATTACTTTAAGTTCCATTTAGAACTCAACGCTTCTTTTATACGTTATGGTGAATTTAAGGTGTGGCGTCGTATGAGACGGTAAACACATGCAACCATTTTTGAAATTCTAATTAAAGGCAGAAATTCATTTTTAATCGAAGACTTCCTTGGCGTTGCCGTCCTGACTGCTTAAGGTCCCTACTATCTTCATCACGACACTTCAGTCTTGCTGTTAACCACCTTGAAGAATCGCAATCTCGTATACAATATTGAAAGCATTTTTTCCTTCCATTTCAGGCCACTGGGAAGCACAGGTAAGGTTTTTTTTTGTATAGTGCTTTTATGGAAAGTAATGACAGAAATGCCCCTGGCAACTGTGTTCCACTATGGTCGAGTGCCCGCCCGCGATGCAAAGCGGAACGCGGTTACCACGAGACTGGCGATCACCATAGATGTACTATCTATAAAATTGCTTTGGGCATTTGGTGTAGTTGAAATGCTGGAGCATGACGGTGACGCGGTTCGTGGCGGCCAGCATGCCCTGCTCCGAATGGAAATATTTGGGTTGAACTCTTCGCTCGAGTCATAGATCGAGACCTTACACTCTTACACAGTCCCTCTCCGCCCAGGAGTATGACTAAGTACCCGCCAACTGTACGGGAAACCTAGCGCGATTAGGAGCCTGCTTCTAGTCACAATGCTAAATGCTAAATGTATCGACATCTCTATGTACGTGAAGTCGTCGTGGACTTTACTGTGGCATCATTGAAATGACAGCTTTTACTCAGAGTTTGTCATTGCCGTTTAGGTGTACCAGGAGAACCGATTCCAGTCTCAAGTGAACAAGACATCTTTGAAATAATCGGCATGGATTACAAAGAACCGACTGAGAGGAATCTTTGAGGGAAATTGCGTCCCAAAAGTCATTGATAATTTTCTCTAAAGCCTTTGTTGTGTGCTTCTCGTACAATCCACGTTGAATAACTCTATTACGGACATTGCTCTCGCCTCGAGGTTCGATCGAGGTTGTCAGTAAGCTATTAAAGCTCTATCAAATAAACTATAACAGGGCTTGAGGACTGATGTTGGAAAAAGTGAGGCTGTACTTATAAATATACATTTATTTAGACGGTGCTACCTTTGTATTGATGGTCTCAATGTGGTAATGGCTTTTACGGCTAACGGTTAAAATTTTGGCCAATTTACGGCTAACGGTTTATATTTTCCCATTGCGGTCACCGGAAAAAAATTTACGATTTCTTTTTTTTTTGCGACTAACATTTAAACTTTTTCAATGTTTACGGCCAAAAAATATCGCATGCATAAAGGTGGGAAATTTTTAGGGACAGTTCGTTTTTCGATAATTTCAGTTTCTGTTTTTGTTTGTTTGTGGCATTTACTTTCCAGATAAAGGACAATACGCAAGTGCATATCGCGGTTATGATTCGCTTGGTGCTATATGGAGATGCTTTTTGTGTGAAAATCTTTGTATCAGTGACATCTTTTTTCCTTAATCAAGTTATGCTCACATTTGAACTGATTTGATAAGTTGATATGATCGCTGCGAGAAAGGGAATCGTTTATCACTCCAGTTGGCCAGGGAACGTCATGAATTAATCTCTTTAAAAGTTACTGAGACCGGCGAACAACCCAGTAGATGGTACTCTCTCTTTCACACGTACGTTGGACATCGCTTACACTCTGCTTAGTGTATTCGGTTTAAGTTTAGAGCTCGTTTTGATTTTCGATTTGATTTTCGTGCAAAAATCACAACCTTTTTCTATTAATTGGAAAAGAAAGCTGGCGGATAAATTTAATTTACATACAATTTTTTTTTTTTTTTTGCACTTTTATGTCAACGAAACTCAAGAGGACTCTGCTCTTGTTTATTTTGTGGAACAAAACTTTCACAAATGGCTTTTTAAAACGAGTACTTTTTTATAGCTTTGTTTGCTTACGCAGGCTTGCGAAGTTTGTGTAAACAGTAAAGAAGATTGTGCAAACTTTCAAGGGATTAACGTGCCTTATTGAAGTGCTAAAAGAATTCTCTACTCAAGCGCGCGTGGCTTTTCATTTGCCGGTTGCCAAGGTGATATTTGGCAACTGACGTGATAAAAGTGTCCGGCTCGCGCGGGTGTTCAACACGCGCTTCTCAAAAGCGCCAGTTGACTGGGGTAACTTCAAAGAAAACTCTTCATTCTAAAAATATTTGGATCTTAAGCTACTAGATACCAATTTACGGAGCTGGCTGATGCTTTATGAAGACTCTACATGCTCTTAGAGGAAAAATTTTCGATTGCTTTTGCACGCTTTGGTGCCTTGTAAAGCTCAAAGAGTTTACATACTGAAGATGGAGGAATGAACGGCCCTCCTTCTGAAAGAAAGTAAGCAGCTCCCAAATTGTAACTTCTGCTTTGTTTGACCGAATATTATTTTCATTTCAAGCTGTTTTCGTTGAGTAAATATTTTAGGTTCTTGTGGTCTTTGTTTACACTTTGCGCACCGTGAGTGACGAGATACCACATAATGAAATGTCGAAGCTTTGTACTTGGGACAATAACATGGTATTTTATATCTTTTCAGGGCATCGATGGGGAAAGAAGAGCGATCAAAAGACAGAAAACAGCACCTGCTTCCTTTCTTGAAGCAAACAAGATCGAAGAAATCCATAAACCTTGCACAGGTAATAATCTTGACAGCTTAACGATTACAGCTTTCCAAGTTGCAGTGTGGTTGCGGTCTTAGCAGTTTCAAGCCCAGATAGGTTTCCCAATCGTGTCTGATTCGAACTATAACCTCGTCGCAACCATTTGGTAGCTTAAAACTACGTTATGTTTTGGAGTTAAATGCAGATTCTTGGATGATTTACGTAATTCAGCCGGTTAAATTCAATAACACGTGTGTAATACACAACGTCCAGCCGTGTCGATTTCAGTTCAGACAATCTCGACGATAGACTGTGAAAGACTGTAATTCTTCTCAAATCAATTGTAGCGCTCCAATTTAAACTGGAAAAACCGTGATATCGGCCTTAAAATTACAAAGAAATTACTGACAATTAATCGATCCTTATTGTTTCATCATCGGAAATCTGATACCATCGAAATATGGAATAGGTTCAGGTTTGACGGGGGAAATTTTCATGCGCAGGAACGTGGTAGTTTCTATCATATACGACGTCGTAATTGAGGATACGGATTTGAAAGAGCAAATGAAGGTTGAAGAATCGATAACAAACAATGCCTCTTTTTCTCACTTTTCACGGTTGCACAACTTCATTTTGATCTAATCAGGGAAAATATTTTTTTTCCAGTTGCGCGCATATGCATGTTTGCATAATTTCTTGTGGTGGTCACCGTTTTTAAATACGTCACAAGCACTTGATGCTTCATTTAATAACATAAAATTGTTATTTGAAATTCGAACCCTTCTTATCTATCACTTTTTAAATTAATTTTTTATTTGAACAGCATTAATTTCCTCCTTAAGAAAAGAAATGGTGCAGATAATCTATAAAAACAGGGAAAAACTTTTTCTCGGTTGAAAATCATTAAGTTGATTTAATTCATACACTGTTACAGTAGCTTTATCAATTTTTCTCAAGCCTAGAAAAAAAGTTATGATGATTAATGAAATCTGATTTCTTGCTCAAAACAAATTAAAGGATTTCAGTTTTATTGCTGCGAAAAACAACCAGCACAAAGTTATGTTTCATTTAGTAAATAATACTTTCTGTATATTTGACATTTTCCCACACTGGTACAGAAAATACTTAAGTACAATCTCAGAACTACTGATAACTGAAAGTATGGTTAGAAGACCAACATGTTTGGCACAAAGAGTTAAATTTTTCTTAGATTACAAATCCTCTTTTTTTGCTGTCTAAGGATCATTAACATAAACTTTCAACTGGCATTAACTTTCTTAGCGTGGTCACAGCCTTAAGATTTTTTTAAAACCTGAGAGCTCAATCACACATAAATTTTTGGGCACATGTGTAGACAATTTGAAAACGATTTGAGCTGTTAGTCTCCTCTTTGAATGATAGATTCTTATATGTCTTTGTTTTGACTTTTGGTAATCCTTTTTGTTGTTTTTTATTAATCCTTTGTTCTTTGACGGGGTTTAAATTCATTGCAAAGTATTGTTATCATTGGTATTGAATGCTAGAGTTGTCTCTATTAGATAATGATCAAAGGCTGGTCACTAAGCAACAAAAATAATAAATGTTTATTGGTTCCCAGTTGATGTAGTTATAAACCTCTGCTGTATAAACAAAAATGCACCAGAGATGAGCCTTTTGTGATATACAAAAGTCTCGATCAATATTATTGTTGAAGTGGAAAGATAATATCTACATTTTCTATCCAGGCATTGATAGATGCACGAGTTTGAATTTAACTCTTTAATCCCTGAGAGTGATCAGCATCTAATTTCTCCCTTCAATATCACCCATAAATCAAACATTAAGGCCATGGGAATAAAGGAAATGACAATTAACTGAAGAACCTCTTGATTGTGAAACAAATTCTCCTTGCTAGCACATTAGGAAATGTATAAAGACCAGTATGAAGAATATGCATATTGATGTTAGGGTGTAAAGGGTTAAGAGACATCCAATGAAAGCTCTTGAACAAGTAGTTAAAACTTCAATTAAAGCATCAAATTATTGTATTTTTCATTAGACTGCCATATTTTTACTCAAGTGCATCCCAAATTATTTTCTTATTTATTTACTCAAATGACAAAACTAACTTTTTAATATTTCAGTAATAAACAATGTCTGATGAATTCATCATGGTATGATTTTGTTTTACATCAATTGGTTCATTTTAAGGAAGTTTGAATTAAATTGTTGAAAAGAAATTAATGCCAATGCATCTCAACCCAATTACAAGTAAAATGAAAACAATGTTTCATCAGCTTCTTTATTAAAATTTTCCTATTGATCTGTGTTCTTTAGTACAGCTGACATTCACTTTTGTTATGAAATTACACCCACCTGCAGTTTGATAGACTGTGTCATGAGATGAACAAATATCTGTGGGTGGAATTGTCACAGACTTTAGTGAATGTTGTTAACATAAGAGGCAAAATTGGAATTATATATTACCTCTGTAATGCACTGTCTTAGTTTTCTCTAAAGTTTTTTTTCTAAACTAAATAAATATAGTTTGCAAACTGCCATTGACAATGTACCAATTAAAATGGCTATACAAATTCTAGTGCTTGTGTTTAATTTTGAGCCATTATTTTAATTTTAAATTGTGAAACCTGAACACAATGAGATGTGAAAGTGAAATTTCCATTAAGATTCTTATGAATTGTTTATGAGGTTCAGTGTTTTTGAAAAATAAAATCTAACAAAATTTGCAAACAGCTTTTTAAAAAGGCTTTTCTAATCCAGAAATAATATCATGGGGTCGGCAGTAATTCTTAAGCGCAGAACTTATCAGAGTTCATCCGACGGAATCAGTAGTAGAAGTGATAGCAGTGTGGTGAGTTTTTTAATTAAGAAGTTTTACTTTGAAAGTTTGCTTTAGCTTTCATATACTTAATGCTTTTCATTACCAGACAAAGAGAAACATTTCTTTAACATTCAACACAGGTTCCCAGAAAATAGAGAAAGTGAATTGAATTTATAAGTTTCAGGGGGAAAAAAACTTACTTAACTATACATTGGATGGTATTTTTTAAAATAAATGTTGATGGTTGACAAAGACCATTTTAGAAATTCAAGCTGCTTTTGCAAAAATTTCAAACAAAAATTTCATAAAATTGAAACAAGATTTTATATTCAATACTTGTAATTGTGCTGTATTTTTTTTAAAAGTATATAATGGTGTTGAAATGAAGAGGAGTTTTTACTTAACATTATGACCAACCCAGAAGTGTAAAATTTTTTTTTTTTCCAGATGGTAGTGAACTACATATTCCCATATCCACATATATGCCTTTGCATTCAATTTTAGAATGTTTTGCCTGAAGAGATTAGAAGAGCATTTACTCCATTCACAGAAAGTGCTTAAAATTGTTAATTGGTTTGTACAAAATGCACAGGTCTGCTGGTTGAGTTACAGATATAGAAAGTTTGAATGACTGCAAATGTATTTCTATAAGCTAGTTGGAAGTAATCGCTTGTGGTGGGGCTTAAAAGAGCAACTCATTCTAAAGATCTTAATTTAAATTCTCTACACTGTTTTGTTATACAATTCCTGTATCTTTAGCTCTGAGAATTTGGTGTGAAATCAAAATGTATTTGCTTATTGATATGCTTTTTTATAAAATAATTCAAATAGTATGTGTGCTCTGATTGGCCATAAAACTATTTTACATGAGCATATGTAAACACGGTTTTCATTCCTCTTTCATTAGTTATTTTATAAAAGAAATGTAAAATGGTTTCTGTGTTTACATAACCTGATGTAAACACTTGGGAGGTTGGGAGAACACTCGATAAGCTGGAAACCACTCCGCTTTGCTTCAATTGTATTATTTCTCAGTGCACTGACAAGCCTTTAAGTGAGTTTTTATGCCAAGAAAATAAAGTGACAATTAAGAGAGATACCTTGTGATACACCAGGAGAAAGTGTTGAATGACTCATTTATACCATCCAAAATAATTTAACACAATAATTGCACTATACAAACAATAATTGTAGTTGCTTCATGCTACAGAAGCCAGCATGACTTAGCTGCAGCATGCAGTGTAGGTCAGGTGACTCCAGTTCTAACTTAACCTCACTTTGATGACTTTCAGAGTCCTGATCAGAGTAATCATCGCACAGGAAATGCCCACCCAAGCAGTACATTTGGGAATGGATACCTAAGGTAATCAGTGCATGAATCTCTACTCTACACCAATAATTCACGTTCTTAGCCTTAAAGGGTAAGGGAAGCGTGGAAGTCAACTCTAGTGGATTATTTAGGATAAAAAAATATACATTGTACAAGACTGAAAACATGTAATTGGAGCCTCATTCACATTTGTTAACTGACTTTGTTCATCCCCTTCTCTAAAGCTTGAGTTAAATTATAGGAGTATATAATTTGCTACTGTTCTTGGATGAGAGGTCATGGGTCTTTTAAGGGGGGATGGGTTAGCTTGCAGTGTGCAACCATCAAGTTATGGATGCATGTGGGTGGTTGTTATGTGTGAAAAAGCGTGTGAGTTGCTTGAGTTTGAGTTGGTGTAGAAAAAAAAGGCGAAATAAACTGACATCAACATGCAACCTGCTGGCAAATGGGTCTACCGTATCAGCCAATTAGAATGCATGCTTTTGTAAAGCTATGTTAGAATTCCCTAGAGTGGGAGAAAAGAAAGTGTGCCTGAGGCAATCAGTTCATCTTTTGTTTAAAGCTCCTGGGATCAGGATTCCTTGTCTCCAACTTTCAGGGATTTTGAATGGGGGAAATATACAAAGTGTAATAAACCTAAATCAGCGTCCAGCTTTATTGTGAAGTTCTTTTTTAGTACAGCCATACAATGGTTTAGTGCAATTTAACCAAAGTCAGTTGTTGAAGTGTCAGCTTACAAGACTGCAATCCAAGGGAAGACCTGTTATGCGTTTAATCCCTTAAAGTGACTAGCATCTAACTTCTCTGTAGAGTATCACAGCTGCACCAAACACTGAAGGTGTGAGAATAAAGAAAATGATTAGCACCTTAAGAAGCTATTGATTGTTAGACAAATTCTCCTTGCCAGTATCATGGGAAATGTATCACGAAAAGTATGGAGACCATGCAAACTGGTGTTAGGGACTGAAGGGTTGAAATAAACTCAAGACTTTCTAAATTTTTATTTTACAGCAAGAATGAACTCATTCTCAAGTATACTGAGGGAAAACCTCTTTTACGAGGACAACAGGTATGAATGTAATGTGTGCACTTATTTGCATTAAACTTCACGTGGTCCTCTGTAACATGTAAAGTAATCTTTTTTTTCAAAGGTAAGTTGGATCAATATCAGTATCTGGGCAACTACCCACCTACCCCTCCCCTAACCCAACATTACCCCTAACTTGTTATCAATTGACTGTTGTTGAGTTAGGGGAGGGGAGTTAGGGGAGGGGTAGTGTATCATGCCTAAAATGTATTATGTAATAGATCGAAGTAGGTGATATAATTGAAGTTCTCATTCTGATACATTTTTTACTAATGATTACTTTTAGAGGGTTACAAGCATTCTTCCAGGAACTTTACCACAGCTTGGTCCAGACAAACATCACAGCCAGGTACTATGAGTGCCCTTGAAGCGATCTCGTTCCCAGGTCTTTTTCTTCTTCCATCTCTGCGAGAACTAGAGCCGAAACTACGCTTGTTCCTCATTTTGCTTCCTTGAGATCACTGCCCTTCAGTTTGCGTCCGTCCTTTCCGTTTATCAGCGCCAAAAACAAAAACAAAAAACCCGCAGCAACAGTAAAGACGTCAGAAGTTTAAATCGTTCAAAACACTTCGGTCTGATTATTTAAACAAAGTTTAGCCGTCGTTCGACGAACCGAGTTCTAAACCGTCTTCAATTATCCTGAACCTTTTATCTGAATGTTTATTATTGTAATCAGTGTCCAGAGGGGAAAACGCTAATGTGGAAGGACAGTTTTTCAATAAAATCAACCTTCTTAGAGAAAAAAACGTGAGACCCACCGCTTGCATAAAATCGGGGTTTGGGTTAGATCTCGTGTAAATAACTGGCCCTTTTTGTCGATAACGATTAGGACTACATTGTCTTGTATGAAGATAAAGATATGCTTATGGTTTTAACTTTAAAATATTTGAGATAAGCTAGCCATTTCCCATAACATTGCTATTTTTGCTTACTTATTTTACAGGCAGATGACACTGCTACTAAAGAAGGGAAGGTAAGTATTATGGACACGAAAGCTATTCCGCTCTCATAGGAATCAAGATATGTACAATTGAGATGTGTAAAACGCCAATTACAAATGTTTTTTAGAGTAGATATGACTTTGATGAAGGTGGCAAAAGGTTCATAGGTGAGGCGTGATTAACTCCGAAATTGATATGTGACGCGTGAATGATACAGAAAGGAGTGCGCGAACAGCCTAAGATTTTCCTGAATATTTTTACACTAGAAGAGAGATTTGAAGTTTTTTTTATATATATACATATACGTGATGCGTGAATTTTTCTGAAGTTTGTGAGGCGGGAAACTTTTTGCTACCTTCATAGATAAAAGAACTGAAGGAAAAATGGAAACAGACTTCAGGAAATGTAATTCAGTTACCAACATCACTCTCTCTCTCTCTCTCTTGGCTCTTCCTTGTCCCTGAATAATCATTGTCGTTCCTCTTTTGAGTTAACAAAGCTTTTCCCTTTTTATTCTCCATATTATCTAGTGGACACCCCTTTGGTTTATGAAAAAAAAATGTTAACCCCTTTTCCCTAAACAGTGACCAGCATCTTAATTCTCCTTACAATATCACCCCCGAATAAAACATTTAGGTCGCACAAATAAAGGAAATGATTATCAACGAAAGAAGTTTTTGATCGGTAAACAAATTCTCCTTGTCAGCACCTTAGGAAATGCACAGAAAACAGTATGGAGAATGTGCATACTGATGTCAGGGTGTAAATAGTTAAAATTTTCACTTCTCCTTTCAATCTGCAGAAGTTCTCTGACCAGCTGCCGCAATTACTAAACCAGCAGAATATTCTCAAAAGTTCATCAAGTAAACAGGTGAGTGAAGACCAAGAGATGTATCTTTGAAGGAGAAATACTTTGAATCGAGTCAAATGTAAATTTTGAAATTGTATTAGTCTTGGACTTTACCCAAGTCTATTGAAATTTCTGCCAGCCCGCGATTTCGTCAGTATCTTCGTTTCTTCATTATGCCATGCGCAAGAGACATCTTTTAGTATGGTGCTAGTCATGTGCGAGTTTTCTAGGTCTCTCCAACCGTTCGAGTGTACTTCCAGAGATATATCATGACGAGAATTAGTGATTCTCATTCATTGATGACGCATGAAAAACAAGGGTCTGTGGAAGAAAATAAGAGAAAAAATTCAGGAGGATGTAGCCAGTTTGGTCAATCTACTTGGGCGTCGTTTCAACCATATCATTGTTTCTTATTTTATGGCATAGACGAAGGATTAAATTTAATTTGCAATTTTTACTATGTGGTTTTATGATTGTCCGATTAGCGAAGAAACCGATAAATGCAAAACCGCTTTCCAGCAAACACGAACAGTACAATTTATTCGTAATTTCTTCCAATCCTGAAACACATCCAGATGGAAAAAAGGTGTCAAAAATACTTTTTCTATTCAAAACAAAATAATCATTTTCTTTTTCACGTTTATGCAGCGCAAATGACGGAGATATAGACAGGATAAATTCAATTTTTGCCGTTTTAAGTTCGCATAGATGTGGCATTTTATCTTCTTAATTGGAGATTCATCGGTTGAAGACAATGTGATGTGGGACCGGTGAAACTTTTTGTAAACTTTCAACAGGCCTTTACAATTAGTATTCTGATTGAAAGTCGCGCAACTTTATAGTGGATCGATTTTGTGAAATGAGCATGTGTTATGTGTTCAATAAAGCGCGCTGATAGAATGGATAATGTAATTTCTTTTGTACCATGCAGTATAGGTATATTTCTGTAGAAATCCTTACAGCACAGAAAAACTTAGAACACCTGCTTGTCTGGGGAATTGAAATGTGAAAATTAGTTATGTAGAACAAGAAAAGTTATTTATTTCGCAAGCGATATTTAAGCCTGGAAAGGACGTTTAACTTGTCGACCTGAATATACTTTTATCGATGTTGCCTTCGGAGTGTTTCATTTGCCAGTTAAGGTGTGTCTAGCTTGTATAGCCATTGTCAATCATGTTTCTAAGTTTACGAAATTTTTAATGACTTGTTAATGGAACTACGTAGTTAAATGCGATGTTTTCAGCGCCCGGTAATTACAATCTCATGCGGGGTGCAAAAAAGAATTTTTTTTTGAACCTACGCGTCGGACATAAACGAAGTTAAATCGGCCGAACTTGAAATGTCATGTTTTTTTTTTGGACTGTGTTGAGTTACTTTTTTTTCGAATGTCGATCAGTCCTTAGCCACACTTCAATGGGATCCGAATATGAGCTCTTGAATGGGTTTCAATCGGAAAGGCGCCATTGAAACAGGTGGAAATTTCCTCGCCTGTTCCATTTGCCCCTCGCAAAGTTGAATAATTTATTACTTTAAACTACTCGGTAATCTCATCACCTTGGCAACATGTTTTTTCGCCTATAAGGAACAGATGTAGACTGAGTTGTTTTCACTTATCCGAGCAGTTTTGTTTCTTGTTCTGCTAATCATTTCAAACTCAAGCTGAGGCTCAGATTGTACACATTAACAAAATTATTCATTCATATTCGCCGAAAAAGAGTACTCGTCGTGCGATCTGATTTCTATCCGATCTTCATTCGAGAACCTTCTAACACGCGTGTCTCGCACATCGACCACAAGATAGACACACTTGAGTGTAGCTTATCCAGCGAGGTTTGCTGCCATCAACGCAGACGCGTTATAGCTTCATCATGGTGAAACAAGGACAGAAACCTGGCCAAAAGACAGGCATCTCAATTCAGAATACAAGTACGCTCACTCGAGGACACATGAAAATTCGAGTTTTTACGGGATTGGCGGGATCTCTGCAGTCTGTACATCGAAAGAAGGTTGTATGAATTAAAAGTGTTTCATCCTTAACGTATGATTTCCCCAGAACCCACCGCTTTAATCTGTTCTCGTTTTTTTAGCATTTTTTTAGGACAGGTTCGAGGTGGTTTCCGTCGAATTGCGCTTAATCTGCTGGTTTTTTAGGCCGCAATAATTTCATAAATTTGTTTGCCTGGTATATAAGAAGTGTTTGATGAATTTGATGAAGTAAATAATTTAGCAAATATTTACTTAAAAGGAGAAAATAGATCGTGTGCCAAATTTCGGCGCTCCAACCCATTTCAAAGCTCTTTCAAATTCTCAGTTTAAGCCAAACCAAATTATAAGTGAAGTAAGTATTTCCTGGTTAGAAATTTTCAGGTATTGTAAAAGGTCTTTTTTATTTTTTAACGCAAAATGTAAGGCCATTCGGTAAGATGTCTGCTGAAGATCAAACTAAATCTTTTTTCCATGATTGTTATTTTTTTTTCTTCTGCCCTGATAGAGTAATCAGTTTCTGCTAACAGATTCATTTCTCCATAAAATTTTCAAGGGTTTGGCGGTAATCGAGTGTTCATTGAACTATCCCGGAAAAAAACCGAGAATATAAAACTCACAACGCGACGGGAAATTATCTAAATAATTTATTCTTAAACTTTGAGGAAATTGGCATTTTCATTCAGAGCCGTCGATCATGGTGAATTCGACTGCGTTGTCAGTGTCGCCTGAAATCTTCTATAATTTTTCCAAGAGTGGGACCATAAATTTTTAAAAGTTGAAAAGTGTCACGTTTTTGTTTATGTACGATTATTCTAGATTTATGGTTATCGCCAGTTTTTCTTCGACGTGGTATTTTCTTCGCTTTTTTCGTTTATGTCGGTTCCCTCTTTCTAGTGTGTTTCGAGATTGATTTTTTTCTTTTGTATTTTCCAATTTACATGTAGATCCTTTCTTTGCTTCCCGTTCTTTCTCGCAAAGATAATTCGCCCACTTTTTAATTCCAATCGTACTTTTCAACGTTTTCAATCAAAACAGATACCACGATTTTCGAGATATTACTTTCTCGGCACAGGCAATTGATGAGAACAGCTGCTTCGAGACTAAGATAACGCTGATATCTGACGCACGTATTTTTAAGGAAAATTGAAGTTTCTTGTTGTTGTTTTAAGATATGTGCTATCTACAGCCACCAATCTTTTTTTTTCTGGTTAGACACGCAATTGCGGAAATCAAACCATGACTCGATATTTTTAGTTATTTTATTTTTCATTCGGTCAAGGCTAGTTTATTTCAGTCATATCTGTTGGACCTTCAGTCTTCAAGACATATGAATTTGACTCACCCTGTGTAACCACTAGGCAAATTTCGTTAGTTTAGAAATCTGGCAAGAATTCTGAACATCACGAAGGCAAACGAATTAATTTTTATTCTCTCGGTTATTTTTAACCCGAGGCCCAAGAGGCCAGGTTATTGAGAGGATGCAACGAATTACAAATGTAGTTTCTTCTTCATCTTTTTTAAAGGGAAAAAAATTGTGAATTAAAAAAAAAAGTTTAAGGAGAAAAAGGTACAGCTTAACATAATCTCCTATTGTAGCTCGGCAACTGTCTCGGTAAATAAAGGGAGAAAGACAATACATCTTTTGCTTTGCAAAGAAAATATTTTCTTTAGATTTATATAGGTGACACACAGTTTGCTGGAAGATTGCGAACTGAACGCAAATATTGGAACAAAATTTTTGTTTGTGAATCTTTGTCGAAATTGAAATCCACATCTGAAAAGAGATTCTTGAAAAATGTGGAATTAATCTACATTTTAAAAGCTTTTCTTCCTATTTTTACTCAAACATTTGTTTCTAAACGAGTTCTTAGTTTTGGCTAGAGTTGATCTGAAGAATAAAAGCACCTCATCGAGTTTATTCTGAACCAGATGTTCTTATTTCTCTGAGAAATTTTCATTGACAATGAGTGCTAAAAGTACTTCCTGAGACAGTTAACTCTTAAAAAGGTTTTTCTGTTGTCGCTTTTGAATCACGAGATTACGTTGAAGACTAATTATGTTTCCGATATGTACTTTTCTTGTGGAATTATAGCACAATACGCTGCTATGACTACAAGAGGAGTAAATTTTTATTGAGACAAATTACGCGTGGCTGCCAACAAACATTTATTAATGGAACTGCCCTTTCCGTTTTAAAACAGGTTTATTTTCGTCCCATTTTAACTCCCTTAACAGCTGTTGAAATGAAAAAAGGCTGCAAAGGCTCACACGAAATTATGTCCATGACTAGGTCTTTGTTCATAGCTAGGAAGAGAGAGGAGAGGTGGGTCATAGTTGGGGAGAGAGAAGGAGGGGGGGGAGCTGGAGAGAGAGGGGGGGAAGGAGGTTCAAAGTTGGGGAGTGATGGGAGGGGGGTTGGAGAGAGGGGGGGTTAAAGCTGGCGAGAGAGAGAGGGAAGGAGGGTCGAACTGGGGAGAGAGAAGGGAGGGGGGTTCAAAGCTGGAGAGGGAGAGAGAGAGAGGGAAGGAGTTTCAAAGATAGGGAGAGAGGGAAGGAGGGGTCATAGATGGGAGAGAGGGGGATCATAGTAAGGGCGAGAGAGGGGAGGGGGGGTCAAAGCTGGAGAGAGAGAGGGAAGGAGTTTCATAGCTGGGGAGAGGGGGAAGGGGGGATCGTAGATGGGAGAGAGAGGGGGGTCATAGCAAGGGCGAGAGAGGGGAGGGGGGGTTGAAGCTGGGGAGAGACCGGGGAGGCAAGGTCATATTTGGGGAAAGAGAAGGGGGGTCAAAGCTGGGGAGAGATAGAGGGGAGAGAGGGGAATTCAAGAGCTAAGCACCTCTTTGTTAAGAAGTGAAAAATCATATTAGGCAATTTGTCTTCTCCTACCCCTTACGGCTTTAACGGGAAATGCTGTCGAATCCCTACTTTGTCGAACCAAGATCCAGTGATGTGTTTTTCGCCTTTTGTAAAGTTATACCTGATATTGATGGTTATTGAAAATCGCTAACGTATGCCGTCCGTTGTGTTGACTATCATTGCAGGCGCAGAATCTTAACTTAGGTGAATTCAGCAAACAAGGATCCAAGAGACACTCAACTCTCATGTAGGGAAATAGTGTTGTTTGTATATTAATGCTATTCGCTAAATTATTGTTTGAAAGCATTCTAATACACGTTGTCTTTTAGATGGCTGTTTCTCAATAATCAGTCAAAGAACCAAGCATTGTGGTCAAAAGCTACTGGGGGCGCATTGACTATCATGCTCAAAAGCCTATATATATAGTGTTTGTATTTAAACTGTTGTGGAAATTACTCTCCCAAGAGCTAGGGTTTAAGGGTTTAATTGACGATGGTTTTTCGTGCTTTTTGCCTCTAGAACCAACAGCGAGAATGAATCTTTCACCCGCATTCGCCGAGATCCTAACGGGCACAAACTTCCCATGTCACCAAGTGGTAAGATTCTCTACGCTTTGTTTATCTGTGATCAAGCTTCTCTTTCTTTCGAGGGAGAGCATAAGTTCAACTCAATATTCCCGCTACTCCTAACAAATGAACGCCTCATCGCAGGTTTTGTTTTATTTATGACATATTTCCCTTTCTCGAAATGAAACCGAAACATTTTTGACTCGTTTATTGATAAAATATGAGCTTAATCACAGATACGCCGATTTTCAAACTCTATTTCCAGTTGCCATTAAGAACTACGGGGATAAGATGTCCACATTTGAGCAATCAGAAATCCTGGATTTCCCAGACGTTTGGTTTCTTGGTTTGGAGGCGAAGAAGATAGAAGGTGTGCCGGGAGCTCCGCAAAATAACGGTACGTCATTCTGGTCGAAAGTCTAGTGCATGATTCATGCCGTATAAAATCTTCAGATTCGGGCGTTTTTGCCACCTGAATTACTAGGTCTGTATGTTCTTAAATTTATATGAAAAATCATTTTACTAAGGGAGGGGGCTGCTAGCCAAGCACCTGCACAAAATACTTGTTTATAACGCGTATCATAGCATACTGCACAATGTAACCAAGCTGTCATCCCCACAAGAGTTCTCCCCAATTCATCCGCCATATTTAACAATCGGTCTGCCCTCTATAACCCTTTCACTCCTAAGATCTCATTCTTAATTCCCCTTACTGTCTGTTATACAATTCTTTTGATGTTAGTTCAGAGAATTTGGTATTAGATCAACTAATAATCTTCAAGTTGTATTTTCATCACTTGTCTGCTGAATATTGTATTGATATAGCTGGGAGAAATTCTGTTTTAGTCAGTGATGGGTGTTAAAGGGTTACTAAGATACATGCTCTCCCTAGACTCCTAAGGGCGGGAAAACGGCACGAATTTTGCAAATCGAATGCCCACATTACTCGTCCCAGTGCTTCGCATATTCACGATCAAACACGAGTTGAAATGGCGTAGATGAGGGAAAATTTAAGGCGGACTTTGTCTGTGAAAATTATTTCTTCAGGGTACGATGACGAGAATGGCAGCTACCTTAAAGCCTTACACGATCACCTTGTGTACAGATATGAAGTGCTGGAGGTCCTGGGTAAAGGTTCCTTTGGTCAGGTGGTAAAAGCCCTGGATCATAAGACGGGACAACATGTTGCTGTTAAAATAATACGCAATAAGAAGAGGTATGACAGCGAAGAATTAGTTTCGCGGTCAGATTGTTGGTTTTCTTGTTTTCATATCAGTTCCTTCAAATAAAATGAGGTACCAATGGGCTGTTTAGAATACCAGGCGGTTAGGTTTAAAGGCGTTCACAGCCTCTTGCTCCCTGGAAGGTTCGGATTCCACTGGGAAAATTTGAAGTATGTAGACTCTTGAAGGAGTAAAATTATCCTGCACTTTGAGGAATTTTTCACTTTAGTTTGCTTTGTTGTTCCTCGAAGTCAACCAGTTTGAAAAAATTAGAGTGCAGTGAAGTTTGTGTGAATGGATAGCCAGTGCATTACAAACGGGTAGATCTGACTGCTACCTGGCTGCTACCTGGCTGCTTTTTGAACCCCTCTCACTTCCTACCTTGTATCTAGGGTCTTTTTTATCCAGCACTCGCCCTTGTCAAGAAAACCCTCATCCCTTAACTAATTAAAAATACTTCTGTGTTTTACAGATTTCACCAACAAGCTCTAGTTGAGGTTAAAATTTTAGAACACCTACGTAAAAAGGTCAGTATAATCACAGATGTCAATCTACGAGGTTGAAAACTATAATAATTATATAATTACGTATTAGAAATTTGAAGTGTTGCATTATTTACTTTGCTTCCCATTTTTTCCGCAGGATAAAGAAAACAGCTACAATCTCATACACATGATTGACTATTTCTACTTTAGGTAAGTGCGCATGCAACTCTTTCACACTCAGGGCCGATTTCATTCTTGAATGAGGGGCGTTTTTCAGTCCTCGTCTCATTTTTTTAGATTTAAAATTTCAATTCTCTTCACTGTCGGCCATACATTTTCTTTTCTTTCTTTTCTTATATTTTGTCTTTTCTTTTAAGGGAGTTTTTACACAGGGATAACCTCTTAACTTCCTTTTCTAGAAGTATTTTCTTTTTAGTTTTATTTGTATATAATAGTTATCATCTGCTTCTGGAATAAATAAAGTATGTATGTATGTATGTATGTATGTATACATATCTTATAATTTCAGCTCTGAGAATGTGGTGGTTAATGAAGCACTATCCCCTTGTTGCAATTTTTTTTCCATCAACTTTCGGCTTGTGAATGTATGGATATTGTAAGGAGAAATTCATTTTTTGGTCACTCCTGAAAGTGAAAGGATTAAAATGTTGAAATGGAGTAGTAATACCCCGTATTACTTCTGAGGAGAGTTGGGGTGGAGTCGGCTCAGCTCGGCTCGGCCCGGGTGAGGCTCGGGTGGGGTGAGGTACTTGCCTCGAAAGCTGTTTTCACCTTTTCTAAAAAATGAGTGGTTTTTCTTTTCAGGAATCATTTGTGCATTAGCTTTGAACTCATGGGGTAAGTCTCAAGTTTCATTAACCTTTGATTTGTATTCTCGTTCCGATTCAAAAGCACGGCCTTTTTCTAATGTCGAAAGAGCGCGGACCCTGTAACCATTGACGTTCTCCGTTTAAGTTAAGTTCAGTCTCTTGTTAAGTAGAGTGACAGAGAGGTGTTTATTTAACTTCTTGCTTGACTGACAGTTTTATAAATCAATTTTGCAGCATGAATTTATATGAATTGATAAAGAAAAACAATTTTCAAGGATTTAGTCTCGCTCTGATAAGAAGGTGAGTTGTATTAATCTTTGTGTTCAACAAAATGATTTTATGATTGATGACATGTTGTGTATGATTTTATTATTTCATGTGATCTTTACTGTTATATCTCGCTTTTTGCATTTTATGCTATATATTTCATGAATTACATTGCATATTTCTCCAAGTGTATAACAAATTTATATTTAGCATCCACTGTTTCATTTTTCTCTCTCAGCATTTTTCATTTTACATTTTGCAGCTCACGTTGTTGTGATATTGGAGTAATCTCCAAAGTGGTGCATTAGTACTGATGTGATTTTTAGATAAAACCTTTTTTTTTTCATTTCAGGTTTGCTTATTCCTTACTTCAATGCCTAAGAGTTTTGGACAAGGAGAAGATCATTCACTGCGATTTAAAACCGGTAATGTATTTATTCATTTTTTTTTTATGTCGCGCAGTTAGAGTACTTCTAGGCTGAGAAAGCACACTCACTTTGATGGTTTGTCTCTCTGTTCGTTTGACTGTTGTTCTTAATGTTGTTTTTTCAATTACTTCCACTGATGTTTGTTTAATATTTCTAATTTATAGGAAAACATTTTGCTACGACAAAGAGGGCAAAGCTCCATTAAAGTAATAGACTTTGGTTCGAGTTGTTATGAGCATCAAAGAGGTAAGATATAAAAGAAAATGTTTAAAATATGTTGTAAGTATGGGACAAAAAAAGTCTGAATTTGCTATAAGGATTCAGACGTCAGTTGGTTCCCATTTCACTAACTGAGCTGCAAATTTCACATGGGTTAGCAATGTTGTATACTATTTTCATGAGTGAGACGCGTCCTGTACAAAGCGTGTGATGAAAGAGAGTAAGAAAATTAGTATTCAGACAATCTAATGTTCAACTTTGGTATCAACATCCGTCCAGTACACCTTACAAGTTAAGACGATAATTGTCACTTCCTTTCACTTGAATTAACCAATCATGGCTGGCAAGTCTCCATTGGTGGGCGGACGCATTACACGGGCGGGAAAACTGTTAAAAATCGATTAGCTCTTAAATGATGATTCTATGAGAAGTATATGTTTATATAGGGAAAGGTGTTTTTTTGTCTTGTCACGAGCGTGGGACAAAGAAAAAATTCTGAGTCCCCATGAGGAATCAAACCTCAGACCTTCGGATTCCGCGCTCCGATGCTCTAACGACTGAGCTATAGAGACTTCACGGTGAGCGAGGTCTATTACGAAGTTCATATGACACGCGTCCTGCATACTGCTAAAATCAGCAATGTACATGTTTATATAATTTATATATACACCCGTTTTCAAAAATTTTTATTGTTGAATTTTTACAGTGTACACATACATACAAAGCCGTTTCTATCGTTCACCCGAGGTCATTTTGGGTAAGCTAATTTTTTTTTGTTTGTTTCACAAGAATGTCGTTAGTCTTGTCTCACTGAATTCAAATTATCTTTTTATTCAGTCACTTTGGCCGTCATGGTTACTTTGGGTTTGGTTTCACGACGATCATCGAAATGCTCACAGACGAGGAGTTTTTATGAGTACTGACTGCAACATTAAAATAAATATGTGAATCCACTTGATAAAAGAAACGAGAGCACTGAAATTCTCGGAGTAAAAACTTGGAGCAAATGTTCCTTTGAATACCAAACAGCTCGATGGGGAGTCTAACGTATTACTTACTCGGCAGCATTGATTCACCACCTCTTCTTCTTCTTTCATTGCTTTTCTTTAGGTATTCCTTACAACATGGCGATTGATATGTGGAGTTTTGGATGTATTCTTGCTGAACTCTACACTGGGTATCCTCTTTTTCCCGGTGAAAATGAAGTAGAACAGTTAGCGTGTATAATGGAGGTGAGGTTTCTATTTTTTGTTTGTTTTTGTTTTGTTTTTTTTTTTGTTAGTAATGGTCCAGATTTGAGAAAACCTCGAACTCTTCTTTCCGTTGGTGTCAATCCTTTGAGTTCAGCATGTAGTTTCTCCTGACAATTTCCATACTCTATCCAGCAAAAAAGGTTATGAGAATAGATAAGCCAGTCAGTTAGAGAATCTTACTTTGGTTGAACACCAGGTTCTCTCAACCAAGTTTCAACTAAATGTATGTAAGGTAAGTTTTCTATTCTAATCGTGTATGGGACCGCGCAGAGGTAAGCTGGGGGGGTTAAGCAAGAATAAAAATAAATTAAACAAAAAATAATTTAACAAAAAAATTTTCCTTCACGCATTCTTCTTTAGCCCCCCCACTCGAAAATTTGCTGCGCGGTCCCTGAGCACAGTCTTGTCCTTCTTCAACATCCCTTTTGGTCCATGCCAATTGTTAAATATGGAATTTTTTTTTTTCCATCTTTCAACAGATTTTAGGCAAACCACCACCAAGCGTATTGGAGCCAGCTTCAAGAAGACGGATCTTCTTCGGTTAGTATTCCTGTTCTTTAGTATGTTGTATATTTATGTGTTCTGTATTAATTCCCAGTCGACCTCGTTGTTCAGTAATGAATTTGTACAGTTACAACTTGGTGCTAGAGGGGGGTGAGGGAGGAGGGGATGGGGGTGATCTGCAATGAACTGGTATTCCACCATAGAGGATTTGTAACACTCCCAGTCACTTCATGCAATGGAAACTTCTCTGAAGGATGAAGCGCCCATGATAATTTCTGCACCTCTCTCAACGGTTTCCTTGTCCGCCATTGGTAAGACTGACGAGTTCCTTGATGTAATTTCTTGCGATGATTTGCAACTCTCTGGTGCCGATAAAAACCGTTAAGGCACAGCTACTGTTTTTTGTTGAGCTTGCGTTCATTTTGATGTTTAGATTCCAAAGGAAACCCACGCAGCTTGACGAACTCCAAAGGAAAGAAACGACAAGTCAATGGCAAAGAACTCAGTGCAGCACTGAAGACAAACGACGCCTTGTTTGTGGACTTTATCAGAGGCTGCTTAGAGTGAGTACGATTTTTTTTTCTCATCATAGTCGAATTCAAATTCTTTTTATACTATTAACATTTTTCTGCACCAGAAAGGAAGTGTTTCCATAATGATACGTTTTCAAAATTCTCCAGTTTTCCGATTGTTTTCGTAAATCTTCGTTTTCACTAGCGTTTTCACTCTTCTACTCTAGAAAAGAAGCGTTTTCAAAATACTCCTCCTTGGAAACCATTTACAAAAGCATTTGTTTTACTAGGCGAGAACGCATCAAAAGCATTAGTTTTCAAACTAAATCGAATTTTTTTTTTTCGGTCTATAGGGTCCAAAATTCTAATGATATCTGGCGTCTTGATCTCGTGTCTATGAACGACCATGCCTTCGTTAAAGGTTTGAAGTTCATTTTTTTTTTCTTTCCAATTCCCAGATGGGACCCAGCAGCTCGTTTGACCCCTGACGAAGCTTTCCAGCATGAATGGATACAAGAGGTAAGGACGCTCTAGAGATCAAGTTTAACTTGCGACGAATATGTATGGAGTTTGACCCTGTTTCATAAAGCCTATATGGGGTCGTAGGCAAGAGGTTGCACCCAAGTGGTCGCGAAGGGAATGGGAAGGAGCAAAGGCCCCTCTCTCGATCAAACGGAGGAAAGCACCAGCGAGCGAAATCCTTCAAGCTCCCGCCGGTTATTCTAGCTCTCTCCTTACTCTGTCGTGGGTGGCTATTTTTCCTTTGTTCGTTCTTTTCGTGTTTTGTGATATTTGATTCCCTTACAGATATTGTTCGGAAAGAACGCGAGGAACGCGCGCGAAAGAACCAACTGCGAAGAACGCGCGCGAAAGAACCGACTGCGAGAAAGCGCTCGGGTCACCTCTTCGGTGCGCCGGTCTGCATCAGTCGCGGCTAGTTTAACTGAGAGCTTACTACTCAGACAAGTTGGCGTTCACAGTGACCTTATTTTTTTATCATTATTGTTATATATTTAATATTTATTTTTTATTTATTCATTTATTTTCATTATTTACTTTTATCTTTTCTTTTTCTTATTTGATCCTGTTCAATATATTTTTATTCCGGTTACAATTTGCTCTTGCTCTAGGGACGTCAAAGACATCGCGGGACATCTCGCCTCACTTCCCGACAGAAGGCTACCACGGATGCGCACAATCCTTCAGAGACAATTCCGAAAGGACCTACCACGATTCCTGCAGAGGCCAGCAAAGGGCATGCTGAAGGTGGCTTGATGAAACGAAGTGCACGAACGCGAGAAAGATTACAACCTATCGGAGCCGACGCCTCGCATACGGTTCACCATGACAGTAACAACAATATCACTAAGCCGGCGGAGACTGGGACCGAGACAAAAGGAGCAGTGGCACCGCTGACGAAGAGAATCACTACAGAGGTCGTGAAGGAGAAACCTGGAACAGCTAATAAAGCGAATGATATTGAAGAAGATAGAACTGAAGAAATCAGTGTAGTAGAAGGGGGACAATTCTTACCTCCTATCAAATGAGAGAATGGATTTAAGTCTCTTCAGCGAGAGGGGATATGCCTTAGATTTTAATTGCGATACCACATTGGATGTATCGAAATTGAATTTGACCCGCGAGCTGCGAATTCTTTAACTACAGACCTTTTTAATCGGAACTGATTTTAAGACTGACTTTTAAACTGAGGGTTATTTTCTATCTGTTATTTTAATTTTTTTTCTTTCATACATTAATATTTTATACAGACAGAGCGCTAGTTAACTGGTACATCGTTTTTGGTATAGTGAATGAGGTAATATTACAACAGTGTTTTCTATTTTCGTACCAAGACTTTAATTGGCTCTTGTATATATGAAAATATCTCATTTTAAAAGGATCATGATCAAAGTTTCACCAAAAAAAAAATCGTTCATAAATTGTACTTTGGGTTTTTACCCCCGCGGGAAACATTTTCCCTCGTTTGACATAAAAATTGTAAGGAAAACTTCAAAGATTTTGAAAGAAAATGTCCATAACATGTACAGAAATTTTGCAAGGAAAGAAGCGGTATTCATATATTTCTTTTCCAACTGAATTATCAGAATCTTTCAACTATTAATGTGGAAATAGTTTCGAAGACAGAAGACTTTTTTGCGTTAACCAGACAATTCAGTAAGGACAGAAATGTATAGGTGTCTTTAGGAAAACGTTGTCGCCGTTTGGAGTTTAACAGAGTGAAATTATTTATTTGTCTTTAAATTGAAGGACAAAAAAAAGTTGTATATTTAATTTTGATATACGAGTGCTTGGATATTTAATTCACAAGATGTGTTTTAATATATTTGATGAGTTGTGTTAATATATTTTTATAAATTATTTATGAGAGAAAGAAAATTGCAGTGAATATTTAAGTGTGGTATCAAAACGGTGTGTCTTGAATTACGTGGTTATTTTCCTAGCTCGAAACCATTAATATATTTAGGATGCAGAAGAAAATCCTTGGGTTTGTTTTAAGGAGAAAAATATTGTAAATTTCTTAAGCCCTAAATGTAATCAGAAAGTTAATTCTTGTGATGTTAATACGTTATGAAGCAAACTGAAGTACATGTTAAATTAAATTTCATCCACGACATGCATCGTTCATAACTGTTCACTGTCAGGAGTATTTGAAAACTGGCAGATCTTTGTTCGCTTAAGGTTATCTTCGAATACGATTATGATCCCCTGCCCTTTTTAAACTAAACAGAGAATTTTCTAATTGTAAAAAGAAATCTTTATCTGAGTGGAGGATTCTCCGTGGAAATATCTTGTTTCGTGCAGGATTCAATAAACTGGCTGACCGCGATTATTTGTCTGGTGTGAATGAAGGGAGAGGGAAACGCAGTAGCTTGGTAGCTAGTTCGTAGGGCTCTGCATGATGGGAGACTGGGCTCAAACTATCAAACGCGTTTCACAGTAGCATGGTGGCGGGCTTCCTCCTAAAGGCCATTAACATTAAGTTAGCTCTTATACATCCAATCTCATTTATTTCTTAAGTTGTCAGCTCCGAAAAGAGGGTAACGAAAGGCCTTGAAATATGGTTGAAATTGTGATAAGAGAGATCCCCGTGCTCGGTTCAAAGTCACGCGATATCACCGCAGTCACGCTTGAGATCGCGATTCTGAAGTTATGGATTAGTTCAAAACAATGATTTTGGAATGGCCGAAGAACCATTCAGCATCCAGAAGGTGCAGGGATACGACAATATTTATTTGTTTCGGGAGAGGTTCTTTGATTCTCCAAATCAAGCTAACATTTGGCTGGTCAAAGGCACCGAGAAAGATTTGGTAATCGACACAGGGATTGGATTGTGGAATCTCCCTGATTTTCTCAAACAACAAAGTTTGATTGGCGACAAGCCTGTGGAAGCCGTCGCTACTCACGTTCATTTTGATCACTCAGGAGGACTCTATCAGTTCGAAAACTTCGCCATTCACAGCCGGGAGGCCGAAGCCATTCGCCATGGCAACAACTACGAAACAGTCTCGATTTTTACAACTACGGCGGAGATTTCCGTTCTCCCTCACGAGGGATGGAACATTCAAGACTACCATGTGAAATCAGCTCAGCCATTCGAAGTTTTAGAAGAAGGATATGAATTTGATCTTGGAGACCGAAAATTGCGCGTGCTTCATTTCCCCGGTCACTCTCGTGGCAGTATCGGGTTAGTGGATGAACAAGCAAAGATATTGTTTAGTGGTGACACCATGTACGATGGATATTTAATCGACTGGCTCCCTTACAGCGACATTACTGCCTATGTTCAGACGTGCAGAAGACTACAAGAACTATCAAGCCAAGTAGATACAGTTTTTCCCGGCCATTTTAACTCTTTTGACGGGAAACGACTCCATTCATTAGCTACTGATTACATCTCCAGGGCAGGGACTTGTCACAAAGTTTCTTCAGCTCTAATGAAGGGTGTTGCCTCTATGGTGTTGAAAGCTAAACATTCTGGTAACATTCCTGCAAAGTTTTGTTACCACGCTTGCTGCTGCTGCTGCTTCCTGGTGTAAATTTAGTCAGCCCACTGGGGTAATATACAAATCTCCCTTCTTCTCCCCAACTCCACCCAGAAAAAGGTGTAGTCCCCCTTTACGAGTGATAGAATTTCCTTTTCTATTTTAGGGATAAAATTTGTGAATTTCTGCTTGCTTTTGAGGCTGCATTAACCTAAAATGACAACAACTAGTGCTGTAGCAGTACCTCATAGAGGTCTGAGGTTGTCAGAAAAATGGTTTAAACTGTAATTAGAGAAACTTCATCAAATTGCCTCTCATTTTAAAATTTTCGCTGCTATTAGCTGTTTGAGAATTGTTTCCTTTCAGAGATTAAAACAGATTTGGGCCATGCCCACAAAACAAGATTAGACTTGGCTTCAACTGACTCACTACTAAGATCTAAAATTCAGTTCTCCTCACTGTCTATCATACAATTCTTAGTATTTCAGTGTTGAGAATTTGGTGTTGAATCCAACCCATTCTCACTAATTTATGTTTTTCCTTCTCCTTTTAACCTTTCTGCTTGAAAATGTTGTGAAATTGTAAGGAGAATTCTTCTTTGGTCACTCCTGGTGAGTGAGGAGAGTGAGTGAAAGACTTAAAAAGGCTTTTTGAAATTTTCTTAAAGATGCCCTGATATATATCAATGGGAGAGCATCTTCCAGTGACAGGAACCCCTTATAGGACTGGCACTTGAGTCAAATGTGCTTGTTAGATATATAGTTTCGCTGGATAGTTTATTGATAACTACTTTGGAAACCAACAACTAAATTTTACAGTTACTATGAAAAGATGATATTGATGATTACATTAATAGGACTACCCATAGTTTAAAACAAGTTGGTTTAAAAATGTTTGTAAAATATGTTATGTTTGTCAATAAAATGTGTCGAAGAAATATGGAAGTCTAGTAAAATCATTCAGGCCTTTAGTACATTAAAAGTAACAAAACTGTTTCCAGATCTGTTTGTCTTGAAGACAGGCCTAAACTTCCATATGTTTCTTAGGTTCAAGGTAACTGTGTCACAAGCAAGGACGAGGTTACTGAGCTTTTTCTGTTCCCTCTATATGACTTCCTTAACCTTTTAACCTCCAGAAGTGATAAACATGTAACTTCTCCCCATAATATCCATTCAATTATCCAGCAAACAGGTAGTGAGAATACTCAAACTTGTCAGGAAGAGGTTGTTTCCTTGATCTAACACCAAATTCTTGTAACTAATTTAAAAGGAAATGTGTAGCAGCTAGAAGGGGGAAACAACAATCAGATCTTAGGATTTAAAGGGTTAAATAGTTTATCAATTAGTTCCTGATGGCTGTCTGAAAGTTTAAGTAAGCCTGATTCAACCAATGCTCCATTATATCAGCAAAAAGAAAAAAATGACATGCATAGCCTGCACTTTTACTACTCCTTCCAGTCCATTGGAGAGGTACATGGGGAGACTGTTCTAAAAGACAGAACAAGCATACTCTGTGACAGGGACAAATGAAAGAGTAGAAAAACTGAACTAGCTCGCAAGTACAAAAACCAGAGTTTATTATACAAGCATGTCTTGCCCTTCTTGATGATGGAGTCAATGTGACAGTTCCATTTCATATCATTGGAGATGTTGAGGCCTAGTATTTGGCACTGGAAACTAGATCAATCAGCACATCATGAACAACAACTGAATTAAATAAAGTAGTGTTGTTAATGTTGCTACCTCATTCCCAGACTCCAAACTTTATTGCAGTCTCTCTTGAGTCAATTACCATTAAACCATGGACAACTCCATCACAAAAATATTTCTTGATTGTAAGTATTGTCTAGTTTTTTCCTCTCTTATTTATGGCCAATGCACTTTGTGCCCAGGCCATAAATACCAGCAGAAAAAACTCAGTCTGTACCCCACAGTGTGCACCTCTAACTTGGCTAGTAAGAGATTTGTTATCATGACAGTAATAGTAAAAATAATGGATTTCATCAGTGGCATATCCCCAAAGTGGCTCTTTATTTACTGTTTCTAGGCCAAAATTGGAACCTGGAGCGTTGGTTTATGGCGTAGAACACTGGACTGGCTGTAGTATGATTTAATGGTGTAAAAAATCAAGGCACAGAATAATTGGTTAAATGTTTAATCTGTTTCTTTATATGAATACTTTCACTTACAGTCAAGACTTAAAACAAATTGGTTGAACCTTTTGATCAAAAGTGACTAGCATCTAATTTCTCCTCACAATATCACCCCTAAATCAAACATTAAGGTCATGAGAACAAAGGAATTGATCACCACTTATGGAAGCTCTTCTTTGTCAAACAAATTCTCCTTGTCAGCACCTCAGGAAATGTATAGAGAACAGTATGGAGAATATGCATACTGATGTTAGGGTGTGAAGAGTTGTTGCTAAGTTGCACTTAGTTAACATTTTAAGAGATTTAATGTAAGAGGCCTATAAATTAATTGTTGGAAAAATCCAAATTTCCTCTACATGAATTCAATAACCAGTATACTGAGTAATATGTCAGGAAACTTCTAAACAAAAACAAAGTGCAATTATTACCATTTATATATTCAGTCTCCTACTCCTTTTTAAAAAAGCATTGACCTTTCAACAGTACTGCCTCTCTATCAGGTGAAATTGTCAACATTGATGTGGGCATTTACCAGTTTATCGAGATTGACCCTTCTACTCTGAAAATCACAGCACTATTTTTGCTTGATGATACAAAGAGTGTCATCAAAAATGATTTACATTAATCAGCTCTACCCTTATCTTTTTACTGGCACTATCATGTATAACAAAATTTACATGATGGTCTAAAGCTCGGAAGTAAAGCTAAGTGGTACTTTGGTTTATTTCTTCACCTCCTTCTCCAGAACAGCCAGTGTAAGAGAATGGGATTGATAATCGTGAAAGTAAAGAAAATCATTTTTGACCAAAATCCAACTGAGTTGTGTTCAACATTTCTCTCCAGTTCATTAACTCTACTATTTAGAAGTTGCATCTGCAGGATTAATTTTCTTGAGTCAGGTGAGTTGCCTCCCAAATAATGGCCAATATCACTGTCACTTTCTAAAGTAGTTCCTTCTCCTATCACCTCAAGACCAACAGCAATGCTGTAGAAAGAATAAATTCAGTTCATAATGAAAAACCATGCAGGGCAATATGGTTTACTTTCTATCCAGAGCTAAATGGGGTTTAGAAGGGGGGAGGGGGGAAGAGGAGAAGAGGGGCAATCAAATGAATGCCTCTCCTCTTTGCAGACAGAAAGCAATAATTTGTGATTGTAAAATAGCATGGTATCCCAACAAATACCACTTAAACAACACCAATAGCCTCCCTCCCTTCCCCCTGTCCGAAAAATCTTCGCTGCACTCTTGTCAAACATTTCAGCTGCTTAATTGTAACTTTAAATAATGATAAAATTGAAATTATGCTATAAAAGCACCCGCAACAAACAAGGTTTAAAAGTGATGGATATTTAAAACAAAAATGACTATTATGGCTAAAAAACATAATTCTTCGACCGACTGTGTCGATGGCTAGTGCTATTTACTAGTAAAACCTAGAGAATACTCATCTTTTAATCAAGGATTAAATATAAGAATCTCGATTTCAAAATATCATGAAGAACTAATTTGATAGATTTTCAAACAAGCAACGTGTATGACCATTCTCTAAGCGGAGAAAGGGCAGAAAAAGACGTCGGATCTTGATCGAAAACCAAAATATCTAATATAATTAATTCAAACACACCTTTCATCGTCAATGTCTCTGGCGGCATTCGTTCTGCGATTTGTGTTTCCACGAGCTGCTGTTGGCGAACCACTTACAGGCGCGGTTCTAGTTTGAGGATAATGCGCTGATTTTGTATCTTCAACGGTCAGTGTTCGTGGAGGAGTTATCATGCTACTCAAAGAGTTGACTGCCACCATTTCATCTTTTAAATCTCTCGGAATGTCACTTTTGGGCGAGTACGAACCAAGTTCAATTCTGTCAGGGATCGACATGGGCACTCTATCGCTGAGAATCTTTTTCGGTTCGTTCAGTAAGTACTCTTCATCACCCCCTTGTACAGTGATTGTCTGAGGGATCCTCATTTTTTGAGAGAGATCTCCGTCGAGTCTTCCGTCATGAAAGTCAAACGGTATGTTTGAAGACAACTCAGAAGACACCCCCGCCATTTTGTTGATTTCAAACGGATCTGACGACCCAATACATGCTGGTCAGCCGTATCTCTAAAAACTTTCACGTCTTTCGTCGCAAAACACATGTTACAACGTGTTAAATATCATCTCAACATAATGATTTATTCAGAGTAATTACCAACTGCCGTTACAAGGCGTGCCCAATAAGGCCTTTAGCACCGAGTGAGCTTCAACCAATTATTTTTGTGTCCAGCAAGCGCGAATGGAATAACCATTTTACTCAATTCCATCAAATCCTGGATATTTGGGTATTTGGAGCATTTTTCAGCTCTGCCACGGTTTGCTGCAACAGTTGGTGCATTGCATTTTCATATGAGGTGACTCGGAATATGAGCTGATAGCCGGGGTTGAATGAACCAATCAGAACACTAGAAATGCATCATTTGGAGTAGAAATTTTAAAAACGTGCAATAAACAAAAGATTTAGGGCTAAATTTCCGCGCCAGTTCCGCTGCAACAATTTGTTTTGTTTTCTGTGAGTCCAATGGAGAACTACGACCCTTTCAACTTTTTCCGTGTTTTTTTTGTTGTTGTTTTTTTACGCAGCTGCTTCTCATTGACAAAGTAAGTTAGGTCAGCACAGAAGTAGGCCTCAATCCTTAATTGTAAGTGGACTAATCTTCATTCTATTTTCAACCATGCGACATCAGTTTCCTATGTCTTTATTTGTTTCCTTTCTACCATTCCACCATCATTCATTTTCTTATTTCACTTTCGTTGATAAGAGTGTTTTCTTCCCGTTTTTCAGGGGTAGAGAGAAAACACAAGACTGGCATAAAAGGTACGTTCCAAAGGAGGACGCGTTAATCGATGTTTTCGCTTCACTCGCCCGAACAAGGCAAAACAGGAACCGCCTTTTCTTTAAGCTAGACTGACAGTTTTTTCTTAAGAAAACAGAGAAGTCTGATTATCCATCTTACAAGTCAATACTTATGGGAAGCTTAATCAATTGGATATTGATATTGACAGGCCCTCTTTTGCGTTGCGGGATGAGCCGCGGTGATGCCCGTGACATTCGAGCCAACGAGCGAAGCGAGCGTGCGAGAGGGCCCCCGGCTTGGCTTTGGTCTCGATGTCTCCACCGTTCGTACCACAACGCAAATAGTCCATTGTACAGTTTTGTGCTTGGTTTCCAGGCCTTTAAACAAGAGTGAGGCCAAGGTTGACCTTACTATAATACAAACCTTGCCGCTTTTAAAATAAAAATTACTTTGTTATCACGCTGACTAGATACAGGTCTCTATCACAACACAGTTACCATCAGCCTCACTCCTAATCAAAGGCTTGGCAACTAAGTACACAACTGTAAAATGGCCTATTAGAACGTTATGTAAATTCGTAGTGTGATGGGCTCTTTTTTAAATTCTTGCACCGACAGTTTTTCAGTTGTGGCGTTAAAGGACCTTATCCTATCAACGCTTCCATTTTCAAAGGATATCACAGCTTCTTGTTATAGATATCAATGACAAAAAAATTTAAGGTGGCGGGGCTGTTGTAAAAGCGTAATTGCATTTCCAGGGTAATACTTCTTCACACTACCTGGAGAAGAAGAGGGTCTCTAGAAACTTTTTGATGGTCCTTCTGACCCTTCGCTTGGTCCAGGCTTCGTCTTCCTTAAGAAGACCATGATAGTACCCAGAATTTGCACTACAAAAAGTACGAGACTAAGGCTTTCAATCTGCACACGGGAAAGAATATTAGGAAGATTGTTGAAATGGTTTTTGATTTAAGTATTTAAAGCGATCAGAGATTGTACCGGTTCTGACTTACTAGGTTCTATGACTGCGACCTCTCTTAGTGTATTTTTTTAAAAATATTCCGTGTTCTTTAGATCAGGACCCCCTCCCTCCCTAAACGGCGATTCAAAATTCCCAGGTCCCCCCTTGTATCACGCGTTAATTTTGGAAGCGAAACATGCAACACAAAAAGTATGTAGCTAAATGAAAAGCATGTAGCTAAATGAAAAGCATGTAACACGAAAAGCAAATAACAAATGATTGAATACTTTATTGTGCATCGGATTAGAAACAAAATTTTGACAATACACTTGGCGTTCAAAAGGAAATTTCAAAAAATGCTTAGAAACAATGGAAAATGGAAACAAAGGCTTTCTAATTAATAAAAATAAAATTTTTTTACAAGCTTATTTTGAATATAATACCGATTATACAACATACTGCACATGCAAGTTTAACTTGAAAAAAAGGTTTGCTATCTTTTTGTAAAATGATTGTGATTAAAAAAAAATTAAGAAAGATATGCTTTAAACTCATCAGGTTTACTGGTCAAGCTCATAAGCATCCTCTTCGTCCAGAAATCCATTCTTCTTAAAATACGCCAGTTCCCTTTCTGTGAAGAATAATCGAAAAAAACTCATCAAACAACAGCATGAATTTAATTTCAGATTTCATTCATTCTCAAGGTTAAAAAAAAGATGTGGGGTTGCTATCAGAATCTATGGTAAGCCTCTTGGATAATAATACACTTAACCAACCCTTCCCTCCCCCTACTTAGTTTGCCAGTTGACATTTTCATTTTGGTGTATCTTTGGTGTCATTTAATTTTTAATTCTGGTTTGCTTACGGTTAGTTCTGATTTCCTGCCTTTCTTCATTTTGGTTTGGAGAAAAGTTTCGCGGAATGATATGAAAGGCTGAATTATACAGGCATCTCGATTGGTTCTTGGAGGGAAACGCATCGAGGACGTCACTATTAACAACCCTTTGCTTTTAACCTTTAAACACAAGTAGATTTCATGTTGCCATGGGTCTGTACAGTAATTAATGACAGTTGACGTCAAAATGTGGCCAGAACATTAGAGCCATACTCGGCTGTGATGATTTTTTGTTTTTGTTTTTTTTTTTTGACATTATCTGTGATCTATTACTGAACAGACGCACCCCAACATGATATCTATTTGATAATTATTAGTCACTCATTCTCTGCTTTGTTAAACAATGAACTTTATTTTCTAAGATATCAAAAACATATTAATGCCATGCAACCAATGTCAGGTCAGTTACACGATTGAAAATATCCAAATACCCGCAATCATCGTCCCCTTGTTGTTTAGCAGAACAGCAGTTCATCTTTGATCTTAACTTTGATCAATATCGTGCGGCTTGCTATCAAGTTTTCAAATTATGCCACAATACCTAAACTTGTCCTAAATCTCTTAGTGTTATAATGTAGTGGCTTCATCTCTCAATGCAGAAAACTTTTTTCTGGAAATGAGATGTGTAAACCGAATAACTTACCCAACTTCTTGGTGTCCATGACCATTTTCTCCACAGAAGGCAGATCTCTGAAGCGAGACGCACTTACACGGTGATCAGCGGCCTCTTCGGCTTCATCTTCATCGTCAGATGGTTCATCTGCCTCTTTCTCGGCGTAGTCTTCCTCTTGACTTTCATCCATTTCTTGAGGTACTTCCTCAGCTGCATCTTCTTCCAGAGGCACGTCTTCGGCCTCCTCTTCCTCTTTGGCTTCATCCTCTGCCTTCTCACCTGCATCGTCGTTATGACCTGTCTCTTCTGCCTCATCTTCTTCCTTCGCTGCCTCCTCTTCTTCCTTGGCCTCATCTTCCTCTTGAGGTACTTCCTCTATCTCATCATCTGCAAAGGCGTCATCATCATATTTATCCTCGTCTGATTCATCTTCGTTCTGGCTAACTTCCGCGGCCTCATCCTCCTCCTCTGATGTGTCTTCAGCATCCTCCTCCTTTTCAGGCTCATCTTCCTCCTTTGCTTCGTCCTCATCGGTGGGCATCTCTGCTTCGTCCTCATTGGTGGGCATCTCTGCTTCGTCTTTTACAGAATCTTCCTTTGCTTCATCCTGCTGAGCTGTATCCTCCTCTACTGGTGCACTATGGGCCTCATCATCTTGTGCGGCCTCAGCTTCCTCTTCGGCTGTTTCCAAAGCATCGTCTGCAAAGTCGTTCGATACTTCTTCGGGTTCATCGTCAGACGGAAGGGCCTCATCCTCAGCATCTTCGGTTTCTTCCGCCTCGACGTCATTGGGATCCTCCTCGAAATACTCCGCTTCACTATCGTCATCTTCTACTGGCGCACTGTAAGATTCCTCTTCGTCATCACTCCTCAACGGCTCCTCTTCACGATAAAGCGACTCCTCGGCATCTTCTTCTCTAGAATATTTTGGAAAAGACCTATCGTCGTTCAGTTCACGATCGTAGTCATTGTCGTCCTCCTCATACTCTCCCTCGTCTTCCTCAGCCTTGTTCTTGTCGTCTTCTACAGAAAAAGGCAAAGCAAACTGTAAATTCATCAATTGTGGCAGAAGGTGTTTGAAAAATTTTGAATTGAGTGTGTTTAGGGATTGCTTGGGGTTTCCATTGCTAAGCCCTGTGATTGCTCCATACAGCTTGCGTCCTCTTCTAAACCAGTCAGATGCAAACTAAAACAAATCGCGACTCGGTCACTCGGGCTTTCCAACGCTTCTGAGTTGTTTTGTTTTGTTTTTAGTTCTCATTGGTTCGTCGAGAAATTTTCTTTTCTCTGATTGGCTCTCGTGATTACTTTAATTTGGTTTTTTAAAACCAAATTCAAAACGCGCTCCACGTCAATAAAGTTGTGCTTGTGAATACTTTCCCCCTGGGGATTTAAATTTTTACTTCACGGATCAACTGAGAAGGTAACCGTGATCATTGCGGTACTGACGCAACCGTCCTAGCGAGTAGTTATCAGATGAACGATTGAACTCACCGACAAATAGGAGTGGCAAGCTTTGATGTTAACGAATTGAACAGAAGATTTGCGCGGTTTTGTTTCAATCATTAAAAGAGAGGGCGTGGGTTAATAAGCAGTCTGAAGTATTAGCGGAGATGTTTGAGACTTTTTTATTTCCTGACATTAAATCTCTTGGTTGTAGAGAGCTATATTCACGTAACTAAGGCCAAGAGTTCTTAAACTCTGAAATAAGTCTTATGATGGAGGATTTCGCGCGCTACGCCTCTAAAACCTCTTAGAATATAATTTTGTAAACGCTAAAATCAAGGGTCAGAGAGTGAAAATTAATTTTGATCCATTGCTGTCAAACTGAGAGAAATGATGAATTCATTTTTCATTAAATCAATTGAAAGTACTCAACATTTCACACGCAGTAGAATAGAAGGATGCATTGTATTTACAGCGTGATGGATGTGTCTTGCTCTGCGGGGTAGAATATTTTCATGTCGAAAGGATCCTCCTAAGGAGAAAGCTATTGTACTTGTCTTTCTCCGTAAGAAAGAAATTGGATTTTTGTCTTCCATTTGCAATAAAGGATAGCCTGAGTGAAATTGTGTGATGAGAATGGCGCCTCGCCCTCAGGGTGTAATGTTCCCATATTTGCTCGCTCGCCTCTCGTGGGGAGCTGTTGTACTTCTCCGTTCTCCGTGAAAAAAAACAATCGAGCTCGCTTTTCTTTGATGTTTTCTAAAGGTTATGCTTGGATGACGAAAAAGCGTTTATTAATATTGCTTGTCATATGGTGATTAATAAGCGGAAAACTTTCCCCAGTTAACCAAGGCTGACAAATATTCTGAAACACTCACGTTAATTGCCATACAACTGTTATTCTGGCAATGTTTTGATCAATATTCTAGCTTTTGTCTGGACGAGAAATTTTGCGACTTATGTCCAAGAGTCAGTTATCAGTTTCAAAATTGGAAATCAAACATCCTTTACTGAACAAGTTCTATAAAATATCCGAATTAGTAGAAGTGGATTACCGTGCGGTCGCGGTTATGTCTACACCCCTTGGTTTTATGAATATTGCACGCCTGGAAAGGAAACAAAAGGCTTTCTTCAACAGCATCTAAATTACTTGTTCGTCAAAGCGGTCTTCCGCCTGTTATGTAAATTTTGTCCAATAAGAGGCAATTGCGTTGAAAATCTTTTAAAGTTCATTAATCATAAACATTTTAAACAGCACTTTATGGCATCGCTTGCAATAATCTCCAAATTTTTTGTCTAGCGTTAAAAATTGTTTAATCAACTTTAATGCAGGAGAAGACAAGGAAAATGGCTATCAAATGGTGATATTGGGTTATTCCATGTCGAAAAATATGCCTATGGTTATTCAAGCTTAACGAATGGCAAGGTTCTCTAACTTTTCCTAGATAGAAAGCAGATTTTAAAATTTCCGATTCCAACGCTTGGTAAATATTCATGAGAGCCCTGTTGAGGGCGACTTGTGAAGGTAACAAGAAACTGTTGGCAATACCAGCTGATGTTTAAAGACTGCTAGTCATACTTCAAAAAAAAAAAAGGGCTCGGTTTAGTTTCGATTAAGCGGAGGTTCCAGTTCACTGAGATGGAGACAGCGAAGTTTTGTTATATTTAATCCGTAGTACTCATCGAAAACATGGTGATCGAAGCTGGTTGATAAAACTGACTTTACGTGCTGTGAAGAAAGTTAAGCGCTAAGGAATTTGTTGTGGTTCGATGATTTGATGAATACCTCTCCAAATATATCACAGAAATAAAGTCACATGTTGCTTTTTCCTTCCTTCCCGCTCCTTATGGCAAGTAATATTGGACTAGAATGCCCAAACTGCGTCAGTGCGCTTATTTAACGTCAAGTTGTACTAGAAAATGGTATTCAAACCTGGAGCCATAAGTTTAGAGACCATTAATCTTTAGGCAGATATATTGTTTAGGGTTAGCGATTACGATCATGACAAAATTTGTCAGTTTCTCCCTGAGGGAGTTCAAAGACAATATTCTAACTCGACCAGTATTCGAAACGATGACGATCTTTGATTGTAGCCAATTGCATTCGACCTGTTGTCAAGACGTTTTCTGTTTAATGTGAGGCACTGAAAGTTTGCGTGGGATTATGAGGGCGGATCTTTGCCTGTAGCTATGCGAGCGAGGGAGAAAAGCGTATTTATTTAGATTTTACCTGCGGCTTTCCTGTCTCTCAATACTGGTTGCAAGGTTCAGCAACCGTATGACGGATATTTATCAAAAGAACAAAAACAAGAAAGTTTCTGTTTCTCATTAAATGAGCTTTGCTGTCGAAACAGATCGTTTCGACAAAACCGGTTCGTAATCTGCATGTTTACTCAGGTAGAATCGCTTCGAAATTGAACGCTATTTCTTGTCAAAACTCCATTTCGTTCGTTTCTATCCCGTCTTTTCACTTTGGCTGACACTTTATCTGTCCACTAATAATCAACCTGCTATGGAACATTATATAACTAAGTGAGGCAATCCTCACTTTCTAAATAACTGCTTTGAAAAACTAAATTTCATACATTCAAGTTTTCTTTGCGGTAATAGATGTAACAAAAACAATTACCACGTCGGTAACTTACATGAAATTCAACGTTTATCGCTTAATATTTATTTAGGTAAGAATTTAAGTCAGTTACCGAAGCCTTTCGCAACTCACAAAAAAAAAAAAGACAGAAACAGAAACTTTGTCTTTATTTTCGATCCCTTTACGTGTTCAATGCATTTCGTGCCCTTAAATGATCAATGCCTTGAAGTAAGGAGGCTTAAATTAATAACCTGTTTCTGATGTAGAAATGATAAATCGTTTTGGCTCCTAAACTGCACTTTTTTTTTTGCAACAATCATAATTTTCGTCGCACTAATGTTGCGATCTTGAATTGGCCAAACTGTTTTTTAAATTCATTAGTTTAACTACCAGGAAAATTCACCGCAAATTATTCCTTGTTTAAATTTCGCCGTAGTCTGACTCGCTTGAATTATGATGTTACACGTACCAATATTTTCATATCTCGATTTAAAACCTTTCTAACGATGAAATTTTAAATTTCTGTGCTCTGCTCCCCCTGCGGCGAAATTTCCGCCCGTGGATTCTGAAGTCTCTAACATTATCTATGCAATTTGGTTTTTTGAAATGCAAGCTTTCGATCCTTTTAAATTGTTATCTCTAAAATAAATATAAATATCATTAAAAAAAATCCATTGGAAGACATATCTGAAAAATCCCGTTCTGAAAATGTAAAATATACGAAGATTTGCCATCGATGAAAAAAAGAATCGAAGGTTGCGTGTAAAACAGCTTTCATCCTTCGCAGATTTTTGACAAAGTCGAATTTATTGATGAGAATTGAGAATTATACCGTCACGAAATTGAGCGTATTTATACTCACTTACGGACACTGAGAGAGAGTTCTAAAGCACTTACCCGGTAGATCGCGGTTATAGAATTCATCATACAGACGTTCTCGAATGCTAGGATACTTCCCCAAGAGATCTGTAAACACCAAGTAAACATTCGCATGTGAATACAAAATGCGCACTCTGAAGGATTAATCTAGTGAAACTAGTTCAAACCTGAGTTTCTTTCGATCGGATCGCGGCGGAACAGATATCCGTCGTAAGCAGACTCGTCATAATCGGCGTTTTCCTTTGGGATAAAATCCCGACTGTAATCGTCGACATCTTCGTAAAAGGTGTTCCTCAACGGCAACGCGGTGGTCGGTGCGAAGGCCGCGAACATCATCACGAGAACGATTTTCAGCATTTTGGATAAATTCTAGCTCTACCAGCGATGCTATCTCTTCGTTTCACGGGTGTCACTTGATCTGCGGACAACTTTCGACGATTGAAATTTAGCGCTGAACGCAATCGTCTCCGAGGCCACAATGATGTTGCTGTATCGTTGCACTTCAGTTCTCTCTGAAAGTTGTTGGCGCATGAAAATTAAAATACAAAAATTTGCGTAACAAAGCACCTGCTCTCAGTATCTTATTTACATTTCAAAGGTTCATAATATACTGCAGATGTGCTTTCCGTATTAGGGCGACTGACACGTGGTTACATCGCCAGCCTATCAAAAACACACTTGGCAATAAAATGTTTACCTTAGGTCAAAACAAAGACTCACGAATTTTCTTTTAATAGCAAACACATTATCAATTTCATCTGATCGAATTTCGTTATTTTACCTCTGTATAGAAAAAGAGAAATTCAGAAATTATTGATTGATACTATGATGAAAATTAGCGGCTCTCTTTGAAATTTAGTTAAAGTGAGGAGGGAATATATTAGACTCGCATTTTTAATCTCACAACGTATGAATTTATAAAACACAGAATATTTCAGCTGAATATCGTGTACGTAGGCGGAAATAATTCTGCGCCTCTTTTTGTTTTGTTCACGACTGTGGCTATTTTTCGAAACGTGACGAAGATCAGTGAAGGACCCACTTGTAAGTTGGACTGGAGATTCGATATCTCGCAGGAAGACTCTAAAGTCACTGAGTTGTTTTACCCAAGCCCCCTTAACAACTAAAAACTACTAAAAACCATTGCGTAAAGGCTAATAGCATTGTAATATCAAAAGACAAAAATCTAATGTAATGCATGACCTTAAAAGTGTATAAAGGGGTAAGTTTCTAAAGAAACTGTGGTGCTGCGTCGGTGGGAGAGTATAGCAGGTAATTTAGTGTTAACAACTGGGTTGAAAACGTAAATTAGCCACCGTAAAGGGTAAAAAAGCTGACGTTTCGAGCGTTAGCCCTTCGTCAGAGCGATTGACGAAGGGCTAACGCTCGAAACGTCAGCTTTTTTACCCTTTACGGTGGCTAATTTACGTTTTTAACCCAGTTGTTAACACTAAATTACATTAAAAGTGTAAACTCCAAAAAATTCATTTGCTATGAATAGATTAACTGTTTAACTCCCACGAGTGACCAAGACAGAATTTCTCGTTACGATATCTTTACGATATCAACCGGATAAGTGATGAGAATAAAGAAAAATATCAATTTGGGATAATCAGTTGGTCCAATACTAAATTCTCTGAACTAACATTATAAGAATTGTATGGTTGACAGTAAAGAGAATTACAAATAAATCAAATTACAGATAAATCAATACAAGATTAAGGAGATACTAAGATTCGCAATTTTGGAAAAAGACGGCTGATGATCGATATTAAACCTGAAAATACAATATTGAACTGCAAGGATTGAATTAGTTGCACTTAAAGATCTTAAACATTTTCTAATCACCAGTAACTACGTTTAAACTTAGAGATGTGGTTTAAAATCTAAAAAACCAAACTTCTTCAACAATTTTGTTTGGTCGAGGGTCAATGGTCTACATTCCGTCAAGCAACCGTTGGTGATTTCTAACAAGAAGAGGATATCATTAATCAAAATATTATATACCCTTGCATTCATCTAGTGACTGCGCTCTCCTTAGTGATTTATGTTGCTCAGACTTGAAATTTTGATTTCTAGCAACTAAACCAAGCGCTTTCCTGCTGGGAGAATCATTAATTACATTCTCATAAGCTAAGAATGTTGGTCAAGTTGGTCGAGGAGAGCTATATTCAATAATGTATAGAGTAAGCCTTGTTTCCCACAAATATATTCATAGAATTTCGAAAAGTAATGTCCCGATCTGAGAAGTTTTCCTCCCGCGCCATCGATCTAACACGTCGCGCGATCTAAACATGCCCTGGTTGAAAATAAGGAATATTCTAAGGAAAAAGAAAACCGGACAAAGTCCAAGGGAAATTCTCTTTGGGATATTAACAATTTATAATTTATATCAGTCAGTTCACTCAGTGATAATTATTACGTACTCTGGACCAAGCCATGCGGCTTCTACTCCTTGCTCCAGAGCAAAATCATAACCTTCCAATGCACATAATACTACTCACTTCCTTATGCAGCTTATATTTTATATAAAGGCGGAATAAATCTAGTTTCATCTACTGATTTGATCATGAAAATTAGCCAAAATATATATAATTGGCCCACACATATATATGTAGGCTCTTTAGTATCCTTTCTAGTCTGGGCAGAGATTTCTAACACAGAGGAAGTGAGTTCAGCGGCAGGACACAGATAGGACAAAGGATGTACAAAAAATTGAGATTGAAACTTTTGAAAACTGTGGTTTAAAATATTCATCTTATAGGCTTGTGTCCTACGCTGTACTTCACAGACATTCAATATCAAAACCGACTATCGGGTTTTTGTTTAAACGGAAGATCCAATATTCATTTCCATTTAAAAAAACTTAACGCATCACTGATCAGACCATAATCAATTGCCTACTTACAAGAATTGTTAAAGGTGATTCAAAGAATTCACATAAAAAAATGCTTTTCTCTTCTTGCTCGTAGCTTAGTGAGATCACGAGATTGGAACTTAAATGCGTCAGAAGCAAATGTATATGTATTTGCAGTCGCAATGCCTCAGCATTCAGTCCAGGATAAGCAGTCCAGCTTGGAGCTTTCATTCGGGAGAAAAATATGCTCTTATGAATATTTTTCACTCAATGCTCACTGTTTTCTTCGAGCTTGGTTCTCAAGATCAGTGTTCGGTGGCAAAGAAGATAGATTGGGTGTTTTAGACAAATGGATAAGAGCGCGTACGATCTGGTGAAATTGAAAATCGCACCCATAATGGTAGTGAAAAAGTACAAGAAATCAGCGTCGAATTAATCTGAACATTTCCATTCATTTCGGTTGTGCTAATGACTCATACGGTTACTATACAGTTTCGGAGTCGCGAGCGGAAGCAGAAGAGGCAAGAAAATTTCAATGATTTCACAGAAAACTTCAATTTATGCAAATTTATATGGTCCTAAACCTTTTAAACACGTGACAAGTCACTAGGCAACGTTAGTGCGCTAGTGCATTTCGAAAGAGTTCGCCGATTTTAAGCAGAATCTAGATCCAAACCAAATCAAATTACCATGGTAAGAATCAGAAGCGAGATAAACAAGACCTTAAACTCGCTGTCCCCACTATCATTCTATTCAACAAAAGAACTAATAGCGTGCAAGGACTGCCGGGAATGCAAGAATCCCAAAGTATCCCATGGGAGAAGAGGAACGCGAGGAGACGTGGGAAAGAAAATATCACGTTTTGTCGCAGTAGAGCCGGGGCCGTGTGGAAAACAGGGCAATGCTGGACCACCAGACCCGATTAGGGTAACCGGGAATCAAAGGAGTCCCGGGTATAAGAGGGTCACCCGGTGCTAAGATAGACCCCAAACGGTCAGAGAAAAATTAAAGTGCAGTGTTCCAATGTTCTGTGAGTGGTAATCCTACACCGACACTACGTGGTTAGAGGTAAAAAAATCTTCCTAAGTAGTCGTTCTCATTTTGGTCAAGGTGGGAGATGACAAATGCGTCACGTGACTCTTGACGACGCGGGTAAATACACCTGCACAAGAAGAAACTTATCAAGCACCGCAAACCATACAGCCCGACTGATTATTGAAGGTAAGCACTTGCTATGAACAAGATAAAATTGGACTCGAGGGCCGAATTAATTCGGAACACGATTTCATCTACCCCAGATCTAAATGCTAGCAGTACCAATATTATCATGATTGTTTTTATTACCGCCATCGTTAAAAGTTTTTTAAAGTTGTTTATCATGGGTGAACTTTGACATATATGTATAACTCTTCTCCTCGTAGCACCTCCTCGGGTTCAACTAGCTTGAAGTCCGACCAAAACAAAAGTAGGTGAAAACGCTGCGCTGCCAAAGTGCCACGTAACGGGTTTTCCAGTACAAGTTATCTCTCGGCGTAAGCTACCAGTTTCTCTGTCAAAAGACCGGACTTCTCAGGTTGAAGCCATTTTGACTGTGGGAGCCGCCCAAAAACAAGACACTGGACTGTACGTCTGCCACGCCAAGAATTCATTAGGGGAGCATTAACTGTTACCTCGCTGTTTGTCTGGTTTGTTCCAACATTTAAAGCAAGGTTACCGCAAAATTTTCCAAAAGTCTTTGGGATGACATGGCTCTTAGATTGCCCTCCGCCCTCAAGTATTTCTTGGAGGAGATTTAACGGTGCCAGAGATGCGAGTATGACGAGATTCGACAAGACGAGTTAAGAAGATATCTAACTCAAAGAGGCTGATTATGGAGTGTTCATTTGTGAAGCAAACGTGCTTTTCTATACTATCGAGGCTAGAAACGAGGTAGTTGTAAAAGGTAAATGATTTTCCACATAGCAATTGAAGGAATTATGCATGCAATGAGTGTTAGTCGTGATTGAGCCATACATGTTTGTTTAAAGCAACGGCAAGTGAAAAGCTATCAAAATAGAGGTTACTACATTTACCTCACTTTTAAGAGTGTCGAGGGCAAACAAACGTATTGTTTTTCAAATGGCCATTAAAGATATTACTGCTCTGGTGCACTGGCATGCAATTTGCGTTATTGCAGCCAGGACCAGTTGCCTCGAGTTTGGCGGAGCAAAATGTCAATGGCTGAATTTTTATAGGAAAGGGTGTATAGATGTATACTACAAATCCCCCCGATTATTCTAAGCAGCATATGTTTATTTGCGGCCTTTCCCCTTCCAAAACTCGAGAACAAAAATTTATCTTTCAAATCGGCACTCTTAATCCCCACGGTATCGATCAACAAGCACTTTTCATTCTACTTATTCATTCTTGTTTTCCCGTCACCATATTCCATCCAATAGCGTAGGTCTTAGCCTTTTCATTTTGCAAAGAGGCTGCGAAGTACTGGATCGCACTAAATCATGGCGAGTTGTATATGGTATTTGACGCAAGGTGTAGTTCTTATCTCTAGCAAATCATGCTCTGTTGTTTGAGAGCACTTGTTTTTAACAAAGATTCGACATGTTTTAGATGATAACCAATTTTTCGTGAAGTTGCTAAGTGCGGGGGCTATGGGAAATATTTGCATATTCTCTGTTGGATTGTTCCTTGAGGGTAATGTTGACCTTGTCACGATACAAACCTTGCTTTTCAAATGCAAATTACTTTGTTATCATACTAACTTGATTCTGGTCTCTATGACAACAAGGTCACCTTCAGCCTCACTCCAAATCAAAGGCTTGGCATCTAAGTACACAGCTGTGCTTAGCTGCTATCAATAATATATGAAAAGAAGTTTTTCTTTTCCGTTTTTGAGAGTTATTGCGGCTTATAAAACCAAGGTTAAACTGAAGCGTCTTTCTATTTATGACATTCAAAAATTTATTCAATGCTTCCAAGATAAGAGAGAGAGTACCATTAATCTCGAGAATTACTCAGGAATGAGAAGTTGTCTTTTATATTTGAAAGTGAAATATCGCTAACACCTGCAAACACTTTAGAATGCAACTTCTATTGACGCATGAAGCCGTGACGGATTATAGCTTCTGTAAAAAGAAAGGAGAAAAGGAAATGAATGAAGTTACAGTAGTTTTGCCATTTTATCAAAACCATGATCACTTTTAAAATCAAAGTTTTCCAAAGTTTTCATGATGTGCAAAGCCGTTCGTGACTTTAGATGATGTCGCAAACAGGCATTTATTTTCAAAACAAAAAGAGAAAAAAGGAATTTAATTAAAGACGATCAGGGGTCCTTTTTATTCATTTTTTTAGAGTGCAAGACGCCTTTTTTGGCGTGATTCCATTTTGTTATTTTTATTTTGTTATTTCATCCTATAAAGATTCCTCTAACACTGTTTTTATCTTAACCCTGATGAAAATTCTAAGAAAATCACCTGTGTTTTATTCATTCCCAGGTTACATTTTAGGTATTTATACCACTTCAAAAAGTTGCAGCATTTTTTAATAGATTCTATTTTTTCAAGGCTGTAACAATAAAACAGCACATTTTCGTTTTAAAGGACATAGAGGAACAAGAAATTAATTGTTAAGAACGGGATGTATATAGACTTTTGTGTGAGGAACTACAGTTGCAAGAAACAAGTGCCGATGACAGCATCGTTTTGGAGGGTTGATCAACGACAAACATGAAATAAATTATTAAGAGCATGACAGATATTGACTATTGTGACATCAATTACTGTTACAAGAAACAAGTGCCGATGACAGCATCGTATCTGAGGGTTGACCAACGACAAACAGGAAATAAATTATTAAGAGCATGACAGATATTGATTATTGTGACAGCAACTAGTCACAAAAAACAAGTGCCGATGACGGCATAGTTTTTAGAGGGTTTTTTTCATTCCTCGCTAAAACCCTGGAAGAAGTGTGTTACATGCTAAAAAAAAGGTAAGTCAGTTTGCTTTGACGCTAGCAAGTTAAAAACTGAGAATAAGACACCTCATTTAAATCATATGGATATGGTATGGTATTTATTCCTATCTGAAAAAAAAAGAAAAAAAAAAAAAGAAAAATACATTCCGAAAAACTAAGATGAGATGATCCCCTCTCCTGAGGTTAGCGAAACTTCAGATCCATTTTCTTTTTATGCAGTTCTTGCAGCTATGTAATGGGATAAAATGTTGGAATTACAATAGTATCTCTAATTCTCGAACTAACAGAGAAGGGACCTTTAATTCGACGGATTCACAACGTGAGCCTTTTATCACTTTTTTCAAGCTATTTGTTCAAAGAGAATATGTTAATTAACGATGAAAACTGTCCTTATCAAATCTCCAATTTTAAGGTGCAATGCAGCGTAGAAGACGTAAGTCGGGTCTTGCTGCTCGAAACTTGGGCAGGGAATAAGAGACGTTGAAACTTTCTTTCTTTTTATCGACTTTCTACAACTTTTTGGGGCTTAGTCTTGTGTGACGCAAGGTTTCTGAACACTTTGTTTCTTTAATGTTGAGCAAGAAAAAATTCTTCAATGTGTCAGTTTTTAATTTAGGTTAATTATTAAGCTTCCCATCCGACATTCATATCCTAGCAGTGTGCACGAAGTTTGTCATCAGGCCTAGCCTGCCACGAGTTGATAGAACATCCGAAGTACTAATCAGAAGGCCGTAGGTTCGACTCCTATTGCGAGCACTCTGAGTTCTTTTTCTTCGGGTATACCCGTGTCTTTCACTAAAAATATCATATTATAAAAAACCTCGATGATTCCATTTTATATACCGTATGTACACAGATGATTCCGAAACATCACCATAGATCGTCATCCATAGAAGGTGTGTGTATTTAGTTTAAGGATGATGATAGTTGAGTTTATAAAACTCTTTTTATATCTCCAAGATTTTGAAGTCTTTTTGTGCTATGAAGCCAATCAAATGATCAAAAAATTGTGCCAATTGTGCGGGGATTTGCTTTAAGAGCTAATGTCAGCATGCATGGAACTAACAGCGGCAAGTCGTATCAGGCACACCATGTATATTTCAAAGTCGCTAACAAGTAAATTTTGCCGGACTTTGAGTTCGTCTCAAGATAGAACAACACAAATACACAGAAAAAATTTTACAGTAACTTTTTAACCATCCTTTTGTCTCTTAAAAACTTGAAGCTCAGCAGATTCTGTCATATCGGTCATTGTTAACCCTTAACGTACCGACTACGCATATATGCGTAGAAATATACGACGTGACTTTAACGCGCAATTGTGGTGAATTATTGGGGCTTGGGCACTGGTGTTTCATTTCAAATGACTTAACATAAAGTATAGTTTGAGGCTGTGAAAGAAAATGGCCGATTTGGCGAGTTGTATTAAAGAATTTGGAAATTTAAATTTCGAGTGTGTATTGTCTGTGGTTTTTTAAAAATGGCGGCGTGCGAAATATCTCTTGAAGCATTCTGTGCGACTGGAAGCGATGAAAACGATGTGGAAATCGAATTTATCGACGAAGACAATTTACCTTCGGCTTGTATCAGTGTTTTGGAGCATCCCGAGTCAGAAGAAGAAATTGACTCCGATGATTTGGCAGAATCTAGTGGGGATGAGTCAGAAGAACTGGAAAGTGAACAAGATGAAGACCCAGAGGAGGAAGAAGAAGTATCGGCATAGAGCGAAGAAATAACGAGAAGGGATGATATTGATTTCAGTGAACTCGTGGGATTGGCAGAAAATGTAAACATTAGATCTTTGACATCAAGCAAAGGGTTTTTTTATTTGTTCTTCACTGCTCAGGTATGGGAGTTGTTAGTTGCTCAGACTAATCTGTATGCAAATCAGAAACGAGGAGCTGCAGAAAATTCTGTGTGGTATCCAGTATCTGTGGAAGAAATGAAAGGTTGGGTTGCCATTTATTTGTGTATGGGAATTATTAACAATTATTAAAAGTCAGCTCATATGCAAGGCTAATGAGAGGTGCTGTGTGGTATTATAAGATTTTTTTCTATATCGTAGAAGTGTGTGTTTCAAATGCACACATATTGGAGAGAAAATCTCCATGTCATACCACTAGAACTGCTTTAGACTTCAGAAAGTCATTGATAAGTCACTTGATTGAAGGAAAGTCCTTTAGAAGGGACACTCAAATGCGGCCACCACCCACTTCTGAAATTCGATTTAATCAAGAACACTTTCACCACCTGGTAAGCAACGACAAAAGATCTACTTGCAAGGTTCACTTACAGCATGTAGGTACCTTTTATAGCTGTGCAGTGTGTGGAGTATGCATGTGCCTGGAGCCCTGTTTTCTCAGGTATCACACATTGAGAGACTTCTATTTCAATGATGAAGATCATGAAGGCCCCAGATGTCTGAAAGAAGGAAGAGGGAGGCCTCACACCAGAGGAAGAGGAAGAGTTCTCCAAAATTGAACATGCATAGACAAATTTGATAATTGAAAAGAAATAAAAAAGGCAAGGTGATATATGAGACAATAAAAGTGACTTACTCTAAGACTTTCTCAAGATTAGATTTTGTTACTAATAAGATAATTCATGCCCTTACAATAATCTTAATGGGTCAAATTTGTGTGCAGAGAAGTGTTTTTAACCCTTAAAATGATATTTTCAATGTGTGAAGGTCATGCTTTTTTTGAGAAAAAGCAATAGTTCTGAAATTTATTTGTTACAGGATTCTTTCAATTAGTCCTTCTTGAAACTTCCAATAATTATGCTAATTATGCATGCCGTGACGTCATCATATGATGTGTATCCCATAATAAGTTAAACAAATTGATAGAAAATTTTCTACTGGTTGATGTTACTTTTCAACAGAGGAAAAGTATGTCGGACAAAAATATTAGCCAAAAAAATAAACATTACTTTTCCAGCTTCAATAATGACAGGAGATTAAGTTTAGGTGATAAAACAAAGGATTATGTTGACAGAAATACCAGAGGTCAAGTACATTCGTTACATGAGGTCCCACAACTTGGGTAATATCAACGGTGAAAATTTGCATATTTGAGCGATCGAACGAAAAAAATTATTTCTCGAAAACTAAAATATATTTTCACAAAAAAACTACACCACAATTATTAGGATATATTGGGCTACAAACTATGAAAGTAGGAGTGAAATCGAACTTTGGGCGACTTCCCAAAATATTTTAAATTTGTTCGATTGATACTGACATCCTCTCTTAATACGTGTAAAGCGTGGAGATGAGCTTGTTTAAAACCTATGGCCTTTGCAATTGTATCGGCTTGATTTGCTTTTCTAGTTAGAATGGCGAAATAACGAATTGCATTATTAAAAAGTGGACTCTTGCCAAGGAAACAATTGGGCGGAGAGAATACTAAAAGATGCCCTCAATTATTTTAATTAAATCTAATAAAGAAAGATGTTTTTCGTCTTGTCACTAGTGTGAGACAAAGAAAAATTCAGAGTCCCCATGAGGAACTATGTACTTTTGTTATTGCTAACATGCAGTCGATTCAGAATTGATTCCTACGTTGCTTCATGTTTGTTTGTCTGTCTATCTGTTGTCATAACTTTTTGTCTGCTGGTTTGGCTAAGTAATCTACACTTTCCAATTTCAGCATCAGCGGGAATGGCGTGGAATTCAAGCTTCTTAATCCTTCTGGCCTCTCTGTATCTCATGGACTTCTCTACTGCTAAAACTCCATGCAAGACAAAAGTAAGCGTACCTGGTATGGCTCTCAAAGGATTCGTCTTTAAAAAGGTCCCAGTAACAGCTCCTCATATGTGCGATATCACTTGCGAGAAGGATACGATATGTCAAAGCTACCATTACATAATTGGGGAAAAGTCCTGTGAATTGAACACCCGAACTAAGGAAGCAAGGCCCGAGAATTTCCAGCCAGATGATTTACGCTTTTACATGGGACGCGTTGGCGGTAGAAGTACGCATTCGGTCTAGTTTATTTTATATACAAGTATTTCTCCGTGAGTTCTTAGTAAAAACCTGCCACTTTCCGAGAGCAAGTGTCTGATTGCTTTGTTATTAAATAGAGCCACTGTCTTAAAGCAAAATTCGCCCTTCGTACTGCATTAATATCAGCCAAACTTCACAGCTCTTAATCTTTATTATTCCATGTTTATCTTGCTCGGACAAATATATATTCAACTCTAGTCCGTTTTGCAACTTCTTAGTATTGCCCTTAAACTATTGATGAAGTCATGTCTATATCGTAGCCCCCTTAGGATCTATTCCTGAATTACCGGCGTTATCGTGCCAAGAGATAAAATTAAGTGAAGGTGAAGACAGCATCAGTAAAAAGTATTGGTTGGATCCAACTAATGTCGGGAGTTCAAAGTTGGTTTATTGCGACATGAAATTGGGAGGTAAGTCAGCATATCAAGAACAGAATTACTTTACACAGTGTTTGGTCTACCTTTACACTTCCCTTTTGTCGAATTTTTTCACCTTGTCTCAATTTTTTCTTTCGATTAATTTTCAATCAGACATCGATGAATGCAAAGGCATCAATAACGTTTGTGACAAAAATGCAAACTGCTCCAATACTGTTGGATTTTATAATTGCACTTGCAAAGAAGGATTTACTGGGGATGGACACTCGTGCTCAGGTAAAATAGTTACAGACATGCCGAGTTACAATATTTAATATTTTTTCGCCTAAAAACACTGGAGGTACATTTGAGCTATCTACAGTCGAGTGAGTGGATAATAGACCAATAATAGCTTGCATGCTATATCAGTGAAGCCCTAGCATTAAACAAAGCAATTTTAGAAGGAACTGTTGTCCTATCAGTGTTAATTTTTGCTTTTTAAGCAGCATTACTCATACATGTTTATGCACAGAGTTGCCATGATCTTCATCCGGTTTGTTCGAGAGCCATCATGTTAGGAGATGAAAAGAAAAAACATTCTTTGTGACAAGAAAATACAATTGGTGGTGAAATATACTTTTCAAAAATCTAATTCGTGAAAGACAGAAGAAAGAAATTTTTTTCTTATTATTTAAAACGATTAAAGTAATTACAAATTGTTAGTTAACAAAAATGCTAAAATGCAAATCTACGGTTTCTCAGATATTGACGAGTGTAGAGGAAATCACTCCTGTTACAAGAATGCTGAATGCAAAAACACCCTTGGATCACATGTATGTGAATGTCTCGCTGGATATACTGGAAATGGGCAAAACTGCACAGGTGAGTTTAATCTATTCGCTTCAACATTTAGACACTTTCGACTACAGCAGTACCATTCACTCATAACTCGTTTTAATTCAAGCAGCCGTTTCTCGTGTTAAGGACCTCTTAGGTAACGTTCCTGGCTTTTGAATGAACAATTTTGGTGACTGATGCATTGTTATTCTGCTTTTAAATAGACCCTGTAAAAGTGGTCGACAAAAGCATGAAAATAATATCGCTCGTTTGGCTCTGAACCCTGTCTACAGATTGGATATATAAGTGCTTTTCCAAGGCGTTCCGTTTTCGTTTACGCGTAAGAGGTTGAAAACTGCTAATAAAATAATCAAGATACTTCGAGCGCTCTGATTGGTCAAAAAAATATCGTTGCTTGCACCGGTAAACCCATAGAAAATTGAAGTTTATGTTGTTGACGAATGCAGCCAGGCTCATGCCTTGATTTACTTCATTAAAATGAACGAATGTCATCCGAATGGATCTTGCGCTAATACCAGGGCTTTTATTAAAGTAACAGACTGCATTTTCTAACGGTTTACCAGCGTAGTAAACGTCTCCAGATGTTGGAAAACCATTCGAAAAAAAAAAGTAAATCAATCACCTCCAGCTCGGAAGTACAAACTTTTCTGTTGTTCTCACAACATACCGCGTGATCTATCTCCCTAGTAAACTGATAGAAAGAGCGATGACGAAGGGGGTAAGGTTCTAAAGAAACTGTGATGCTGCATCGGTGGGATAGTATAACAGGGTATCTAAGTATTATTAACCTAGTTGATGACGTAAATTGGCCATCGTATAGAGTTTTAAAGCTTACGCTCGAAACGTCAGCTTCATAACTCTTTATAGCGGCCAATTTACATTATCAACTCAGTTAATAAAACCAAATTATCTCACTAACCAGATTCATGACGAATGCGAAAATGATAACAAAAAAAGCAAAAACAAAAACAAAAAGATCTAAAAAGAAATGGTTAGGCTGAGTTCTGAAGGGATTGCACATTTTTCTCTGACCTTATCTGACCCTTTTCGTGGAACCGTAAAAAACCTTTAAGATTCTCTAACCTTCGAGAATTACCTTATCACAATAACAGCTATGGTCATTCCAACTTATTTGACTTATGCAAGCCAATTTGCTTCATGATTATAAATAATTGGATGATGCTAATATTTATTACGTTATTACGCAGTTATTACGCAGTCCTGGGAAATGATTGTGTTACTACCGAATACCTTTGGGCTGGTTTCATTGTGTGGGAGCTGAGGATCAAAAATGTCCTAAACGCATTTGGTAGCATCCACTAGTTGAGATATATATACCAACAACTCAGGCTTTAGTTGATGGGCGATTATAGCAAGGGGAAACATAACTCTTTATAATGCTATCATTTGATTTTAGTTCCTATGAGCATCATCATTGTCCGACACAAATTCTTCTTAAAAAAATTTTTTAATGCATAGTTGTTCTTGTAAAACACAAGTCACTGATTTTAAATGTCAACAAAAACATTTTATCTTTGATACTACAATCTTTTCTTAATGTTATTTAATTTAGTAGCCGACCCATGTTGTAATTATCAAAACCTGAGTGATGCCAATAGAAAGAGCAGTTACACTATACCGCCATCTGGAACAGTGTTTTGTGACGACTTACCCCTCGAGGGATGATATCGTTTTGTGGGAGCTGCACGAACAAGCCAGTTGTTTCAGAGCCGATAGCTTGATAAATTCAAAAATTTGTGGTGAAATATACGTTTCAAACATTTAATTTGTGAAACACAAAAAAGAGGAAAATTTGTTTTATTATTTATAATTATCAAAGTAATACTGACATGACTGAGAGTCCACCTATTTTTAAAGTGACAGAAATGATAAAGTGCAAATATTTATATGGTTTCTCAGATATTGACGAATGTAAAGGAATTCACTCTTGTCACGTGAATGCTATCTGCACGAACACCAAAGGATCCTTTGTTTGTGAATGCCAGCCTGAATTTAATGGAAATGGTCAAAACTGCAAAGGTGAATTTAATCTATTTGCTATAATATTTAGAATATTCCTGCTCGAATCTAACCTCAAGCTGCTGAGGTGGCCACTGTCGGCCATATTATTATTTTTTCATATGTAAACGGTACTGGTTGCACCTTAAGTCTACCAAGAGCTGTCTTTTAAGGCGCTGCTGAGAAAGAAGGAGCTCAGATTCGGATCCTGCTGAATTCATTTGGATTTTTAATATCACTGAGCCTCTTCGAGTGATGGTATCCTACACATGATCCCATGTACTACTTGACCCCTTAATTAATGCATAGTCATTTTTCTTGTTAAATACAAGTTTCACCTCTGATTGGCAAGCTGCCAGAATTATAAGACATTAGAAAAAATCTTGAACCATTGATTTTAATACCCGAAGTCCTTCTGCATTTTCATTTTACTTTGTAGCCGATCCTTGCTATGATTATAAAGACCTGAGTGATGCCAATAGAAAGATAAGTTACTTAACAAGTCACGGTTCAGAATTGTGCGACAACCAACTCCCTGAGGGATGGTATCGTTTTGTGGGAGCTGCAGGAACCAAAATGCCAACAACACGTGTGCCAGCAAACAGATGTGGTACACAATGGCCAGGCTGGTTGGATGGTGCTCATCCTGCAGTGGAAGATGGTGAAGTTTTCAGGAAAATCTGCTTTACCGATCGTTCGTCTGGTTGTAAAGCCACGAAGACTATTTCTGTGAAAAACTGTGGATCCTACTTCATCTACAAACTTCAACAGCCAAGTTATTGTAACTATCGCTACTGTGGTACAGACTGAATATGAAGCAAACATACTTTGCGTAGCAAGAGAACTCTAACCGCTTTTACCATGTGACATAGTTAACCTTTCTTTTCTATCGTAAACATTATCAGCAGATTTTAATCTGTGACAAACAGGTATTGATTTCACCATAGTGATAATTCTCATTAGTTAGCCTCTGTCATCGCAGAGAAACGCAAACTCTCAAACTTATGGTTTTCGAGCCTTTTGTTTATGTATTAATTTTTGTTTTTTTTTTCATCCTTCTATTGCTTTAACTATTAACCATGGTTATTTTAGCGTAGGTCAGTGGAATGACCAGTAGGCGCCATCTTACGTTATAGGCGTAGAAAAAAAAGTGACAATAATCACGAATTTTCAGACGCACAGTAAGCAAACTTCAATGGTTTAGCCTGTCGTAACCGTGTGTCAAATGTGACCGAATCGACCAGGATGCATTCGAAATGGATCGCTTACATCTCAGACTGATATGAATCTAAGCTAAAGATCTTTACACAATGGCTTCAAAGTGTTCCTATAGAGCTTACTTAACTAAGCGCGCGGGCAGTTCATTTATTCAAGATGAAATTTGTTAAAATAATTTTCGCAACAATTTGTTTAGGTAATCAGGCATTTCGAGTGCAATTTGGAAGAAATCAGCACGAGTAAGTTTTCAAAGGCTAACCAGATTTTATGAACCCGTAGGGCGAGTGCAACTTGCATATATAATATTAAGTTTAAAAACTGCAGGTAGCTTTTTAAAAGTTAACTTGTTTTTCAAACATAAACACGCAAAAAGAACAGTATTTAGAGCTGTGATGCGTTTAAAACAAGTACTTGGAGTAGCATAGGTAAACACAAGTTGTAAACAACTTTGTACACCGGTTGAGTACATTACCAACAACTTTTCACAGGAATGTTAGATTTAAAATCAAAATCACAGTTTCTCACTGTGAAATTTTCCTTTTTTTATGATGCAAAAATATTCAAAGAATCCTATGAAAAATAATAAGCGCGGGAAAGAAACCCATCCCCCCCACCCCCAAAGCCTGATATTTCAATATTCTAATACTAGTCTTCGAGAAATCAGATGTGCATTTAATTTGTACTTGTAGTTATAGTGTATTTAATACTTTGGAATTTAATTTTTACGGTTTTTAGATTATTGTAAAGCGGCGTGGACAATTAAGGGAAGATGGCGCTATATAAATGTTTTTCATTTCATTTGTCTCTAATTTACAAGAAGAGACCTGAACACAAAGCAAATGGGGCAAAGCAGGGCGAGTTTATTAACAACGTATCAAAATATAGAAAAACTGTTGTTGATCTTTTCAAAGGGAAGTGATATGAGCTGGGTCACTTTGTGGCTCAGCTTCTTGAGTGGTGTAAATAGACAGACATCGTGTATGTTATCTCATTATTTAACAAAAACTATGTATCTCTTTGTAAATATATTTACCTTACACGGATTATTTTCAGCTGACTTTCAAAACACGAACACGACAGTAAATGTTAAGGGCAGTGTAATCCACGGGCCAGAGTAGGTTCTCGACACCACTCATCTGATGAAAGGTTATGTAAAAGACTCTTCAAATTCACTTGATAGCACTCGCGAAGAGTAGCTTTCACAATTTTTGTAATGGAATTAATATAGATAACCAGGGAATAATAACAAAAACAACAAGGAAATAGTCCAGAAAATGCATGAAACCAGAACCTAGTGAAGTAAAAACAGAGCAATCAATCAAAACTGGTTGTAACTTAACATCACAACGATACAGTAACAAATGGAGAGAGTTGATTAAAAAGATTGTAACGTAAGTAACAGAAAAACGAAAATAAGGTCAATCTTTTGTACAGTTAACTAAATTAATTTACTTTTTATAATTAACTTATACTGAACATCTCTCTTCATTAAATTGCAAGTAATTTTCACAAGTATCGTTAGAATTCAATTGTTAATTATCTTTAAGTAAATAGGAATAAAAGAAAACCTTGCAAAAAGGCATTTTTTTTCATTTTTTGCCTTTGTTAGTGCTAAGGGATGTACATTCATTTGCTACCCATGGCTGGATTGCATTATTTATCCTGTCGACGTCATTTGTTTGGCCAAAGGAAGAGAATAACGTTTTCGTACACCACGAATGTGGGTGCACATGCTGGCGTTACTCTGAAAAAAAAAACAACAACAACAATGAAACAAACAATATACAGTAAAATCAACAATAAATGTGTTAGTGAAAAAAGGTAAAAAACGTTCTCTGGTTAAAAAGGTTTTAAAATATGAGCTTTCGGCTATTATACTATAGCCTTTAACGAATGTAAAAAATATAAGCGCGTGAATAGAAATATATACAGGGGAGGGTGTGAAAAAAATTAAAAACTAAAAATACAATAGAAGTGTGAAAAGCTCAAAAATGGACAATAGAACAAAATCAAATTACAATAAGATAGAATATTGTTTTGGTAACGGTTTAGAGTTGTTGTCTGCGCCGACAGTTTTTGCGGTATGCCAAGATTCTAGTGTTTTTCGAACGCGGTAATTGCCTTTGTCTATCACGGTAGCGCCCTCAAAGTCAATCGCGTGATTGTTTTCCCACGCAATGAATGTGTTTTCACCGCACACCGCGCACTTTTTCTTTGATACGTTAGAGGTGAATTGCCAATCAGGTGACATTTTATGACCAGAGATTTTCTTAAGCTTTACTTCGAGGCCTATTGGTGAAATGAGAGTAACTTTGTTGTATGCTAAGAAGTCATTACCGTCTATCAAATTAACACACCTGATATCTCCATAAATGTTAAGGAGAAGAAAAATAAAGAGACTCTTACTCATAGGTAACCTGGCCTAAACCACTAAAAGTTGGACTTATCATTCTTATTAGCAAATAGATGGACCGTAATCGTTGGAAAGTAAGTCAACGTGATAACTTGAAACTTTTCCCAACATAATCTCAAAAATAACGCAACGGAATCGATTTCTCGCCAAACATAAAAATGATCTATTTGTTGAAAATTAATCAGCGCACTAGAACGAATATGGAAAGGCTATCGGGTATCAAATGAATTAAAATCTGATAATATCTCGAACCGCGAACAGGACCCTGAGAGTGACGCTAAATGAGTACGCTTCAAACTTCGAGTCTCTCAACGGCAAGCACCATGTCCCAGACACTTTTTTCGAAATAGTTTCACAATTCTTTTATTCCTTTTTTTTTTCATTTCTATAGTTCTCAGCGGTAGAAACAAAAAACAGGAATATAAGCGCCAAAGTTGTAAACCAAAGCGGCACCTGTACATGGTCTAAAATTAAGATTAAAATAGAAAATTCTTTAGGACTAATGGTTATTAGGATCACACAATTCTAAGCGAGTCTCTATTAGTATAAAAGTTTTGCATTCAAATGATGGTCATAAATACCTTTTAGGACCTGTCTCTCATTTTAAGCAAATTATACGACACCATATCATATTGTGGTGACGAAGGGGTTGCAAATTTGGAGTTTTTTTTTGTTTTTTTTTTTAAGAGTTATTGCGGCTCATAAACCCAAGATTAAACTGAAGCGTCTTTCTACTTGTTATGACATTTTCAAATTTATTCAAAGCTCCCAAGATAAGAAAGAGTACCATGAATTAAGAGAATTACTCAGGATTGACAGGTTGTCTTTCCATATTTGGAAAGTCAAATATTGCTAACACCTTCTAACACTTTGCAATGCAACTTCTAAACGCAGGCAGCCGTGGCGGATTGTAGAATCTATAGAAAGGAAGGAGAAAAGGAAAATGAAGTTAATGAATGAATGAAGTTACAGCACTTTTGCCATTTTTTTTATCAAAACTATGATCGCTTTAAAATCATAGTTTTCCAAAGTTGTCATGATGTTCAAAGCCGTTCTTAATTTGGATGATATCGCAAACAGGCATTTACCTTCCAAAATAAAAAAGAGAAACAAAAGGAATTTAACTAAAGACGTTCAGGGGTTCTTTTTATTAATATTTTAAGAATACAGGACGCCTTTTTGGCGCTAGTAAAGCATGCGTTGTGAGGGGCAAAACAGTGTGATTCCATTTTGCCATTCGAAGTGTGTGCGATTGATTTCATCATATAAAGATTCCTTTAAGGTTGTTTTTATCTTAAGGCTGATGAATATTCTATGAAAATCATCTGTTTTATTTTACCCCAAGTTACACTTTAGACACTCATACAACTTTAAAAAGTTGCAAAGTACATTTTTTTAATAGATTCTGATTTTTTTAGGACAAAAAAACAGCGCATTTACGGCATCGCTTTTAGAGGGTTGATCAACGACAAACAGGAACCGGAAATGAATTATTAATAGCATGATAAATATGGAATATTGTTACAGTAACTATAGTTACAAGAAACAAGCACCGATGACAGCATCGCCTTTAAAGGGTTGATCAACGACAAACAGGAGCAAGAAATAAATTATTAAGAGCATGATAGATAGTGGCTATTGTAACAGCGCTAGCAACTACTGTTATAAGTGCCAATGACAGCATTGTTTTTGAAGGGTTTTTTATTCCTCGCTAAAAACTCTGGAGGAAGCGTGCTACATGCTAAAAAAGGTAAACCAGTTTTTTTTCTTGAAGCTAAATTATTTTTTCCTTAATTAGCTAATGGATGAGTTTCTTTGGTTAGGCAATGGATAATGGAAAACCGAGAGGGATTTGTTATCAAAATACTCCTAAGAACTCATTTTAAAGTATAGCTTTCGTAGGTCTTTAATCAAAATTTACCGAAATCTACTTAGTGCCTAAAAGCTAATAATTTGTACCGATTAAATTTTACTTTGAAATTAATGAAACAGGTTTTTTCGCCGTTGGTTTACAAACATCGTAGACAGAATTAACAATTATATTACTCAAATTCCCGCCCGAATTTTGTTGAATTCATTGCACGCGAGGAACCAAAACAGAAACGATGAAGTTGAAAGAGAGCATGTTTAACTCGTTGACAATCAGCTGCAGATGTTTCAGGATCGCGTTTCTTATATTCATCAGCCCTAGAGTTTCGTAGAATAAGTTTGGCTTCAATCCCAAAATAGGGTTTGGTAAATTTTTGACGGCAAACTAATTACGGCTGCTTTGTAAGACCAGACCATCAATTTTAGGATTTAGTTTCCCTAATTCAATGTGTTTCCAAACTGAGCCTTTTCATGAATATTTCTATATCTAATTTCTAATTTCTAATATTTTAGACTTTCACTTTTGATTAATGGACTGTTTTTTTTAGATAAAGGAGAAGAAACATACATTAAGAGATAATTGTTTGGCAAAAAATATATATGAACCGCAGCTGCTTGAAATTTTACTTAGCCAATTTGGTAAGGCTATCTACGTGAGTTAACAACACTAGATAGGAACATCAAAGCTATCATTCCACAAAAGCTGAGAGAAGCCAAAAGACCTCAGATACTCTGATACAACTTTGAAGTTGTACTTAACATTGTCTCTTGACATTCCAATTAGCATACTGTCCGTTTTTAGAGGGTTTTTATTCCTCGCTAAAAACTCTGGAGGAAGCGCGTTACATGCTAAAAAACGTGAGCCAGTTTTCTTTGACGCTAGCAAATTAAAAATCTGAGAATGAGACATTTCATTTTTAAATGATTATTTCGATATAGTATGATAATTATTCCTTTCTAAGAAAAAAGAATAGAAAAGAAAAACATTTTCCGAAAAAACTAGGATGAGATGATCTCCCTCTTCTTGCAGCTATGCAATGGGATAAGATGTTGGGATGATTGTAATATCTCTAATTCTCTAATTAACAGAGAAAGGATCTTTCAAATCGACGGATTCACGACGTGAGCTTTTTACTACTTTTTTCAAGTAATTTCTTCAAAGAGAATATGTTAATTGATGATGAGCGCTGTCTTTATCAAATCTCCAATTTTAAGTTTGCAATGCAGTAGACGTAAGTCGGGTGTTGCTGCTCGACACAAAACCTTTAAATGTTTAAATCTTGGGCAGAGAATGAGAAACGTTTAGTTTTTCTTACTTTTTATCGACTTTCTACGACTTTTTGTGACTTACTGTCTGACGCAAGGTTTTAGAACACTTTGTTTCTTTAGTGTTGAGCAGGAGAGAATTCTTCAATGTGTCAGCTTTTAATTTAGTTTAATCATTGCGCGAAAGCATCACATTCGACATTCATGTGTTAGCAATGTGCATGAAGTTTGTCACCACGCACATAGCCTAACGGCCTAGCCTGCCACGAGTTGGCAGAATTTCCGAAGTACTAATCAGAGAGCCATAAATTCGATTCCTATTGCGAGCACTCTGATGGAGTTCTTTTTCTTCTAGTATACCTATGTTATTCAATCAAAATATCATATTTTAGAAAACTTCGATGTTTCCATAAGCGCTCCATTTTGTATACCGTATGTACACGGATGATTCCTAAACATCACCATAGATCGTCATCCATAGAAGGTGTGCTTATTTAGTTTAAGAATGATGATGGTTGAGCTTACAAACTCTATTTTTTCTCAAGATTTTGAGGTTTTTTTGCGCTATGATGCTAATCAAATGACCAAAAAATTGTGCCATTCGTGCGGGAATTTGCTTTAATATGTGTAAAGCGTGGGGATAAACTTGTTTAAAACCTATGGCCTTTGCAATTGTATCGAATTGATTTGCTTTTCTAGGTAGAATGGCGAAATAACGAGTAGCATCATTAAAAAGTGGACTCTTGCCACGGAAACAGTTGGGCGGGGAAAATATAAAAAGAGGCCTTCAATTATTTTTAATTAAATCTTATAAGTTATACTTTTCTTATTGCTAAGATACAGTCGATTCAGAATTGATTTCTACTTTGCTTCATGTTTGTTTGTCTGTCTGTCTATCTGTTGTCATAATTTTTTTTGTCTACTGGTTTGGCTAAGTAATCTACACTTTCCAATTTCAGCATCAGCGGGAATGGCGAGGAATTCAAGCTTCTTAATCTTCCTAGCCTCTTTGTATCTCATGGACTTCTCTACTGCTAAAAATACATGCACGACAGAAGTTAACGTACCTGGTATGGCCCTCAAAGGATTCGTCTTTAAGAAGGTCCCAGTAACAGCTCCTCATGTGTGCGATATCACCTGCGAGAGAGAAACGATATGTCAAAGCTACAATTATGTAATTGGGGAAAAGTCCTGTGAATTGAACATCCGAACTAAGGAAGCAAGGCCCGAGAATTTCCAGCCAGATGGTTTACGCTTTTACATGGGACGCCTCAGTGGTAGAGGTACGTATCCGGTCTAGTTTATTTTACATACAAATCTTTTTCAGTGAATTCTTAGTAAAGACCCATCACTTTCCGAGAGCAAGTGTCTGATTGCTTTGTTATTAAATAGGACCACTGTCTTAAAGCAAAATTCACCCTCCATTCTATATTAATAGCAGACAAATATATATTCATCTCTAATCTGTATTGCAACTTCTATTACCCTCAAACCATTAATGAAGTCATGTCTATATCGTAGCCCCCTTAGGATCTATTCCTGAATTACCAGCGTTATCGTGCCAAGAGATAAAACTAAGTGAAGGAAAAAACAGCATCAGTAAAAAGTACTGGTTGGATCCAACTAATATCGGGAGTTCAAAGTTGGTTTATTGCGACATGAACTTGGGAGGTAAGTCAGTATACCAAGAACAGAATTACTTTACACAGTGTTTGGTCTACCTTTACCCGCTCCTTTCGTGAAATGTTTTCCGCACCTTGTCTTAATGTTTTCTTTCGATCAATTTCCAATTAGACATCGATGAATGTAAAAGCAGCAACGATGTCTGTGACAAGAATGCAAACTACTCCAATACTGTTGGGTTTTATAATTGCACCTGTAAAGAAGGATTTACTGGGGATGGACACTCATGCTCAGGTAGAAAATTATCGTGACGCTATGGTAAAATATTATATAATAAGCTCAGTTATGCACGCATTCTGATTGGTTCTCACTTATGATCTATTGGAGGACAGACGTATAGATGACGTCATCACATTTTGACGTCCTCTGTGATCTATTACTGAACAGACGCACGGCAACTTGGAATCTATTTGTTAATTCGATTCTCATGCGTAAATCATTCAAGGAATCTTTGCTAGCATTGACTTCTTTTGATTACTTTCCAATCAGATATAGATGAATGCAAAGGCAGCAATACTGTGTGTGACGTAAATGCGAATTGTACCAACACTGAAGGTTCTCACAACTGCACCTGTAATGAAGGATACATTGGCGATGGTAAATCATGCCAAGGTATGAAATAGTAGCTTGGGCATCCAACAAATGATACAAAATAATCAAAAGAATTTTCCCAATTGAATAATTTGTAATTAATTTGATTTGAACCTTCATTGACTTTTCATACGCGTGAACTCCTTACTGATTAATCCAACGAAGTAATGTTTGCTTCAGTCGAGGAGTGCCAAAGTTACTCAAGTCTGACCAGTGTCGACCGTAAATCCACAATCCCCAAAGCCGGGTCTGCTTTGTGCGATAACTCACTCCCCCATGGCTGGTATCGTTTCCAAGGAGCTGCAGGAACAAAAATGCCAACCACTTGTCCACCAACTCATAGGTGTACAGCTGATATCTCAAGCTGGTTAAATGGAGTTCATCCCACAGTGGCTGAGGGTCAAGTTAACAGGCAGGTCTGCTTTCACTGGTCTTCAAACTGTTGTAGATGGTCCACCTACATCCAAGTGAGAAACTGTGGCTCTTATTACGTATATTACTTCTCTGGAGTACCAACATGTAATACCCGTTACTGTAGTACGGAATAGCTGTAGTGTATTGGGACAGCGGTAATTCGCAAATATCCGAGAACTTAAAGGTGTGTGCGAGAGCGTATGTTTTTAAGCCTTTGTAGTGTACCTTTGTGGCTTCACTACACTACTACAATATCTTTCTCTTGTTCTGAAGCAAAGCGCCGCTGCAACTTTACAGTAAATACTATAGGGATCTGTTTTGTTTATCATCGATCCCTTTTGGCGCCTTTAAATTTCTAAAGTTTTGGTGTTCCGTATTCCCATGTTTAAGCTTGTTTCTTGGTTAACTTACCTTTAAGCTTCCAGTAGTGATTGAAATGAAACATCTTCTAACAATTTTAAAAACATCACCCAGCAAAAGTTGATGAAACTACGAAAATATATTCACTAATTTATTATCAATTTTTGTTGAGACACCTACTTCACTGCAAAACCTCATGTAGACAAAAATAGAGAATTACCAGACAAATCACTTTAAGTTAAAGAGTTAAACAGCTCAACCAGCTTTACAACCAGAGTTTGTAATGCAATAGTCATCGAATCTATTCGTTTGATAGTTTACAGGGGAATTGGAATACAATAGAAAGAACAAGGAAGATGGTGAAATTTGAGCTTGGTCGTGAAGGAAAGAAATATGCTTTTCGTTTTTTCCTTAGGCGTGAGCCAAAGAAAAGATCTAACTCTCCACGATGAGTCGACCCGCGCAACCGTGATTAATTTTAATGATACTTAGGGAATAGGCGAGGGGTCAATTCTGCCATGAGCAGATTTTCCGTGCAAATTATCAAAGGATAACATAAGAAACAACCACAGTCTAGCAAAATGAGCAAAAGAAAAAGTGAATCGTTAACAGAAGTCTGTAAAAGGAAAAAAAAGTGGAGGAAAGGAAAACTCCAGAATTTTTGAGCGCGTGTATCCTGTTGATTAACCATTTACTTTTGACCTTTACCAAAGAATTCATACGCTTTTAAAACACCGTGAATTACTTGTTTGTCAGTTTTTTACTCAACTGAAACATTTTGCTTCTGACAGCCTGAACATACGCCACCTGGTTCTTAAAATGGCCATGCATACGCAGACGTTTGAGCACTGCGTTAATATTTACCACCTTTCTTAGGATACGCGTCATAAATTAAATTAATTATGGTCTATTCAGATTTGTCGTTTGTCCAACGCTTGTATTGCAAACGAATTACGTCTTTCATTAACTATTTACACCCTAACATCAGTATGCATATTCTCCACACTGTTCTTTATACATTTCGTAAGGTGCTGATAAGGAGAATTTGTTTGCCAATCAAAAGGTTTCTTCCTTAGTGACCATTTCCTTTATTCTCACGACCTTAATGTGTGATTCAGGAGTGATATTGTAGGAAGAAATTAGATGCTGGTCACTCTTAGGGTTTAAAGGGTTAACGTAAGAAATGTTGGTGATTGTGACCTTTGGATGAAATACTAGGAAAGGTCCGTAAAGGAATGATCTTCGCCTATGAGCCGCCCCAATTGAAGAAATTGCAGAAAGGAAGAAGAAATGGTACCTGGAAGGCACGGATTCAAATCCCGTCCAAGTCTGAATTTTCAAGGCTCCTTTTCTGCAATTTCACAATTGTAGCTCACTTGTAACGATTATTTCCGATGATAGTTTTTTTTTTATTGGGGACCTTAAGCAGTCAGGACGGCAACGCCAAGGAAGACTTCGATTTAAAAATAAATTTCTGCCTTTAGCTACAATTTCAAAAATGGCTGCATGTGTTTACCGTCTCATACGGCGCCACACCATAACTTCACCATAACGTATAAAAAAAGCGTTGAGTTCCAAATGGAAATTAAAATAGTTTGCCGTCGCGGTTTTGGTGATTTCACGTTGCTGTTTTGTATAGGACGGCTCAGAAATGTACAAACGCACGTGCTGAGCTATTGTTCTGCTTATTATATCGTTTGTTTTTCCATGTCCTCGTTGCCGTCGCCGTCGTGGTTTGCTTAAGGTCGCTATTATGAAACGGAGACCAACACATCCCGTTAATAAATAAAAGAAGGAGTATGCCATGTATTGTATTTTATAGCGTTCAGTCTTTCTTGAATTAAAGGTTGGGAATTAGCAATTGGACTATTTTAAACTCTGTTAACCCTAAGCAATTATGGTTGAATGACCCAATCACCCAAGTAAGTTCTTGGAGCCAAACCAACACATTCCACTTGGCGTGACAACTTCTGTTTGCCCCCAGAAGCTCTTCCATTGAAAAACAAATTGTCACATACTTGTTATGCATTATAGAATTTTAAGAGAGAGAGAGACAGAGATAGAGAGAGTACTCCTATCGAGGCTCAGTCAAAAGCCTAGCGAGATAAAATAATGTTCATCAAGCCTCACTTTTCAAACAGTTTCTCCTCACCTGTAGCAAAGCTCATGATTAGAAAACAGAGTGAAAAATTTGAATGTTGATCTTAAGGTCAAAATTGAACCCGGCCGATTGTGGAGACATCCTCTCACCTTGAGGCAAGATGCTTCTATCGATTTTCTCACACCTACGCTGTGGAAAGGAATTTTAGAATTCTGAAATAGTGAATTTTTAACGACCATGAGTTTCCCGTGCGTTAACTTTCGGTGTCAACGTGACAGAAAGGAAGTTAATCAGTACTTTTGTCAACAAGCGATTTGCATGTCAGTATCATATTTCGTACGTGTCTCGGCTGGTTCCTTGGCATCACTCTGCCAAACAAACAAAAGCATTACATGTAAGTTCAATTCTAACAACGTCTCGTTATGTCCAAAAAACAAGATCGCTCTTCTGTTGGTGATGTCCCCAGCTGTTCACCTAAGTTTGTTTGTCCAGTATCGTTCGTATGTTTATTAATCTGCACCGCTGCCTTGGTTCGTGTTGAGATCATAAACCAGCGAGTTCATCACGTTGAAGATGTCATAGCGGAAGTGAGGCAAATACATGAATCCATAATTAAGGATTCTAGTGAAGGAGCAAGCTTCCAAGACTCTGGAAGGACTGGTTCTGTCGGGAACTTTGATAGCAATATTTCTAAGGAGAGCAAAGATATGATCGAAGGTAATTTTTTTCCTCTAATCAACTTACAATTTAAAGGATCCTCGAGCTTATCCAAAGCTGTTGCACTACCTTTTGCTCTCTGTTTATTTCATGCCAGTACCGGTGATTTTGTCTATCTTAATGATACGATATAAATTTTTCCTGGCGAAATATTTTCCACTATCTCAATTTTTTTACCGGGGGCTTTCTTTGGCGATCATGGTTGCAAAAGTCCAAGAGCAGTTGAAATGATCAAAATCATTCAATCGATCGTTCAAAGTACTTCTTTTTTCCCTCTACATCTATAATTTGGATCAATTTTTCGATTAATTTTTTCATGATTGAATTGTTATACAGCTAAGCCCTCCAAGGATATAAAGGGTCCATCGTTGATTGAATAATTGGCAAGAGTGGGACGTCTGCTATTCATCGTGATAGCAGCACAAAAAGGTCAGGGATGGCGGAGCGTTTTGAAACTCGAGGGGATTGGGGTAGGGGTGTTCATCGAAGACCATGCTATGTCCTTACTCAAATTTCCCAAGATACCATCCACGTCAAACCTCTGGCACCCTTGTGCTGAATGTGTTACATTCTAGAGAGCAGTTCTGATTGTGGTGTTTTCAGACCCTTTTTTTAAAAACTACTGAATAAACGTGAAGTGTTCTTGCGTGACTCAGGGAAAAGTTGAGCCTTTTTCAGGTTCTCGTTCAAAGGAGGCTATAGAAAAAGCGAGAAAACGAAAATCGGTGATTGCCCGAGGAAAGGTGGTCTCCTTTCACTAATTTTCAGCGACCGAAGGTTTACAGGGCTTAGCAAAAACCGGGTAACTGTTAGTTAGAAGAATCTGGTTTGGAACCAAACTTGATTTAATGAATAAACCGCTTTTAGATTTTTATGTAGTGAAGAGATTTGAAAGTGTTCCCAGCTTTAATTTTCAAATACTTTTTGAAAAAAAACGAACAAATTCTTTCCAGTTCACGCTAGAAGAACCCGTCGCCACTCTTCATCTCAAAAACGACCTATCCCTGACGGAGTTACTATAGAGGTGGTTAGAAGTGAGATAAACAAGACCATAAGCTCATGGTCACCACAATCATTTTGTTCGCCCAAAGAACAAATATGTGCACAGGGACCACCGGGATTGCAAGGACCTAAAGGATCACGTGGAAGGAAGGGTCCGCGTGGATCTACGGGAAGGAAAGGGTTACGTGGTTTTAGAGGAGAACCAGGGCCTTCAGGAAAGCAGGGAAATATCGGACCGCCGGGTCAAAAGGGTGCGCAGGGTGCCAAAGGTATCCCGGGTCTCAGGGGGCCACCCGGTACTAAAGGAGAACCTGGGGAATCCATTTCTCTCCCCTCAGTTGTCGTTTCTCCAGTTAAGCAAACAGTCAGAGAAAATCAAAGAGCAGCGTTCCAATGTTCTGTCAGTGGAAATCCTCAACCGACTATGATGTGGGTACGAGGAAATGGTACTCATCTGCAAAGTGATTCTCACCTTGGCGCTCGGGGTGGGAGATTAGAAGTCCATAACGTGACTCTTAGCGACGCGGGAAAATACACTTGCGTTGGAAGGAATATCTTGGGTTCCGAGAGCAAGTCTGCGAAGCTAATTGTTGAAGGTAGGAATAGGTATTGAATGTGAGAGTTAAGCATAAACGAATCTTTTTGCTTTGTTTTCCTCGAGGGTGATATAGCAGTTCTCAGCAGTCTTCCGCGCTTCTTGAATTATTTTGCATGAAAATCCATTGAAAGAATTACGGATGCAAACTTTTGGATGCAAAGTTTTGGATGCAAACAATTGGATGGAAACATTTGTTTCGTGAACATTTTAGTTTCGTGACAATAAACATGACCATAAAGTTAGCCGATGCGATTAAGTTTTCATGTTGAAGTTTTCCGAGTATTCAACTGCTGACTTCAGCCTGATATCATTTTGAACTCCACGGTTTAGAGAGAAAATACTTTCGTTCTTCAATCAAAGCCCGTGGTTCAGTCCAAGTTATTTCAACTCAGTTTGATCAACATTTTTGTCTCGCTAGCCAATCAAATGTTTTGGTCCTGCCATAAATCGCTCAGAAAGCGATATACGCGATGGTTACCGACAAGAGAAAAGTACGTGGAACAAAAACTCTACTATATCCAATATTTTCCCTTCCAATTCTTTTTTCTATCGCCGCAGGAAAGACTGGGTGTGAATTTATTTCGTTATCTGCTTACTACTATTTTTTTAATATCAATTATTTAATTTACTTCCATTTAGCCAAACCACAAGTTCGACTTTCTTCCGGACCCATTCATGCAAGGGTGGGACAAAACATCACTTTACCCAAATGTCACGTGACCGGCTTTCCGAAGCCAGTCGTGTCGTGGAAAAGATTGACCGGTGCCTTAGCTAAAAAGAGAGCAGTTTATAATCAGCAAGATTTGACAGTGATTGATGTGGAAAAAAACGACACTGGACCGTATGAATGCAGAGCCAGGAACCATCTCGGAGAAGGTTCCGCAGTTACGACCTTGTTTGTTTGGTCGGCACCAAAATTTGTCACAAAGCCACTAGACATGACAACTAATGGGGTTGGTGGGTCAGTGTCTCTTAACTGTTCCGCCATAGGCGAGACTGTTCCTCTGATTTCTTGGAAACGAGCAGCGGGGGCATGGGACGAAAAGAGAATGAAGGTAGACAAAGGAACCCTAACTATTTCGGTTCTGAGAGAATCAGACTCAGGAATTTATGTGTGCGAAGCCAAAGGTCCCCAATTTACAATTGAGGCAAGAACATTTCTGAAGGTGAAAGGTTAGTTGAACTGCGTTCCATATTGTTGTTGTTAACATAAATGTTCGGCACACACTCTTTGGCGGTATCACGCGATTTCATCCTTTTCTTTTCGGTTGTCTGTGCACTGAATTTTAGTTAAAAACGTTAAATCTTTCATAACTGCTTTTTAAATGAAACCCTGTCAGCTGAATGACGACCAAGATCTCAGTAACTGGAACAATTTTTTCCACACGAGTCCGGTTAACGTAATTGTAAAGGAAATTGAACCCTCTTATTTTAATTACCGAAATCTCAGCTCGCCTTAGTGGCAGGCCAGGCTGCATTCCCATTAGTCTGAAATGAACTCAGAATTAATACCACTGATTGAGCTGGCGCAGTTACTTGTGAACAGGCCCTATTTTTTGCGCCAGGCCGTTTCTTAGTATGCAATATATGAAAATTCAAACAATTTTTTCTTCAATCTTAAATGTTTAGGAAATTCTTGATATATAATTTTTTTGTTGGAGTGCTATTTGTCCGAGTGTGGTGCAACTATAACCAAAGTAATAATGGCCAGGGATGGTCAATCACTTATCGGATATTATGTCATTTTCTTAAAGCTCCCCTCTCGTTTACGCCTGATGGCCGTAAAGGACGACTTGGTATCATTCAAAAATTCACCGTCCCAAGAACAGCTAAGTATCTCATTAAAGCTTTGGGCGCTCGGGGAGGGACGCATTCCTACGACTTTGGATACAGACCAGGAACCTATTATGGCGGCCATGGGGCAGCGATAGAAGGGACGTTTAGACTGACTAAAGGCACTATTCTAAGTATTGTTGTAGGGCAGAGAGGAGGAGATTCAGTGGAGGTAAAAGGTGGCCGAAGCACTACTATGACAGCAGCTCAGCTTGGGCTTTCTGTTGAAGACAATGCTGGCACTGGGGGAGGGGGAGGGAGCTTTGTTTATACCGCAACCAATGTGCTGTTGTTAGCTGCCGGAGGAGGTGGAGGCGCATCTGGTGGATATAATGGTGTGGACGGTCAGGCAGGAACAAATGGAACCAGTAGTGTGGGGAATGATCCGTCACATGTGAAGAAGGGTGGTGCCACGGGGCAACCAGGAGAATGTAACAATAATGACGCTAACTACCATGGGGGAGTAGGTGCGGGTTGGAATGGCCAAAGTTGTTCAAGAAAAGGACCTGAGCACGGAGAGGGAGGTGGGTCACGTGCTCAGGGCTGGATCGGAGGTCGCGCAGGAGGTATGAACAGTGGAAATAACGGTGGACCAGCACCAGGAGCAGTGGGAGGGTTTGGTGGAGGTGGAGGAGGAGCAGAGGATAACGGTGCATCAGGTGGAGGGGGAGGGTACTCAGGAGGAGGCAGCGGTACCCATGGTAAACAAGCCGGAGGGGGAGGTGGTTCGTATTGCGCTGGTGAAAATTGCCACGGTGTGACTGGCGGCAATGTAAATGAAGACGGCCTAGTGCAAATTATAGTTATATTCGACTAGAATCAGTAATCCGATATCTTCTAAGTTCCATTTTAATTGATATCAGCTTTGAGCTGTTTTGAGTGATGCGAATAGACTGTTCTACAAAATATAGCGTCGCCAAAGAGCCTTGCTGAGATGACATCACAAGAATTTACACCGTAAAAAGACTTTAACTTGAAATAGGACTTGAAACAGTTCAGAACTTTCATTTTTAGGACAAACATGAGAGCGAGTGAAGAATACCGTCTATCATGATTTGAGTGCCACTCAACGGTCCGTATCTCTTAAAATCGTTTCATTTCTGAACTTTGACAAGGACGCGTGAAAAGTAGCAAACAAAAAAAATAGGAGTAGATAGGTATATGCTTAAATGAAATAAAAATATTTAAAAGAAGGCAGTTATTGGTGAAGAAGTCGCAAGACATAATACGTCTCCGATGGAAGTAGTAAAATGTGACGAATTCGAAGTGTCTTTTCTGAAATTTGAGTCGCTCGTGATTTAATAAGAGGAGACAATATGTGGATTTTCGTTTATCCAAAAGATTGTCTAAATAGTTTTGAAAAATCAGCAAGTCGACTCACCATGTTAAATTCGATTTTTTTCTTATAACAAAGATATCAAAGTAGGATATAACTCAGCCAATCCATACTTTGTCTTAGGATTTGAAAGGCTTATAATACACAATGCCAAAACTAAGTTTCCCATCGTCTAAAATTTAATGTTTTTTATTTCACCTGAGTGATTTGTGTTCACTCCGAGTATACAATAAATGGTTTTTAATTGAGAGTAATTCTGTTCATTGAGTACTGTGCCAGTCGTCCACTAGGGGTAGATTGTGAATCAATGGAAAAAATAATCAGTGCACCTAGGCTCTACAAAAGGGTCTCAACGGGATTAACCTTTAGCAGTAAAACGGCAAAAACAGAGCCGTTTAAGGCGTAAAAATCGACAAATGCAAAGGAATATCCGAAATTTTACCGCTAGCCGTAAAGATGGGCTAAATTTTAACCGGTAGTAATAAAAGCCATCACCCCATTGAGATCCTCCTACGATTGCGCTTGTCTGTTTATCACTAAAGATATGATTCACAGTTTTCCCTTGTGGCTGCTATTTACGTGTATCGAGATTAAACAAGTTGTTATCGGGCCCGAGCACCGGCGGAAAGGGGGAAGGCTCTCGTCTTGTGATACTTTTATACCTTGAAATAGGAGAAGAGGGAATTATACATTCATCACTTTTGGAAGTAAAGAGTCAATACAACAAGAACAACAAAAATTGCATTTGCATTTTTCTATTTATGTTAAAACGTCTTCATAAACTACTCATGAAGGAGACTCGTTCGTTTTAAAATATCGTTATTTATTCCGTAAGTAAGAAATAAATCCCTAGATCCTTGCTTTAGTGAGGCGCCATTGAAGGAAACTCAATGAATCATTATTTGAAATAAGATCATTTCAATGAACAGGACTTTAGAGAAAAGATATGCAACAAATGCGTATCTGATCGTCCCAGTCCAGTGTAGCCCTGAGAAGGACGTCTGGTGTCGGTTGTTGTGAGTGACGTTCGATAAGCTAGGCAGAAATTGTCATCCTAGTCATTAGAGGCAGTGCACGCATGATTGAACCTAGTCTAGTTGTGTACTATCCAGTACTAACTTTCATCGGTCAATATAGGCAGTGGGAACCTGGTAAACACTTTCTTCAACATGGCGGACGAAGCTGATGAAATAATTACGATTGTGATAGTATGACAAAACATTGGTTTTCTTGCACGTAATAATGAGGTGAAAGTACACATTCAATTTATAACAACATGAGTGAGCAACAGGCAATTCCAGACCGTCCAGCAACTTCAAAAACGCCTTCAATCACTCGGTTTATTCGCTACGAGCATCTTATCGCTGGCGTGTCTGGAGGAGTTACGTCAACTCTTGTGCTGCATCCGTTGGACCTGATTAAAATAAGATTCCAAGGTAAGATTGGGTAATAAATATAACATCTTAAAATAGACACACCAAGTTTTAGTTTTGTAGTATAATTTGACCCGAAACTGTGAGATGAAATAATCGAAACTTCCATCACATACAAGACTACTTGTATTTGTCTTTCGCTTACTTTAAAACCATTCAAAAAAGGAAGTGATCCACAGTAATCCAGTTAGGAAAATTTGGAATGTTTTTTGCAACTCTTTGAAACTCTCAGTTTCGTTAACTGAAAACTCTCGTTGTTTAAACTTAGTGACGTGTTAAAGTTCACACGGACGTGATGTGTTGACGTGTTGTTTGACCTCTAATTTAAAAATACCTACGTTGTGATATAGTGTCAGCATTTTCATTAAATTTTGATTCAGTTTAAGTAGGAATAAAATATCATTTTTATCAGCAAGTTTTAAATACCAACCAGAGAGTCTGTAGGTGAGTGAGACAAAATTTGAACGTAATTAAAACTTGCAAATGAAATAATCTCATGCCTTTATTTATCCTAATAGAAAGGTGGTTGGTTTTTCCCCAAAAATGTGTTTAGGTGGTGGGATCTTATTGTTCAGGTGTTGGTAAGTTGGTAAGAGGTGACTGACGTTTTGATGACCTTAGTAAAAGTAGCATCAGAGTCAGCTTCCTCTAAGGTTGTATAGAAGATCAATCATCAATACCAACAACGTTCCTTCTCAGTAACATTTACTATTGAAATGTGTTAAGAGCATACATGCATGAAACATTTGCCAGAAAGATATTACCAATATTGTTATTTCTCAGTTAATGATGGAAGTGGAAAGTTGCCAGCTTACAGAGGACTTACTGATGCAGTGAAGTCAATTGTGAGAACAGCTGGCTTAAAAGGATTATATCAGGTACTTTGATTTGTAAAAAGTATTGCAATACTCGCACAGTTTGTGCATTATTAATTTTGAGGGTTCGCAGCAGTTTTTCTTTTAACCCATGAAACCACTTTTGAAATCTGACTATAAATTGTCCTTACTGTTCACCATAAATTCTGTTTTTTTTTCTTATCCTGAGAATGTGGTTAGAAAGCAAGTAATACCTCATCATTTAAATTGTTTTTCTTCTTATCACTTTTTTTTCTGAACAATGTATTTTTATTCTAAGGAGAATATACTTTTTAATTGTTCCTGGAATGAAATGTTTAAGATCTGCAATGGTTTCATTTAACTTGGTGATAATGGTTTTAAGTTTTAAATGATAGTATTATCATCAATACATTGTTCTATATATTTTTTATGTCCAAACATTCATTTCTATAATTTATCATATATGAGGCTAACAACTACTAGATACTAATTAGCTGAGATAGAGGCACTCCTACTTAATGATAAGAGATAATTTGCTCATGGATCATGAAGGCACGTTTTCTTGATCCTTGCTGCCTGAATGTGATTAGCAGCAGGTTTCTTTTGGATGGGAAATGAGGATTTGAAGTGCGCACCAAGTGCAGTTAATCCTAAACAAAAATTAATTTGACATGAAATCACTGGGATGTGTTGTGTTTATTCTCTTTAATTTGTGCCTTATAAAACTTGTGGGTGTCACTTTCATACATGAGTTTATCTCTAAGTTAGGTCCTTCCAGTTTTGAGTGTGTAGTTGCAATCTTTACCCATGGGAAAACTGTTTTCCTTGTGTCCAGACTCAATTGTATTTAATGTATCTTTGACTGAGTAATCCACCTAACATGCATTCATCACAAACATTCTTTCCTTCCATCTGAGTCCTCTGTGGATAAGTAATCGCATGGGCCTGAAGGCAATTAAAAATTTATTTCATGCATATTTTTAAAGTTTTTCCAAAATTGCCTGAGTCGTGGAGTGATGAGGGAAATTTGGGGAAAAAAATGCCCTCTGTCTCAGCCTATCAGCATTCAGTAATTTTGCCCTGCATGTGATGAGAAAAATAGACAAAGTTTATTAATTTTATCATACTAAATCCACAGTTTTCCAAGTGTTATCTAACCTAACTATGGTGTGAGGAGACTCTCAAATGTTTTTTTTTTTTTTTGCCTGGAAGATAATATATTTTTTTGTCTTTTCACAAACAGGGTGTGACACCTAATGTTTGGGGAAATGGATCAGCGTGGGGTCTGTACTTTTTCAGGTAAATACTTGAGCACAAACAAAATTCCATAAACTTACCTCACTCTCAAAGTCTTTATTATTATTTCACCAAAGAAATGTTTTCTTTTTAAATGCGCAGCTCAGATTTGATTATTATTATTATTTTTCTTTAACACAGTTACAACATTTTAAAAGCATGGATGCAGAAAGATAGTGATAAGCCTTTAGGGTTTGAGAGGCATCTGATAGCAGGAGCTGTGGCAGGTGAGGGATTTTAGTGTTATAGTTGGAGCCACAGATAGCTCCAGTCACAACAAATACTGTGGTTTACCATTTTGTCTCTAGAGTTGAGGTAGCGCAAGTTTGTTAGAGCAACATATTCTGATAAATGAGGCACTTTTTGTTTTAAGCTGAAACAGTATTTTCTGTTCCTTTGAGGCAAGCATCAGCATTTGCAGTCTGTTTGAAAATGTCTCTATGTACTAACTTTTGACATAGTGCAAGAGATTGTTCACCCAAACTCCACTAAAAGGAAGGATCTGTAAAAAGAGAGAAAAGAAATAACAGTTCTCCTGGCAAGGAAAGGCACTTGGAAATTTTTACTAAAATTATTGCTAAGCGTACATAATTATACAGCTGTAAAGAGAATCCTTGAGGTGACATGGGCTTTGAGGTGGCTATTCTGTGAAAATTATTAAAAAGCAAATCAAAAAACCAAATCAGTTCGTTTGAGGGAATTTCAGATTTTTTGAGAGCCACTCCTGTTTTATTTGATCTGTTACTTGTAAGTTCTCTGAATTTACTTCTGATCAATCTGTTTTTATCAATCAGTTTTATTTACTTGTAACTGACCAATGACAATGTCTCAGTCAATACTATGTACAATACCATGTACAATATTGTTTGTGAAGGAATGTTGGTCAGTTAAATCTCTGGTCACAGTGGCAGGCTTTTCCTTTTCTTCCCAGCTTTCCCCCTGTTTTTGGTTATTTTGGTTATTTTGCTCCTTCCCCCTCCTCCTTTCCCCTCCTCCTTCCCCCCCCCTCTTTCCCCTCCTCCTTTCCCCTCCTCCTTCCCCCTCCTCCTTTCCCCTCCTCCTTTCCCTCCTCCTTTCCCCTCCTCCTTTCCCCTCCTCCTTTCCCCTCCTCCTTTCCCCTCCTCCTTTCCCCTTCTCCCCCCTCCTCCCTCCTCCTTCTTTCCCCTCCTCCTTTCCCTCCTCCTTTCTCCTCCTCCTTCCCCCTACTCCTTTCCCTCCTCCTTCCCCCTCCTCCTTTCCCCTCCTCCTTTCCCCTCCTCCTTTCTCCTCCTCCTTCCCCCTCCTCCTTCCCCCTCCTCCTTTCCCCTCCTCCTTCCCCTCCTCCTTCCCCCTCCCCCTTTCCCCTCCTCCTTCCCCCTACTCCTTCCTCCATAGCTCAAACTTGTCCTCCTTAGCTTAACCCCTTACTCTCAGAAGTGTTCAACATATAACTTCTCCCCATAATATCCTTACATTATCCGGCAAACAGGTTATAAGAATACACAAACACATCCTGATCTTACCCAAAATTCTCATCCCTTATTTACAAGGAAATGTGTAGGGGTTAGAGGGAAGAATTCACAATCTGATCTCGATGGTTAAAGGGTCAATGAAAAAAACCAACATGCTAAATATCCTTGTAAATGTTAGCTGTAAACCTGTTTTTAAATTGTACATTGTATAGTATTTGCACTTAGTCAGCTTTTGTGCCTAATGGAATGTGTTCTTTTTATCACTAGGAATAGGGACTTTGTCAGTCACAAACCCAATATGGGTGGTGAAAACTCGCCTATGTCTCCAGTACTCTGATCCCCTTGCAGGAAAAACACAAACACCACAGTACAAAGGAATGTTTGGTAAGACATTTTTTTTTGCAAAGATGAATGACTCCTTTTTACCCAAGAGAGAGGAAAGAAAAGTGAACCCTTTGCACCCTTACATCAGTATGTATTTTCCCCGTACTGTTCTTGATAAATTTCGAACTTGCCACTTATGAGGAGAACGTAGTTAAAAATCAAGAGCCCTTTCAACTTTGTGATTATGTCTTCTAGTTATTCATAAGCCTAAAGTTTGATTCAGCACTGAATAATAAATTGTTTGATCCTTTTCTCAATCACAATTTCACTGTGAGGGAATTGAACCTGAGTCAAGGTGCTGGTATATGTAATTGTGCTCACCAACTCCCCATATAAATGAAATCCAGATGCATGACTTATTTTGCACTCCTTGTTCTCTACAGATGCTCTGTTAAAGTTGTGGAGACATGAGGGGTTGAGAGGTTTATACAAGGTAACCTTGATATGTATCTCTTGACAGCTTTTTGATTGACTGATCAAGTTAAAAATTAAGATACAGTAATTTTGACTGTGTGTACCGGACTTGTTGTGAAGTATGCAGGGTACTGGTCTCTAGTAAAGTCAGTCAAGTCCAAAAAGTCACCAGCAGTGTGTACTGCACCATGTGTACGTTAATACCTTGGGCTTAAAAAAAAAAAGGAATAAAATGTACTACAATAAAGGAATTAAAAAATATATATACGATCTTTAGTTTTTATACGTGCATAGGAGATCCATCCACCTATCTTACAGGTGTAGGTTTGCATGATGCAATCACAATTATGTCTTTGATATTCACTTTTGTCACCTTATGTAAAACATTTTGATATTGTAGTTGGTATATTTTGGTCGCTGGATATGCACTAAGCCAACAGTGGTTTTTAAACTTCCTTAGAAAAAAGAGGGAAACAATCAAAAAGAGAAATAGGGAAGGAAAGAGAAGCATAAACATCAGTCTTAGAGTCAGGAACCATACAAAGCTATTTCAGCCTTATTGAAGGCCTCGCCAACTTGGTGTCGCTAAGATAATGGCATTGTGAGTGATTAACCTGAGTTTATGTGTTTGGATGGAACATGAAGTTTGCTCATATCATTATATTTTACTTGACCAGGGTTACATTCCAGGTATTTTTGGCGTATCACACGGAGCACTACAATTCATGGCCTATGAGGAGCTGAAGAAAGGCTACAGTCAATATTTTGGAACTCCAATCAACAAGAAGCTGGTGCATACTGTCTGCATGTGTTTGTATAGTTGATTGTATACGTGTTAAAGCTCACAAATTCAACCGAGTTAGCAAACAAGAAACTCTTGAATTTAATCCTTGATATACAAAACATGTGAAGTGCTCTGATCATGTGCATAGCTTAGGGCGGATGATTGAAGTGTTGTCATTTACTGGAACGAAACTTTACTTTCAACTCCCCTCTCTGCCCAGAAGGATTGATTAAGAATCAACCCTTGCCCCCCCTAAGATTGACTGACATCTAACTTCTCCTTACAATATTACCTCTGAATCACACATGGAGGTCACAAGAATAGAGGAAATATTCAGCCACCGAAAAAGTTCTTGACTGTTTAAGAAATTCTCCTTGTCAGTATCTTTGGAAATGTACAGAGAACAGTATGGAGAAGATGGATACTGATGTTAGGGTGTAAAGGGTTAACACGAACACATGTAATGGCCAGTGGCGAATGTAAAGGGAGAACACGAGAGAGGGAAGGGTGGGGGAAGTTTTTGGCTTCTCATCTTGAGTAGTAGTCCTCCATGACGAGCTTCAGCTTTGAAGCTACAACTGACGTCCAAAAGACAACTTCTATTACCTTTGTTGTACATGTGGCTGGTAGGAAGGTACTAATTGGATGACGTTTATTATTATGTATGGGTTATCTTGGGAATCACTCTGAAGTGCTGAAAATGTAGTAGTTCTTTTTTTTATATAAAATGTTTTGCTCTCTAATTTATGTTTTGCTAACTTTCATTTTCTTCATAGAGTTCAACTGAGTACCTTGTAATGGCTTCACTGTCGAAAATTTTCGCCGCAACAGCGACATATCCTTATCAAGTGGTTAGAGCAAGACTTCAGGTTAGAATGGGAGATTCATTAGCAAATGATTAACCTTTTGAAATCGATTTTGTTTTACTTTTGTATGCTATTATTTTGAAATAAACTTGCAGTTTAAGGTTTTTTTTAGTTTTCAGGCCGGTGATCTCATCGGTTGGTTTATTGGACTCCAGGTTGATGTGGTCTGTGCTTGAGCCTCGAGCCCTCAGCTAAGTCATTGTGTCGGTTCCTTGGGAAAGGATTCGTTAGCCCCACAAATCCCCCCTCCCAGTGGTTCAAATGAGCACCAACAAAAGGCCAGGGAAACCCTACAATGTGGATAAATATCAATTCTCATGAGGGAGAGTAGCTTTCACCCTCTTTCACTCTTTCCATTCCTCTTAAGAAACACGGATCCAAGATGGTTATTGGAACGCACGGCGCGAAAGTTCTGATCCTGTGCCCATAAAATTAGCTAAAACCAATTGAATATATCAGGAGCTATCTTTAAGCAACAAGATTATTTTGTTAAATCGTTCATTATTTACTGTTTCCCGCTGTCATTTATTGTTCATGAATTTTACTTTTCTAAAGAATCAGTACACGATGGTGGAATACAAAGGCGCGTTGGATGTGATTAGTAAGACTTTCAGGTAAGTTGGAACTTGATAAGAGAACTTAAAGTTTTCGATACGTCACAGACTAGCTTTCCATCTCTAGTTTCAAACCCTCTACATTAAAGAGAGGTACATGTTTTGCCCGTTTAAAACAATTTGACAAAGAACTGGACCAAAATTGGCGGAGAACTGAAACCAGCTTGTTTGAGTACTGGATCCAATTTTCGGATTGACTTACGGCTTAGTGGTAAAGTCCACATTTTCATGAAGGAAGGTATTCTTCTTTTTCTGGCCTCTTCTCACGGCAGGTTCTTTTCAAAATCTTAGGCATGAAGGAGTAACAGGATTTTATAAAGGATTAATTCCCAGTGTCCTCAGGTAAGGCTAAATGTTAAAAATAAATTTGATGATACAAGTAGATTTGCTTGTTAGTTTTAGGTGTTAAACCGCAATGTATAATCTAGAATTGGCCAAGAGGGCTTAGTGGGCTCTCATCTTTAATTTTAGGTAGCGCTTTGTAAAGGAAAGGGTCTTAAGAGATGGGGTGTACCCCCATAAGGTGTTAAACTTATTTGCACATTCTAGTCTGTGAGAAACTGGGAGGAAGAGACAGGCGAAAGATACATTAAGAGGCTATAAAATTTGGAGTAGGTGTCATGTCATTGTTTTCGTCAGTTACATGTTCGAATACTGTGAAATTATTAAGATACTTATCGTTATCACAAATGTTTGTGCCCCACCTGATATGTTAGTGTAATTTTTTAGCGGTTTTTTTGTTTTTGGAAATCTAGCAGAGGAGCGCTTTAGAAGAAACCCTGAAACTGTAATATATGTAAAACGTTCATTGTCGATTTTACTGTGTATTGTGCGTTTGATTGTTGTTGATTTTGTTTCTTTTTAGAGTAACACCAGCATGTGCACTTACATTTGTGGTGTACGAAAACGTTATTCACTTCCTTCTGCCGGACAGATGACATCGACAGGATAAATGATGGAATCCGGCAACGGAAGACGATGGGCAATACTACAGCACCTGGTTTTATTACCAGACTTTATTCTGCAACAGTTCCGACTGATTCATTTATGGAAAAAAATATATTAACCGAGCGAAGTTAACCGCCCAGTGCGTTTACACATTTTATCGATAACTTCATTTACCAGCGGAATGTGAATATGAATTTTTTCAGGGCAATTTTTGTACATCAATGCAAAAGGTATCCATTATTACTATCAGGTCCTAAGGGTAACAATGATTTCTCCCATTGTTCTTTTATAAAGAACCTTCCCCCTCCCCTTTGTCCCTTGTCCCATAGGGTATCAAATTTATGTACATCCCTTAGCACTAACAAAGGCATGAACTACAAGAGATGCCTTTTTGCAATTTTTTTTTTATTACTATTAACTTCATAATTCAAACATTACCTGTGAAAACTACTTGCAATTAATCAAGAAAAATGTTCAATATTAAGTTAAAAATTACCTTATTTTCCTTTTTCTGTTCCTTACGTTAAAATCTTTTTAATCTTTTTTTAATAAGTTAAACCCAGTTTTTATTTATGGCTCTGTTTTTACTTCACTGCAACATTTCCTTGTTGTTGTTGTTATTTTTCCCTGGTTGTTGACTTTAACGGACTTTAACGTAAAAAACGGTGAAAGCTACTCTTTCGCGATCGCTATCAGATGAGTGGTATCGAGAACCTACTCCGACCCATGGACTACACTGCCCTTAACGCTTACTCGTGTTCGTGTTATGAAACTCAGCTAAAAATAGTTCGTGTAAGTTAAATTTATTTACAAAGAGATACACAGTTTTTGTTACATAATGAGATAATTTATTTACACCACTCAAGAAGCTGAGCCACAATTGACCCAGCTCATATCACTTTGCTTTGAAGAGTCTACCGACGATTTTTCTATATTTTGATACGTTGTCAAGAAACTCGCCTTGCTTTGCCTCATTTGCTTTTTGTTCAGGTCTCTTATTGTAAATTAGAGACAAATGAACATCAAATGATTGGAAGACTGGTCTTAGTTAGAATATTGAAATATCAGGCAGTAGCCTTTAGGGGTTACGGTGAGAGTGGGTTTCTTTTCTGCGCTTACTATTTTTCATAGGATTCTTTGAATATGTTTGCATTATATAAAAGGAAAACTTCGCCGAGAGAAACTGTGATTTTGATTTCAAATCTAACATTCCTGTAGAATATTTTTGGTGATGTACTTAAACGGTGTAGAAAGTTGTTTACAACTTGTGTTTACCTGTCCTGCTCTAAATACTTTTTTTTTTTTAACACATTGCAGTTCTGAATACCTTTCTTTTAGCGTGTTAATGTTGTAGGCAAACATTAACCGTAGTAAAACAGGTCAACTTTTAAAATCTATAAAAGTATTTTAACAAGTTTCGTCTTGAATGAATGAGGTGCCCGTGCTCTTAGTTAAATAAACTTTATAGGGACACTTTGAAGCCATTGCGTCAAGATCTTTAACTTGGATTCAAAATAAGCGTGAGACGAAAGCGATCCATTAATTTCAAATGAATTGTGGTCGATTCGGACACATTTAACAGACGGTTACGCAGGCTAAACCATTGAATTTTGCTTACTGTGTTTCTGGAAATTGGTTCAATGTTTCAAAATACTGAGTCACTATTAATACGTTAACTTTATGTAATTTCAAAGGACATCAGATTTTGACTGTCATCGCTTTTTTTTCTACGCCTATAACGTAAGATAGCGCCTGTTTGTATTCCACGGACATACGCTAAAATAATCATGGTTTATAATTACAGCAATTGAAGGATGAAAAAAAACGAAAAAAAAAAATACATAAATAAAAGGCTCGAAAACCTTAAGCTTGAGAGTTTGTGTCTTGCAGATTTTACTGGAAGATTACTTAAAGATACTTGGGGCAACTCTCTTTGATGACAGAGGCTATCTGATGAAAATTATCACTCTAATGAGATAAGTACCTGTTTGCCACCAAAGTTAAAATCTGATGATAATGTTTACGATAGAGAAGAAAGGTTGAATACCTTACATGTCAAAACTTTATATACATGTATCTACGGAGCGATTTGTGAGTTCTCTTACTAGGCGAGGTATATTTGCTTCACATTCAGTCTGCACTACAGTAGCGTGAGGGACAAGGTGGCTGTATAAGTTTGTAGATAAAGTAGGATCCACAGTTTTTTAACAAAATATTCTTTGAGTATCGGCAACCAGTAGAGCGATCACTAAAGCAGACCTTCCTGCGTACTTCACCATCTTCCACTGTAGGATGAGCACCATCCAACCAGCCTGACCAGTTTGTACCACATCTGAATGCTGGCACACGTGTTGTGGGCATTTTTGTTCCTGCAGCTCCCACAAAACGATACCATCCCTCGGGGAGTATGTCGTCACACAACGATTCATCTTGCGGTGTACCGTAACTGCTCTTTCTATTGGCATCACTCTGGTTTTGATAACTATAACATGGGTCGGCTAGTAAATGAAATAAACATTACAAAAAGGTTATAGTAACAAAGATAACATTTTTTGTTGACATTTTTCAAGTCAATCATTTCGACAACAACTAGATGGGACTAATGTTTTACAAGAACAACTATGCGTTAAGTAAAATTTAAAGAAGAATTTGGATTGGACAGTGATGATCCAAATAGGAACTAAAATGAAATGATAGTATTATATAGAGTTATGTGAACTCTTGCTTTAATCGCCCATCAAAGCCTGTAGTTGTTTGTATCTCAACTGGAAGCTACCAAACGCGTCTAAGACATTTTTGATCTTCAGTTCCCAAACAACGATACCAGCCCAGAGGTATTTCGTAGTAACACAATTAAGTCCCAGGAGTGTGCAATGACTCTCTGTCAATTAGCACCATCCAATTATTTATAATCATAACGCGAATGAATGAGTTGCTAGTAATCGGATCCTTGCGTTTGCACAAAGATTTCCTAAGCACGGTACGGTAACGAATCCTGCAATCTGACTGGTTCTTTACCCGATCAGTATTTTCCTATCTCTGCCCACGGGCCACGGTAACGCTTTTGTGAGTCGCCGAGTACAGCTCAAATTTCGTTGCCATTTTTCAGAAATATACCTCGTTTTTCCCGCTGGGTAGTAGTTTTAAGCAAATACATCGGTCACTACCTCAAGCCGACTTATGAATCCTCTCTTTTCTCTCTCTCTCAAATTACTGACAAAAAATATTGGTTTCAGAATGAATTTGTATGGGCAAAAATGTCATTACGTTGGTTGACAAGCGGCCTAAAAACCGTCTGCAATTGATTTTAATCATTCACAAAAAGTACATAGAAAGTTAAAACGTGAGGTATTTGGTTACAGGTAAACTGAACAATGGAACTTTCATTCATTTAATGTCTGAATTTTCTCAAACAATTTGTTCGTAGTGAAAGAGCGAGCGAAGTTTTAATTTCAGTTCAACAATAAATATACGCTCTCGGTGAGTCTTTCAAAGTCCGTTCAATTTGGACATTTGGACCATAAATTGCACAACAGAAACTGAAGGAATTTATTGAGAAAAGGCCGCGTTAAATCCCCTTTTGTCTCGTTGGAGTGTGCCGTTCGAATTTCGTTTTTGTGGAGGAAAGACCAGATTTACATACACTGTTGCAGCAAACAAACGAGCAAACTCTCACAACTTCAAAATAAAAAATTTGAATTTACTCACAATTACTTTCTTGGCCGTTTACTTACTGAACAGAGGTAAATCTTCGTACATGAATGAATCGTCGATGAGAGTGAATAATACTTTCCGTTATATCATTGATTGTTTTTGAAGAAAACATTGTTGCGACAGTCCTTGCCAAACTAGTTCCGTTGTTTTTCAAATCTTCTTGCGCTTTTTTTTCTTCCGCGCTTTCTAACTGACAGGTGTCAGATTGTGACAGATACTTGTAAAAATAATGTTTCAAATTTTGTTTGGAAGCCTTTTAAATCACCTTTATTTACGCAAGTGAAAATGTTTCAGAACAGCATCTCTCCTTAATTTGTATCACCTTTACTTTAACTACCATTTACTCGCTCAGAAATTGTTCAGTTTATGGAAGATCTTTCCGTATTTATAGCCCTAAATCATTCGGGTTCTTTCAGAATGTGTTTCGTTAAGTTTAAAAAAAAAAGATGTTATTTACCGGGTCGGTCCGTATGGTGAAAAACTGTGACCTCGGCCTTGAAAATGCTGCCCGACGGCCTCGGGCCAACCCTTAGCCGGTTAATAACAGATATGTATCGCGATATTATTCAATGCCCAAGCACACCATTTCGATCTCCTGCTGCTTCAAGGTAGCGTTGTAGCGCTCTTTTGTATTACCAAGCCAAGAAAAAAGCTAGAAGCTATAAGTAGACTTAACACACGTAAACAAAACTGAGAAGGCTAATAAGTCTAAATTTCGAGACCAGAACACGATGTCAATTTCACAATAAACCGTGCGCATGGTGAAAAGTCAATCGGCTCATTTTACTTCATATTTCATGGTTGTTCAAACAAAACTTACGCTTCCTTTGAATCAACATTACCCACTCCAATTATGATAAAGCAGCGGCAAAAAAGAAGCGGTGATCTCTCTTCGTAAACGTTTCTTTGGACCTCGAAACAGCCTTTCGCCATACATTTATTTCTAGAGAGTTGTAATGTTTGCCCCGTGGCGTTCCCAGAAATCTTTGCGAAAACACAAGGATTCGATTGCTGGCAACTCATTCATCGGTTTGCATAAGTCAAATAAGGATCATAGCTGCTATTATTATTATAATTATTATTATTAGGGAATCTTTAAAGTTTGGGATTCCTGAAGGTTTTTTAGTTCCACGGAGAGTTTCATGTCTGCATCATGTAAAAGTTCGAGTAAGGTTGTTAAATCATTTAAAACATAATCAAAAAATGATTCGTTTTTGTACACAAGGTAGCATAAAATTATGCTTCCTCGATGTGAATTTCGGAGGAAAGTCAACTC